TAACCAAGACAATCGATGTCAACGGACAATTTCAGCCCTCCAAACAAAATACACCACGTCATTTGTCTCTCCCCCTCCAGCACAGACGCACCCTTTTCCCAAAGAGGCTTTTCAGCTTCGCAGCTTGACCACTCACACCGTGCTGATTAACCAGTCGATCAATGTCTCAGTTGAGGGGACCGCACTAAAACAGCTTAGGGTCAGATTTGTAAATGCCGGGTGGTCGATCAGCCGCTACTCTACCATATTGGGACAGCTCAGCTTAGCCCGGGTCGGTCCGCTATCGATTTTTAGCTGGAGCTTGATCCTTTGGTTGGTAAAATAATGGTGAGCTTGTGTGAGTTGTGCTGTAAGATAGTGGTGAGAATTGGAGGGGGCTTGAAGCCACGGCATCATGCGAGCATTAATCCTGTTACTAGAGAAGAGATTATTGCCGCAGGTAGGTAGGTGTAGGTGTAGGTGCATTGACTCATGTCTCGGAAGCAAGACAAGATCTCAGACATGGCTGAGAGATCTACCCTCACTTACAAATCCTCTTGTTGCCAATGGCGCTGTAGATCCATGGATCTCCAAGGGTGATTGTTCTTCTTTTGGGATAGGAGGGCGTCCGGCTCCGCGTCGGTCTTGTTCCACTGCATCTGGTTTGTCAATCTGTGGGTTTTATTAGGTTTTGGGGAGCCGAGGTTGGAATGCCGTGTCTCGAGAGCTTGTCTGGCTTGCATGGTCTTGGAAGCTTGCATTGGTACTGTACTCTACCTTGCACGGTCTCATACTGTAGCGTAGCTTGCATGTGCTTGAGAGAAGAGAGAAGATAAAGAGGCGTACACCCACCCTCCCAGCTCCCCCTCTCGACGCTCCCGGGTTCTCCTTCTCAGTGTCTGGTGTTTTTGAAGCTTTATTGTCAAAATGTCGGAACACAAGAACGGCATAGCTACAAACGGCTACGAGAAGAAATCTTCCCCTGCCTCGTCTTCTACCAAATCTGAAGCTAAACCTCTTCCCAACGGCGACAAGAAAGATGGTATCGTCAAGAGCTTCAAGCAACTCCGTGTTGCGAGTAAACGGCCGCTCCCCAAGGAGATGGGCGATGGGTCGTATCGGGTTGTGGCGAACAGACCGGGTTTGAGGGAGGATGTTCGACGTCTTCGTGGAAAAGGTACGCGCTCTCTTTCTTCTTTTATTATGTGATTGAGAGTGAATGTGTTGAGAGTGACAATGGGTGAAGGGGGAGAGTGAGAGAGGCTGACAAAAGTAGATCTAAAGACGCTGCTCGAGATCGTCAAGTCCAAAGTCAAGGGTGAAACTCAACAGGATGACAAGACGATGATCATGGAGCGCACGATTCAACTCGTCGCTAATTTGAGCGATCACTCCACGGTTCAAGAGTCTTTGACGAATAGTTTCATTTCGCAGCTCTGGAACTCGATTGATCATCCGCCTATGCTGTATATGGGTGACAAGTTTCGGTTTCGACAGCCTGATGGGTCTAACAATGTAAGTCCCTCACTCTCTTGCGTCTGCTGAGTACTGGTGTAATGGGATTGATGTATAGAACCCGTATCTTCCTCAACTGGGCGCCGCGAGAACTCCCTACTCTAGAACTGTCCGTCCAAAGGGCATGAGTCTCGGTGCGCAGCCTGATCCTGAGGCTATTTTTGAGAGTGTCTTTGCGAGAGATGCTTTTAAGAAGAATCCGAATAATGTGTCGAGCATTCTTTGGTACTGGGCCACCATCATCATTCACGGTAAGCCCCTCACCTCACCTCATATCTCTCATCAATTGACTAACATCAACAGACCTCTTCTGGACAAACCTCCAAGACCCTAACCAGAACGACTCCTCCTCCTATCTCGACCTCGCCCCTCTCTACGGCTCAACCGAAAAAGACCGCGACTCAATCCGAACATTCAAGGACGGTCAATTGAAACCCGATTGTTTCGCTGATAAGCGTCTCATCGGTAATCCACCCGGCGTTCCTATTCTTCTTATCATGTTTAACCGCTTTCATAACCATGTCGCCACGAACCTCGCAGACATTAACGAAGGCGGTCGCTTCTCCAAACCAGCTGAACATCTTTCCCCAGAAGCTGCTGCTGCCGCTTGGAAGAAGCGCGACACGGAGCTTTTTGAAACAGCAAGACTTGTTACCAGTGGGCTGTACATCAACATCACGCTTATTGATTATGTGAGAAATATTATCAATTTGAACAGGGTTGATACGACATGGACTCTTGATCCGAGACAGGAAATGGGCGTTAGTGTCGGCACGAAGGATTTGTCAGAGAGCGGCACTGGAAACGTCGTCTCTGCCGAATTCAACCTTTGTTATCGCTGGCACTCGTGTCTCTCGGAGATGGACGACAAGTGGGTTCAGGATTTCTACACTGAGCTTCTCGGTGAGAACTACGGACCTATGAATCTTCAGACTATGATGAAGGCGCTTAAAGCGTTTGAGGCTAGTGTCGCTGACGAACCGAGTGAGAGGACATTCGGGGGCTTCAAGAGAGGTCCTGATGGCAAGTTCAACGATGATGAACTTGTCGAGGCGCTGGCCACGGCTATTGAACAGCCTGGTGGCGCGTTTGGTGGGCGCAACGTTCCACGGATCATGAAGCCCATTGAGATGTTGGGTATTATGCGCGGGAGGAAGTGGAATTTGGCGGGGTTGAATGAATTTAGGAAGCATTTCGGCTTGAAGGCGTATGAGACGTTTGAGGATATCAACTCTGATCCTTCCGTCGCTGATGCCCTGCGCAATCTGTATCAGCATCCTGATTACGTCGAGTTGTACCCTGGTATCGTCGCCGAGGAAGCCAAAACTCCCATGGTTCCCGGTGTTGGTATCGCCCCGACGTACACTATCTCCCGAGTCGTCCTCTCTGATGCTGTTGCGCTGGTTAGAGGTGATAGATACTACACTACCGATTACAACCCGCGACACTTGACGAACTGGGGATACAAGGAGGTTGATTATGACCTCAAGGTCAATCACGGCTGTGTTTTCTACAAGCTCTTCCTCCGCGCGTTTCCTCAGCACTTCAAGGGTAACTCCGTCTACGCTCACTACCCAATGGTTATCCCATCAGAGAACAAGAAGATCCTCACAAACATCAAGCGCGCGGATCGCTTTGACTTTTCCCGTCCTGAACCCACCGCTACACGTATCAACATCATCGGGTACAACGCGGCAAAGTACATTCTCGAGGACCAGCAAAAATACCGTGTCTGCTGGGAAGAAGGCCTCAAGCATCTCATGGGCGAAGCAGGCGGTCGCTTCATGTTATCGGGTGACACAGCTTTGCACGCTCAGCAGAGGAAGTGCATGGGCAAGCTCTTGTACAACGACACGTGGCGTAACGCTGTGAAGTCGTTTTATGCGGCTACTGCTGAGAAACTGCTTGCGGAGAAGTCGTATAGACTTGCGGGGAAAACGCAGGTTGATGTTGTACGAGACGTGGGTAACGTTGCGCACACGCACTTTGTCGCAAGGATGTTCAACCTGCCCCTCAAGACAAGCGAGAATCTAAAGGGTGTGTTCTCCGAGCAGGAGCTGTACATGATCCTCGCAGTCATCTTCGTGTGTATTTTCTTTGACATTGATCCTGCCAAGTCTTTCCCGCTACGACAAGGCGCTAGAGAGGTTGCGCAGAAACTTGGTGGTATTATTGAGATGAATGTCAAGTTGGCGAATAGCATTGGTGTCAAGGGTTTGTTTACGAGCAAGCCGGATAAGAATGATGATCCGTTGGCGAGGTATGGTGAGAATATGGCCAAGGGGTTGAAGAAGGCGGGCTTGAGTACGGAGGATATTGTTTGGAGTCAGATTCTGCCTACGGCTGGTGCCATGGTGCCTAACCAGGCTCAAGTGGTAAGCCCAAGTCCAAGTTTCCCTACTCTTTGATTGAGAGTATACTAATGAATGTAGTTTGCGCAAACGCTGGATTGGTATCTCTCCCCAGCCGGCGAGAAATACCGCCCCGAACTAGCCCGCATCGCCGCCCTCGAAACAGGCGACGAGACAGACGCTCTCCTCCTCGGCTACGCGATGGAAGGTATTCGCATGGCCGGAACATTCGGTCTCTACCGCGAAGCCACAGCCCCCGACACAATCCACGAAGACGACGGCCGCACCATCCACGTCAACACCGGCGACCGCGTCTTTGTATCTTTTGTCCAAGCAGCCAAAGATCCCAATATCTTTCCCAACCCTGAAATCGTGGACCCGAAGCGTCCGCTGGATAAGTACATCCACTATGGTGTTGGACCGCATGCGTGTCTTGGACGGGATATCAGCCAGGTTGCGCTCACGGAGCTGTTTAGAGCGGTTTTTAGGAAGAAGGGTGTTAGGAGGGTTGCGGGGGCACAGGGGGAGTTGAAGAAGGTGCCGAGACCAGGGGGGTTCTTTGTTTATATGACGGAGGATTGGGGCAGTATTTGGCCGTTTCCTACTAGTATGAAGATTACCTGGGATGAGTAGTGATGAGGTGATGTAATGGTGAATGGGAAAGGGAGGATGAGTAGATTGTAATTAATTCTCTTTGTTCATGCTTTGAAGTGGTTGTTGCACTGATCTTTTACTCTTCTGTTCTGGTGTTGCTCTGCTCCTTGGTGTAAGTGAGACAGACCCAACTTACACGGGCATATCCACACAAGCTGACAAAAGTCCCTAACCACCCTTACACTACTTCACCGCCGACTACTGACTATTCCTTTATGTCACATAATGGTAGCACCAGCGCCAATCACATCCACTTTGCCTCATTACCCCCTAAAACAATGCCGACCTTTCCGGCTCCAACCCCTGCAGATCACATCAATTGGTCGCAAACAGTTCGTTTCACATTTCATCTGTTTCACCATTCGTTTATCTGCGCCTCGACATGGAATGCAATTGGTCAGTGGCTGGGATAGTTTCTATACGATTTGTGCTTGGGTGAAGAGTGAAAAAATGTATATCTAGGGGCACTTGTTCCCCTGAATCTGTGTTTGTTCTTGGCATCCTTATTCACTCCTTTTTTTTTGTTCGTGTTACGCTGTGCTGTACAAGACGTTCTTTTGGTGATTCAAGTCCCTGGTGGATTTAAACACTCTTTTCTTCAACCCATTCAACACAACACAACACAACTCAACTCAACTCAACTCAACGCCAACTACTTACTCTCACTATCAACCAGTCTTCACAATGAAGTTCACTACCCTCTCTCTCATGGCCTCTCTGGCCTCGCTCTCAACTGCCTCCCTCTCCGCAGTCCCCATCATCGAAGCTATAGCCCCCAAATCCAAAATCTGTCCCACCGGCAACAAAGAATGCCGCACAGCAACCCAAGCAGCCCCCTTCATAATCTCCAGCTTCCAGTCCCAACAAATCTACTCCCCCGCTGAAATGGCCGCCGTCCTCGCTCTCATGGCATTCGAATCAGGAGACTTCCAGTACAAACGGAATCACTTCCCCGGACGTCCAGGCCAAGGAACTGCGAATATGCAAATGCCGAATTATAATCTTCTGTACGCGAAGAGTATTCCGGAGCTGGCCAAGGGGTGGCAGGGTATTGAGAGTACAGAGGGACTGTCGGATCAGGAGCTGGGGGATTTGTTGGATGATGTTACGGTTGATAAGTATAATTTTGGAAGTGGGCCTTGGTTTTTGAGGACACAGTGTAAGGAGGATGTTAGGGAGGCATTCAAGACGGATGTTGATACGGGGTTTCAGAAGTATATTGAGGAGTGTGTTGGGACGGATGTGCAGCCTAGGTTGGAGTACTTTCAGCGTGCTAAGAAGGCGTTTGGCTTGTAGATGGTTCACGTGCTCTGTTTTTCATTCTCTAGCTGAGGGGTTTATTCCGTATGAGTTGGTCTATGTATAAGCCTAGTTCATTATGTATGGGTTGAGGTTTGTGTATAAGTTGAGAGTGTATGTCTGAATTGACTATCCTGTTTTATCTATATCTCATATCGATCCAACTCATGATGCACAGGCCTATAAGCAAAATAATCAAACTGCGCCTCCTTCGCAAGCCCATTAACATCCGAACACGCCATACCCACAAAAGCACCCGTAAAACTTCCATCCTTAGGATGTCCTCCACACTCATCCGACAATATAGAAGCATCATACACGGGTCCAATCTCGCTCAACTCCTGCCCCTCAAGAGCATAGTAGAACTGAAGTGTACTTCCCGCACGGACACTAACCGCAAGGCGAACTTTTCCTTCATTGGGAATTTCAACGGGTTCGGCAAAGGGTCGCTCTAGACGACCTATCGGGAAGGATTCTTCGGAGGAGATGATTTGTAGCTCACGCTGGCCGGAGGCGGTGGCCGTTACGGTTAGGTAGAAGAAGTTGAAGCGGCAGTAGTAGGCTGTTAGACCGGCGAATTGACGCTCGTCTTCGGGGGAGTAGGTGATCACTGTTTCGGCGTCGTAGGAGAAGTGGGTTTGACGACGCGCGACGAGGGCTTGTTCGAACCATGAGCCGATTGATTCTCGACCGATGAGACTGAGCTGATTGTTCTTGATGTTGAAGATGCGCTCAGGTTCAGGTGTTCGTAGCCATTGGAAGTCAATGTGGAGTTTGTCAGTAAAGGTATATCGCTTTTCTTCCCAGTACGCTGTATCGTCGCGTGCAGCGGGGAGATCAACGTGAAGACTTGGGACAGGGCCGTTCTTGATGTACAGCCAGTCGTCATCACCCCAGTAAGCTTCTTGGATAGCTGTTTCTCTACCCAAGACCGAGCGACGCTTCTGCGTAACGGGGCGGCCGGTTAAATGCACGATGTAGGTCTTGCCATCGGGTGTATCCACGATATCAGCGTGTCCAGCTCTTTGAAGCGCCGCGTTGGGTGCATCTTTTGAAGTTACGACGTGTTTCTGGGGATGAACTTCATAAGGACCCCAGATGTTTCGTGATCGTGCGAGGGTCATGGCATGCGTATAGCCTGTGCCACCCTCTGCTGTAGACAGGTAATACCATCCATTGCGCTTATACAAATGCGATCCTTCAACGAATGCAAGATCTGTGCCCTTGAAGATGTTCTTCTTTGGTCCGACGAGTTTACCCTGCTTGGGATCGAACTCTTGAAGAAAGATACCAGAGAACAAATGGGGACGAGCGCGATGATCCCAGGTCATGTTGTTGAACCATTTGCGACCGTCATCATCATGAAACAGCGATGGATCAAAGCCAGAGGAATTAGCGTAAACAGGATCACTCCACGGTCCCTCGATAGCAGGCGCAGTAATAATGTAGTTATGCGCATCCTTGAAAGAACCGTCCTTGCGCTTGACGTCCGTGTACACGAGCCAGAACTTTTCTCCATCGTGCGTCAGGCAGGGCGCCCAGACACCGCAGCTATCAGGCTCACCGCGCATGTCGAGTTGACTCTTGCGATTCACTGGACGTACGACAAGAGTCCAGTTGGCGAGGTCTTTGGAGTGATGGATTTGAACGCCGGGGAACCACTCAAAGGTGGAGGTAGCGATGTAGTAGTCATCTCCAACACGGCAGATTGACGGGTCGGGATTGAAGCCCGGAAGAATGGGATTTGTGGCCTGTGGCATTTTGACTGATGCGATGAGATTGAGGTGAGAATTAGACAGTATGGTGAATGAGTGGTGACTTTAAATAATTGCTGGTCTGTCGTGATGGTTAACATTGCATTTAGCCTGAATGCAATCGCGGGGAACTCAGCTCACCCACCATTCACTGTCATGAGGTTACGATGGGTCTCATTGCCGATCGCTCTACAACATTTCCCGGCTTGGCAATAAAAAACCACTCAGTTCTCCGTGACCATGTCGCCCGCGATGTCCATACTCCCAGGGAAACTCTCCCAGAAGCCCTGCGTTGCGTCGGCGAACGTCGCGTACATGTTGCTACCGAAGGCAAAGTCTGTGTCGAAGAGGTCAATGTCTGCGGGGGCGATGAAGGAAAAGTCGACATTTGACGAGGTCTGGTCATTTTCGCCGTCTGTAGCGCTCTGGGAATTGTTAGTAGATGAATATGAGAGCTATGGGGTGAAGTACTTGTTCGTCGGTGCTTTCGGTGTCGGGTTGACGAACGGGATCGGGCTGGAGAGCGCCGTAGTCGATGATTGCGTTGCGCATTTCTCGTCTTTCGCTGGGTGTTACTGCGAGATCACCGTCGGCCTTGATGTTGCTGTAGAATATCTGCATGGCCTTGATCTTCTCGCGCTGTGATCCGTCAGTACAGTTACTGACAAGAGATGGTGTTACTTACCCAGGTGTCGGCCATCGGCCAAGCTTGTCGCATGTCTTTGAGGAACAAGAGACCCTCAACAATATGCTCCCTGCGCTTCTCGACTTGATGCGCCGTGTCACCGGGATTGGGAAAGTGGTAAAAGTACAGCATCGTTCCGACGGCTGTGTAAATGGTGAAGCCAATCCATGGAACGAGACCGCGCAAGAAGTACAGACCAAAGGCGCGTATCTCTTGAAGCATATCGCAGACCTGCTCAGCTACTTTCTCAAGTTCTTTGCTTGACCACGTTGACCATTGATCCCAATCCTTATCCCCCACTCTGGCCTTTTGCATCTCAACTTCAGGGAGGTAAGATCGGTAGAGAAAGATGACGCTCATGAAGTAGATGCAGTGCATGTAGCAGTATGCCTGGCCTTGATTGGACACGCTGTGCGCTCGTAGGAGGAAGAGTTCATATCGTAGTCGTTCGGGCAGTGAGTTCTTCCAGAGTTCAAGTCGGGAGAGCAGCATCTGGAACTCGGACTGAGCCTGCCATGGCGGTACAGTGTTGTCGTGCCGTGTGCAAGCCCATTTGGCGACGGCGCCCCAGACATCAGCGACGCGCATGCTGTTGGCTACGATGCCTAGACTACCGTGGACAATGCCCATCGCTGATCCATCCGGTAACGAGCCATCCAGTCTCTCGCACAGCACGATCTGGCCAAAATTGAAGCTGTCCGACTCACACGGGAGTTGTATCCGCATCTTATCACCCGACAGCATCCTGTCGCGACCCTTTCCTCCGCTGAGAAGACTGTCCATGAGGAAACATGTCCAGGCGGTGCGACGCCTCTCTTCTGCGTCGATAAAGTCCTCTCGGGTTGTCGCTGGTGGTGGTTCTTCGAATAGACCAAGAACTTGGGCCATGCGCACTGCCATACCGAGATAAACCCATGCTCTTCTACCCTCACCGGCCCCCAGGAATGTCCGGTCAGCATGAGAAGGACCTGAGCGCGATGGACGGTTGGTTGATCCACGAGGGACAATACAAGTGACCGCGCATGGGCAGCAAATGTATTACTTGCTTCGACCTGTGTCGCGTACCCCGGAGGTGCAGCCTGCGAGAACCTGCGACATGTGAGTGAGATGATAAGCGAGGGAATCATATGCCGCACCTCACAGTGATAGCCAGCATCGCCCAGACAAGCAAAGGATCCAACCTCCTCTCACGAATAGCAATGAGAAGATTCGGAATATGGTGAAACGACCACTTGTACGAGCACCGCAGATAACTGTTCTTGACCTCATCCGTCAAGAAGCCGAATGGGTCCGTGGTGGCCAAGTTTCCGGCCCGGATGAGCTCCGAGTCAGCCCGGCTTCCAGCCCCGGCTCCGACTTCATCCCGGTGACGCTCAAGACGGCTCCGGCGGAAGATAAAGGATGTGCCTTTGGGCGGGAAGACGCACTCGTCGCCGCGGTCGCGACAGCGCGTGCAGGGCGGACCGCCTGAGTGAATGCACTGAGAGGGTGAGTCAGTTGTTGTGAGAGGGAGGGGGACGGGGAGGGGGGAGAAGCACTTTGCGCTTGGAGGAGCGACATGCGCCGCATGCTATTGACTTCTTCATCGTCGATGAGTGAAGTGTTGGTGACGTCTGTACGTTGACAGGGCAGTCAATCAATCAGAGTTACTGGTATTTTGAGTGAGTGAGGGTCGGGGCTGATGGGGCAAATTTTCCAATGCTGGGCTTTGGATTGGTCAGCTTCCGGTAGGTGAAGTAAGAGACACTGAAAAAGACTGGACACCGGAGATGCAACAAGTTAAGCTGGAATTTGCATATAGAAAATGGGTTTCCCTTTTTCTTTTCTATTTCGGCTGCGTATTGCTATATCGGTTCATCGAGTAAGGCGGATTGAGGTTGTCAATGGGTTTAAGATCACTGTATTCGGTGATGAGGAATTGTTGGCTGTCATGCTCACACGAATCATAGCGGCCAGGCCCTAAAAATCTACCACGTTATAGTGGCTCCACCACTGCGAGGAATCTACCGCTTACAAGGCCTCCACTGTAATTACTGAAACACTGGGCTTCACCTCTGGCATGAACAATGCCAGCGCCTTCAGAGGTGCCTTACCTGGGAAGAATTCGAGGGGGCTTATTTTAGGTGTCCGACTTGACGTGACGTGACTTACATGGCAAATACATTCATTGACAATTGTGCAGACTTACCTACATGTTACCTTACATTGTTTAACCCGGTGCCTTTCTGGAGAGTTCAGAACCTTCGCAAGCGAGGTACCTTCTTCAGCTGCTTTTGGCCGGGCTTGAGAAACCCTCTCAAACTTTACCTCGAGAATACCTAACAACTCATCTCCTCTGGCATCTTTAATCCTCAATCTTTTCTACTGCCCTACCTTGACCGACACAACCGATGCAACTCGGTGTCGTCTACGCCCAACGCCCCTGCTAGCAATGAACGAGACTGAGCCTCATCTTATTCTCCCAGGAGGCGGCGCAAGACCTCTTGGCCACCAATCCGTGCTTCATAAAGCTCACGACACTATGATACCTCGCGACACTCATGATTCTCCACCATGAGATCGGACCAGCGTGGCATAGTGGATGGTAAGTCGAATCGGGATTTGTCGCGCGCCAGAAGCATGTGAAACAACTTCTGTCCAGCTTCAGAGTTGTCGTAATGATGCCCTGCAAAGCCTTGTGCGAATTTTTCAACATCCCAAAGACGTCCAGGGTGAAAGCTGCAGCGCATTATGGAAGTCTGGTTGACTAGATGCGCAAAAGCTTCCAATGCTCTTCTGTCGAGAGAAGAAAAGTAGATCTGATCATGCCGATCTAGGAGATTGTTCAAGAAGCGGACGGCGACGGCAGTGGCAGAAAAACGGTATTTGGAGCGATAAGAGACTGGGCGTTTTTCAGTGTGTCCTTTTCGTGTCGTAAATATGACCTTCGCAAGAGGCTCTTGACAGCTGAAGACATGTAACAGCTGTTAATGTCAATGGAAAGCTGCCAAGACCTGTAATTTGTGCGACAGCTGCTGGTCGGTCAGATGGAATGAGCACAGGTTCTGTATCTTCCCAGCCACAGTTAGCTAGGTACCGTATGCGAGTGATTTCTATACCTTTTTGCACCAGCGACAATTCTTTTTCAAATTGGCCAAAGTCACTACTAAACGTTGGTGAAGTATGGAGTGTATAAGCTAAATATCATTGAATAGCAACTGAAGTCGTGACATCGCCAAGTCAGAGTTTGGATTACTAATACTGAAGGATTCTCGAAGGGCGCCATTGTCAACGATCTACTTCAGGTATAAATGCAACCTCTCAGTATCCGAGACATTGGACAACTTGCTTCTTACAATATACCTCTAAAGGTCCTTGCTAAGCTTTCAATATGTCTTCTTTGAAGTCACGATCTGAGCTTATCGACTTCCTAAAGTCTATCCTCGACGCTCGAAATGAGACGAAATGGGAAACTCTTGAATCTCTGTTTCAGCCGAGTATGTTGATCGATACAACCTCTCAACAGCGCGATAACTTCATCGCAAACCTGCGTGCCGCCACTGGAGTCTCAGTAAAACTTGACAGTTGTGTGGTGGACGTCAACGCTCAAGCTGTCGCTGCGAGAGTCATCAAGACTGAAACGCTACCGGATGGTGGACGTTGCGAGTATCAGGAGATCATCGTCACATGGTTTGTTGATGGTCGCTTGGCAACTCTCAAGCGACTTAAAGACGGTGACTCTCGGTCGGCTAAACAAGTTGCAACCCCCTCGCCGTTGGAAGAACTGAAACCTACTTCTCTTGACCTTGCGACGCTGTACCGCGAGTACATCAAAAGCATCAATGACAAGACCATGGAGGGAAACTTTGACAAGTTCTGTCACCCGTTAGTGACGCATAATACCGTGAGGAAGACCATCGCAGAGTACATATCCCTGATTCAAGAGAGTCAAAGTGCGATTCAAGGTCTGTACTTCGATATTCAAGATCTCATCGTAGACAACGAAGCGGGGAGAGTTGCGGCTAGATTGGAGTTTACCGGTGTTCCTGTCAAGACGTGGGCTGGTGCTGAACCTAGTGGGAAGAGTGTCAAGTTTCATGAGCATGTCATGTATTGGCTTGATGAGGGCAAGATTCATTGGGTTTGGTCTGTTGTCGATTTGGAGACATATCGAAAGCAGCTTCAGTAAACGGAGTAGATATACAGTAAGAACAGAATTCACATCGCTCTAGGCGTTTGCCCCTGAATACTTCTAAGCTAGTTGTTCCACAACCAAGTCATAGAAAAATAAGTGCATAGCGTGAAGGCTGCATCTCAGAGGTCTCTTCTCACTAGATTTTAGTATTATGCATTCCAAAGTCTGCCTGTATCTTATGTGGCCAGTCGACAATTCACTCACAAATGGAGGAACCTCGGCCTTTCCACTGACACCACGACATCCACACCTGTACCGCTCCAATTATCGTCGCCACGATTCGAAACAGTGCCGCTGCTACTAATGCAACAAAAGTCAACCAAAACGTATGTCTCGGAGATCTTCTCCGCTGCGCCCATCGTCCCGGTCGAGAAACAGGTGCAGGGTCTCAGACTCAGCATACAAACTATGTAAGCGAATCGCCTAGTGGGGGTATCTCTCGAAGAGCTCTCGCCGTGTAGTAAGTGGCCTCTCGCGTACAGTTTCTCCGTGGTGGCACTTGAGCGGTGCGGATATTCTCTAATCTACTAGTCGGACATCGTTGCCTCTCCAGCGGTACCAGCGGGAGTTAAACTTGATATTTCGGTCGAGGTGTTACTGGTCTTGGGATGGGAACAGCAACCGAATCGTCTGTGGAGTTACATAAAGGAATGTCGGGATGTAGCATTCTATTTTACATATCAGCCTACAATTGAATCCACATTGTTTGCACGTACCGCTTCAACCTCCCCTTGAGAGATGTCTCCCACGGCTCATCCTTCATTACCTCATATATCATTTCGAAGAATGATAGCGGACCGAAGACTGGAAGAGCTTTTGGCATCAGAAAGATATAGGCGGGGGTGATGCATCAGGTCAAATCAAGGGTTTCTTTTCAATGCTTGATGTTGAGCTTCATGAGGATGACTACGTGGATGACATTCCTCCACCACAAGTGGTAGATACATTTACCCAAACGCTTCGTGAATCTATTGCTGAAAAGAGAGGGCATTGGTGATATACGACCCAGAAGAACAGTCATGAGCTTTCTAGGCAGAGTGCTATATGCTGGAAGTGCAAGGGCTCTCATACATCTGGCTGATCAATTTGTTCTATATAGACAACGATTTGGCTAAAAGGGTTCAACCTCTGGAGGAACTCTGGATAATGCTACCTTCTTCAGTGAGGTCACCTTGAGGCCAGAGGACTGAAGCTAGTGCTGCTGCTGGGTGAAGTGATTTTAAGTAAACTGAACCTTACGAGCAATCAACGGATCCAATGCTATCTTCAGGGGCTTTGATGTGACCTTGGAAAAACGCCCCTCGCGGGGTATCCTAAGAGTCATTTGGAAGACTTTCTCGTCAGACTAATGATGTGTATTGGTCGACATCTCGACCTCATTCTCCCGCTATCATGGAACCATGATTGCACAGCCTTAATAGAATCCTTCAGAGTGTTATAAGCCATGTCAACGATCTGAAAAATGGCTTGTTGCCACTTCACAATACTCATACTCAGGCATGCTCCCAGATTCGGATACTCCATGGACACAACACAAACAATACTCACAGAAAAGCCATATAGTGGAGATAAAACTCCAAGGCCCGCAATACATATGATAAGGCGAGATTACAAATACGCATTGGGTCTTTTCAACCGTTCCGAATGGCATTTCACAGTGGTCGGGCTACCAGGCTGCGGTAAATCAGATCTCCTCCATAGCGTCACAAGCAACGACTCAACTACAACGCCAGCTTCCCCCGTAGGTTTCAGCACTCCTCGCATCCAAAGAAGTGACATGAGTATCATGATCTGGAGTTTCACGTAAGCGTATTAGGGAGCAACTCAAGTTAGAAGAGGGAATTGGCGATGGAGGGGTTTAGAAAGAAGTGGGACTTGGAGCAGATACTGAGCGGTCGAAAGTGTGTTTTTAAAAGTGTTATTTTGAGTTGATGGACCTAACAGCTGATGCTTACATCGCGCATCTTAACTTGTCCCCTCGCTCGACCTGGGGCAGGCTAACTAAGCAATTAATAATACTGTATTTTACGTGATGTTACAGGCAGCGAACTTTTAGTACATTCACTCCTCCGCAAACTTTGACCACTGTCTGATAGTGCGACCATATCGCCAGAACAGAAAAGAAACAGGTGAGAGCGCGAGACAGATGGAGCCGATAACCGAGCAACCAACACCCAACCCCGCATCTACTAACAAGTCTGTAGCATACAAAGCAAACGTAGCCGCTATCACACAACGTAGGAAATTGTTAATGGCCAGGGCGCTATTAGCATGGACGAGATATACCTCAATCAGGTAGACCACGCCAGACATCAAGACCAGGATGGAGCCGCTGCCGAGGAAGACCCCAGCAGCAGCTTGTGCCAGCCAATTGACTGATGTGCTAGAGGTCCAACCGAACCAGAATATGCCTGGAATATGTAAGAGGGGGGTCTAAGACAGGGTAGCTTGGTGTGCGTACCTGCGGATAGGAGGATGGACCCGGCAATCATGGGAGGCAGACGTCATTCCGGCACATGAACTCGGCGCCGCTGGATGTAGTAGATGCTGTGCAGAGCAATCCCTATGCACGCCAGAGCCACGCCTATGGTCATCCCGACAAACGGAAGACTTCCCTCCAGCCGGGACCATCCGCGGACTGTGACAGATGCAAGAGGGTACATAGTAAACGTGAGGTATATGATTCCATAGGCGAGACTCATGTAGATGGTGAAGAAGATGAGCTGTAGATCATCAATAAGGTTTCCGAATGCTGGGGCATCTGACTTACTATTGGCTCACGGACGAACATCCTGACTGGCTTTGAGAGGTAGCTCTGCAGGAATATCGATATACCCAGTTCTGGACGATATATCCGAGATGGGGTAATCCCTACCGAGGTATTCCCCTCAGGTCTTTGGCGCAGCATTACCACCTCGGACGTTTCAGGGGTCAGCAGAAACGCGACACTCCCAAAGACGACACCTCCTATCAGAGTGAGCCACGCCGTCCATCGCCAGCCTAACTTGAGCATCGCCAGGTTTCCGACAATAGGTCCAACAGTCGGTCCGCAAAAAGTCGCAACGCTGAAAAACCGCCGTGGAAATTCCTCGCTCGGCAGGTCTGCTGAGGAAGTCGACATACATCCCCCAGAATCGCAAGGCTCGAAGAACCAGCTAGACCAGAGAGGAATATAAACGTCAAGAGCAGAGGCATGTTCTGCACGAGCGCACAGGGGAGTTGGCAGATGCAGAAGATGGCGTAGCCGAGAAGCAGGGGTCGTCTCTTGCCGTACAGTTCCGACGCGGGACCCCATGCCATTGGACCAAGGGCGAACCCAATAACGTAGATTGTGATGCCTAGAAGGGCAATATCGGATGAGACGCCGAATCTGGCTTGGATGTGCGGGATTGCAGCTGAGTAGACGCTGCTGCCGAAGGAGACGACAAAGGTTGCGAGAGAGGTGCTGACCACTATGCACCATTTTTTGGAGGAGGGCCAGTTGACTGGTCTGTCCTCTTCCTTGAGGCCACCGGGGATTGAGGGTGGACTTTGAGAGTCATCGAGGGAGATAGAGTTCTCAATATCGTTGGTAATTTGATTGTGCATGTTGATATGGACTGTGAAACGAGAAGAGCGGAGTTAGGAGTTCACGAATAACAGTTTGATGGCAATGAGATGATAGTCTCAAAGTTAAGGTATTTGTACATGACTCTTTAAGCTGGCCAGCTACCCCAGATTTCCCGAGTTACAGCGCTAGGGACTACCCTTTCATAAGAAAGCGACAAGTCCCGCAATCTGGGGTCATAAGCGAGATGCAACCTCGACCAAGAGCTTCATGAGCGGTCTGTACTAACCCCATGGAAGAATGAACCATCTCTCTTTCGTGGATGGAATCAGATCTCGGTGAACCTCCGGGCTGTATCTTCATGATGGGACGGGTGCTGGGAGAAGATCTTGTCGCTTTTGTGAAATCAAGTATATTCATTGACGTCAGGGGGCGCCTTTACCTCTGATGAACAAGTTGAATGTGATTTGAAGTGGCTTTTTTAGGTTATTGTGACCAAATTCATCATAGTCGTCATACAGGTCGTCGTTTATAAGGCGAACTACAAGTTCTTTGAGACACTTACTCAACTTTTACTAATCCCAGACGTGAATCAATGACAGACTTGGACAATACAGATCTGGAGGAAGATGCCCGACTCTCGGCAGATCCTTCCTGGCGCATGGTCACTTCCGCCATATAAGTGTACATAAAATGATATGCCCACTGCCTCTCACTGCTGTTATCCTGACCACTCCGAGGAGAGAACCCAGCACCAATATTACTGCCAGTTTACTCTTCTATAATGTCACTGTTTACATACCTCAGTAAACCATCATGGATATTCCCCATCCTCGCTATGGTAGCTACGGCACTACACTGCATCAACCGCCTCTTTATCAAACCACATTTCAGCCCCCTCAAGCATCTCCCCTCTCCCAGGCAAGGCCCCATTCTATTACGTCTCATACACGAGCCCAAAGTCTCCGAGATAGAAACCTGGATGGATGAGCTCCCGCACCAAGGACTCATCAGGTACATGGGAGTCTTCAACCAGGAGCGCATCTATGTCGCCACCACTGACGCCGCGCAGGAGTTGCTATTCGCGAATGCTTACAAGACTATCAAGCCTGAGCTTCAGTGGATTCTGGCGAATAATATCGCTGGCCACGGGTTGCTCATCCAGGAGGGAGATCAACATAAACAGGCTCGCAAGAGATTTAATCCGGTGTTTAGTCCTGCTCAGATGAAGAAGTAGTTTCCCACTATGTGGAACTTAGCTGTCGACGTCATTGACCTACTCTCACAACACATAAAGAGGGAACCATTTGCCCCACACCGCGTTGTAGGCATCATCGAACTGGTATCTGCGGCAAGTATCGACATTATCGGTCGTTTCGGCTTCAGCACCGAGTTCCAGACCCTCCAGAGAGTTACATCAGGGCAGAGCACTAAAGGCTCTTCAGATCCAAAGGTCGGCTTTGGCAAAGCCTACATTGAGATGTTCAAGACAACGAAGCGAGGCCAGACTACCCTCCGTGCTGCCTCCCTGATCGGGCCCCAGATCGCGCTGAAGTTACCTCTGCGAGCAGTCAAGACAATCGATAGTATCATGGCTCTGGTTCGTGCCACGGCCGAGGATATAACAACAGACCACGAGCGGAATATTGAGAAATATGTGGGACGCCCTGGTCCTGATATGCTCACGTTGCTCATGCAGACTGGTTACTTCTCGCATCAGGACCTGGTTGAGCAGACTGTTCACTTCTTTGCCGCTGCGACAGAGACCGTGGCTGGTTCTACATGCTGGGCCATCCACTTGCTCTCCAGACACCCCGATATCCAAGACCGTCTTCGAGCGGAGATCAGGGAGCATATAGCCTCGCCTCGATCAGACATTAGCCACTCTCAACTGCACAACCTGAAATATCTCAACGCTGTCACCAACGAGGTGCTACGGTACCACTCCATCAACACCCTCCTCTGGCGCGAGCCAACACAGGACATCACTCTTGCAGGAGAGCGAATACGCAAAGGCACAAAGATTGTCTTTTCGCCGTGGGCGCTGAACCGTGACCCTGCGCACTGGGGACCTGATGCGCGGATGTTCAATCCATCGCGATGGCTAGATAATCCCAGCGGCGGAGCGGACCACGCGTACTCGTTTCTGACATTTGGCGGTGGTCCGCGCCGTTGCGTCGGTGAGCAGTATGCTAGAGATCAACTGTCGTGTTTTGTTGCCAGTCTCGTTGGACGGTGTAAATTTACTCCTGTTGACTTGCAGAATGGGTCGGATGAGGGAAGGGAGATAGGTGATGATTTTGCGTTGACGCTGTTTAAGATCCTTTCGGAGTGGGAGTTGAATATTGAGTTGGTTCCTGGGTGGTAAGCTGGTTTTTGTAATATCTTTTAAAATTAATAAGATAATAGCTTTTATAATTATTAAGTATTAAAAGATAATAATAATTATTTATTTACTTAATTATAAATTAATTAAAATACTTTATTTACTTAAAATTTAATTTATTATTAATCTAGCTATTTTAGCTTATTATAATAACTTAATTACTTAAGAGGTTATATTTTAAATATTAATTTATAAGGTAATATTAGCTTATATTAATAATAACTATTATAATTATAATAATACTTATTATATAGCTAGTTTTATTAAAGTTTTAAAAATTATAGTTTATAAGTATAATTTATATAAGCTTAAATTAATTATAAATAATAATTAAATCTTTATATTTAACTCTTTAATAACTATATAAATATAATAAATATATTTTTATTTTTAATTATTACTTTATATAGTTATAACCTTAATACTTATTAATAAATAATTTCCTTTTTTTTTTTTTTTTAAGTTTATAAGTTAGCTTTAAAAGGTATATTTTAATATCTTTAAAGTTTAATATAATTTAAATACTTATTACCCTTATAATTAATAAAGCTTTATTAAGTTAAATTATTATAATTAGTTACCTTAATTATAGCCTAAACCTAGCTATATATATACTAGCTAAAAAGCCTTACCTACTTATTAGCTAGCTCTAATCTGCTTCTTATAACCTATCTAAAAGGCTAAGATACTTTAAGCCAGTTTTTAATATAACAGACTAAGGCTATAATTATAAACCTACTCTTTTATTAACCTCTACTACATACCATGCTTTACTTATCTATTATATAGTAAGTTATCTAACCTAACTTTCCCTTTTAACTATAACTACTAATAGTATTATAGCTATACTATTATAATACCTAATATTTAAAAAAGCCTATAGCTACTTAATAAGGTCTTTTATATTAAAATACTTAACTTATTCTTTTATTTCATAATAGCTCTTAAAGATTATAAATATAAAAATAAGCTTTATATTATAATAATAGAGATTAAAAAAACTTAAAATAAAGAAAATAATATTCCCTTTATTAAATAAGGTATTTTAGGCTATAAGGTCCTCTTAGTTATATATTATAATTATAAAGAGCTAATAATCTTTAAAGGCTACCTTAAGGAGGAGATTAAGCTATTATAGAAGCTAAAGTAATTTCTTATAATAAAAAGGCTTAGAGTAATAAGTAATAAGGGATTTATTAAAGACCTTAAATTAAGGACTTTAATTAAGAATATATATAAATAGTAGCTTAATAATATAAAGAAATAGTTAATAGAGCTAATAAAGGTTATAAAGCTAATTAATAGCTAGTAAAGATAAGAGGGATAGTATATTATAATATCTGAGATAGAAGCGGGGTAATTACAGGGTTTAGAAGAAATATATTAAGTTTTATATAAGTTTAATTGTCTAATATTAAAGACTTAAAGTTATAAATTTAATATTAGTAATAAAAAGAAATTAAATAAATTATAAGATAGATTATATAATTAAATAAGTAAATTAGCTATAATATTAATATATTATTAATATAAATAAGTAATAAAATTTTATTATATTATATAAATTTATTTATTATAAATAAATATATTTAAATATAATATAAAGTAATATTTTTAATTATTTAATTAAATATATTATAAATACTATTTACTTACTTATTATATTAATTAAAATTACTTTTATAAATAGTTATTAATATTATATAAGCCTCTTAATCCTTAAATATTAATTTTATATAAAATATTATTAAGTTTTTAAATTAACTAATAGTTAAAAAATAATTAAAAAATATATTTAATACTTATTTACCTCTTTTATAAGGTAATTATTAAATTTAAGCCTCTTTAACTCTTAAATATAAAGGATTATAAATTAGTTTAAGTTATTAAATCTTTTAAGCTAATAAATTTATTTAATAAATATTTTTATAATATAAAATTACTTAAAGAAGTCTTAATTAATAAGTTTATTTAAAAAGTAAGTCTTTATATTTATAACTAATAATATTATATTTAATTATTAAATATTTAAATAATAGTGTATTTTTTTAATTAAAAGTTTATTATATATAATTATACTTATTTTTAAAAAGTACAGTTTTAAGACTTTTAATTATTAAACTTATAAATTAATAAAATCAATTATCTATATAGTATTTCTTAAAATATATTACCTTATCTTTAAAAGAGGGGTAATTATTAAGTAACTTTCTATTTTAGGAAACGCAGCTCCTTTGGTCAAAATGCCCTGCTAATTTAGTACCCACGGTTTAACACATATTATTCCCAGCCTCCTAGTTAGGCTTGGTTTCCTGTAAATGGCTAAGTATCCTCTAGGTAGCATCCTCTGCCCACGTATGTCTATGCCGAGCCCCGCTTAACTTATGCTTTGCCATTTTCTTCTCTCTTTCCTGTCCTTTTCATCAATAACATTACTAATTCGCCTCAGGCGCCATAGATACCATCATGCCGTTTTGTCAATACTGCGAGGCGCTATTTCATCATGGCCCAGATATCGCTCGCCGATCTTCTCCCCGCCCCGGCGATGATCTGCTCAACTGCCCCCTCTGTGCCCACGTCAAGTCAACGTACCGTAGGAAAGGCGGCGCTTATGAGCCCGGAAAAGAAATCCTTGTTTTCAGTAACAATCCTGGTATACAAGACAGAATCCAGAGTCTGATATGCTATGCGATGATTCCTCATCTTCCCGTTCTGCAGGTTTTCATATGCCCAGACGTCGCCCAACACTCATTCTCCTTGGAGCGCGCAGCTGTCCAATACCGAGCATTCACTGACGAAGGTACGTTTCCTTAGTATTCTATTTATCAGAGCTGTTTATTAAATCCTACGGTTTACATCAGATGATCTGCTTGCTAGTTTGTTTCCTGGGCGTGTTGTCCACCGTGACGGCTCCTCGGCCACCGTGCTTGACGGCCTGCTGAGACTGGTGAAACGGCATATCAAAACGCAAGAGACGGCTCTTTTGCCAACGCGCGTACTTGATGTCGGTGGGCCGGATTTCAGCATGCGTCTCGTCACAAGCAATGGCCGCCGTGACCATTACGTCGCACTAAGCCACTGCTGGGACCAGGACGCGTCAAAACATTTCAACACCACCATCGGAAATTTGAGCAGCCGAACGGCTTCCATTAACTTTGAAGACATGCCCAAGACGTTCCAAGATGCCACCATAGTTACGAAAAGGCTGGGTTTGCGCTATATATGGATTGACTCCTTATGCATTATCCAGGGCGAAGACGGTGACTGGACTACTGAGGCTCCAAAGATGGGCCAATACTACGGAGACGCTTTTATGACGATAGCGGCCGACTGCTCACAGGGTGATTGCGAGGGATTTCTCCAAGTTCGGCATATCAACATGGCCAACGCGTTCGAAGGCACAACGTCCGCTAGTCATGTCTTATTACTGCCTAGCCAACGACGTCTGAAACCCCACAGCGACGGTGAACCCTCCTCATCTGACGGTGGAACGCCCACATACCGCAGCGCGAACGATACGATATATGCTGATGAGGTCGACACCATCGAATATCAGAATGATGAGGGGACCCGCCGCTTGCATCTGAAAAGCGTGTCCTGGGATGGACGTTCTACCCGCATGAATCCAATTGAGGACGAGCCACTACAGCATCGAGCTTGGACTCTTCAAGAACGCTATCTATCCAGGTACACCCTACACTTTGGTTCTGAACAGAACTTCCTTGAGATGCATGAGTCCCAGAAATTGATCTATGAAGATGGCCGAGAGACCTTCAGTGCCTATTATTGGACCACACTACATGACAGTAATCATGCGTTGCCTTTTCGAGGATGGTATCGCATGATTGAGGATTATACCAAACGAAATATCAGCTTCAGGTACGATACTCTCACAGCATTGGCAGGTGTGGCTCAGAAAGTCAGCCGGTTTGCAAATGCCAAATACTGCGCCGGGCTTTGGGAAAGCGACCTGTCTCGCGGGCTGCTATGGTGTGTAGCAGATCCCGGTTGTCCGGTTCGGTGGAGGGAGCACTCAGCCACTGTATCAACGACTGATTACATGGGCCCTTCATGGTCATGGGCTTATGCCTCGGGTGGTGTCCGCTTTCTCCTCAATGACCTCTCGAACCGAGTCCATCCTGAGAGCCTACTGCTGGGCTATTCCCCCAGTGACGCCATAGACGACATTGACGTGCCATTTCTGGAACTGGTCGCTTGCGAAATTACGCCTCTGGACATCAATTTCCCACACGGGCCCCTGATAGAAGGCACAACGCTGACTCTGAAGGCTCCTGTATATCCTATCCGGCAGTTACGTTGGGAAAGCAAAGGCAAAACCCGTTACTACGAGAGAAGGCGCAATGAGATTTCTGAGACTTGTCACATCACAATCGACGTAAATGGTACTCTTTATGAGACAGAAGCCATGCTTGACACACTCGCTAAAGATAGTAAGATTCTCGAGGAGACACAGCTTCACGCCATCTTCTTAGCTTATACTCTCACCATTGGAGATATGCAGAGTCTCGTGGACTACAATGAAGGGGACTTGATTAGCAGATATATTGGAGATATTTTGGGTTTGGTGGTCGCGGAGAACGCAGACACTGTCACCCGGACGTGCAGACGAGTTGGGGTCTTTCGAGACTCCTTCCCACTGCAGAATGACAGTGCCAAAACAAATGCAGTACACAAGGAAATGTTTTTAGAGAAACGCAGTAAGGTGCTTACGATAGTCTAATGGAGGTATTTGGAAATCTCAGCTTCTTGTTTTTCGTCGTTCTTTGTATCTGCTGACAAAGTGAAAAACAAGTCGCGCGCACCGCTCGGGTAGTCTCGTTTCCAGCCTCGCCTTCTCAAAAGAAGCAATTATCCTGTCGCCGACAAGGCACTGCTATCACGACATCTATAGTAGCGCCGGTTTTCCCGTCATTTTTGTCTAGAGAAGCACCGTCTTTGAGTGCTCGCCTGGTTTCCTGGATTGCGGAAAAGGGGTTGGAATGGCCTTTCACTTTTGTTTAGAAATGTTCCGGCGAACCGAACTAAGCTACTGCCCAAAGGTTTCGGGGATGAATATCTTTGGGGGATTGCCGCCTGGTCAGGACTTCATACATTCTACCAGATACCACTCTCCAGTCAGGTACTTCGGGGCCTTCGGCAAATATGCCTGATGACATCGCTTCGATCGAACATTTCAAATGGAAAATTCGAAGAACTAGTGTCACTATTGTCACTCCTGGTTGAAACGAGGGCATTTGATCCCCGCGACAAGGTTTACGGCGTTCTCAGTCTCGTGCAAGAAAAGAAGGCCGGTCTACAAACAAGTCCAAAGATCCAGGCAGACTACCCCTTATCGACAGGAATTTTGTACATCGGGCTAGCTTAAAGATACTTATCACAGACGGCTGAGGGGTTTGACGCCAGGATTTTGCTTTACGCTGGAGTTGGATGGCCAAGAACGTTGAATGAACTTCCATCATGTGTTCCAGACTGGACTTCCATACCAGAGACTCATTCAAGGGCTTTCACATCAATAGGTTTTGAAGGGAATTGGTCGGCAACGCTGTCCGCGTGAAAGAAAACGTTTTCCCTTGCAGGCAATATATTGAAAATATCTAGTTGTCATATGATAGACAGTATATCGGCCTAAACACAGATCATTGATCATGACGATGGCTCAAGACGATGGTTTCACGAGATCTGTGATGTGGTGGAAGGACAGTTGAGATATATTTCGAAAAAAGAGATTGATCTTTTAGGAAAATGGAGTCAGTGTTATTGAAGGTGCCTGGGTTGATGGAGAGGGGCTATTTTTTGAGTTCTGATTGGGGATATCACATCTTACTGGGGAGAGGTACCCCATCAAACCAAAGTCATAACTTTCGTGCAACCAGACGCCTTCCTAACAGGGGTTCCGGGAGCGGGCATTTAAAACCCTAATCATGCAGATATAAGAGCAGGCCGCAGGACGCCGGAGGCTAGCTATGATGAGTGGCTCGAGCTTCCACATGGTCGATTGAGTCATCCAGACACGATTGAGCTTATAGTATAATGTTTACATTGTAAGCTAACTGTGTTATTTGCAGTCAAGACATATGGCTAAGAGCTTATAATCACCACACAGAACTTAATACAGGCAAGCACAGTCCCCAAGTCTGCTAACTACAATTATATGTTTATTAAGGAATTCCTTACCTTAGCCTGCATTAAAATAAAGCCGTCTTTCTCACAGTTAGACCATCGTTGTTGATCATCAAAATTCCCCTAGCTGAATCGAGGCCCCTTTAGAGCTGTCCTGAAGAACCCAACCATCTAATCCCAAAGGACTCTCTCGGCTGACTCAAGAAGGTAATCCATCTTGCCTCCCCGATCCACAACTCTCCTCTCTCTAGATGAATCGGCATAAATGCAAAGTTTCCGCCCATAAATCCATCGCCGGCCCGCCTTCCGAATCACCACTCGGCAAAGACGGGTTCACTAACAAACTAGTCAAGCCACAAACCCAAAAGAATATTAAAGATTCATCGGTCTAGATCAATCCACTTCTCAGAGGCTCAAAGGAGGCCAATTGAGTTCAAGACGGTCTGCAGATGAAACGTGGTGTAATTTATCTAGAGTTTCGCTCATGGGAGGTAAGTGTCAGGATTGTCGAGTCAAGTTTTGCGTGGCAATTGACAAGACAGCTTTGGCAGGAGGCTCGGTGTATTAAAACTCTATTATTAGTAAAGATCATGGGGAGTCATGAGGTCAATTGCTCGATGAGGCAAAGAAGTTTGGGAAGAACTCTCATGATTGCCTATTCGAGCATGTCGATCATGCAGAGATAACTCAATTGAGAAGCTTATCCAGTCAAATTGATCGATCTAATTATTCTCCGCTTTCTCCCGCGATCTAGATTCCCGAGCGGAGATCCATGACTCGTCAACCCCGAAAGAGATCAGCACATCCAAATCGTGAGTCTAGCACAGTGGGTGAAACAAAACTGCCTCAGGTTGGTGTCAGCCCTATACCCTTCAGGGGTTTAGTCATGGCAATTGATAGGGACGCATGACTGTTTTACTAGGGACGCATGACTCTTACGGACGCATGACTTTTATGCCTTCTTATTGGTTAAAAAATAACTTGACCCATATGTACATTTTTTGAAAGGCGGTGAAGACAGCTCGCTTAACAAGCTCGCCATTAAGCCAATTAAGTAGTAGGATCTTAATCCAGCTGGATCCAGCCTCTTCATTAATCCTACTTGATTCAGAGCCCGCTCTGATATATTCCTTATCGACCATCTTCATTCATACAAAAATGCCTCCATCTCGACGCCATGGCAGTGATTCCTACCTTCAATTACGACCTCAGAAGCGACAGCGACGCGAATATATAGTCCCACGTCAACTATCACCCACTAATACTGCTCTAAGCATTGGCAGTTATTATGGCGTTGGAGACGAGGGAGCCCTTGAGAATATATTTGCATCATATCCCCGCCACTTTACAACTATTCCACAGCCTGAAGGTTCAAGAGGACTTGAAGAGCCAGCATGGGAGCTACGATTTGACCACGATATATATCTTAGTAATGATTACCCAACGCCAAACAGACCACCAACCCGTATACGAGGCCCGATACCAGGCCCTGAGGCTTTTCGCTCTCCGTTACAGCAAAATAATACAACCAATATTGAATATACCGATAAAAGTATATCACCACGTGCCCAATTCAATTCTGCTTTACGCCTAGTCCGAGAAGTCATTGGCACTGAGCAGAGACTGAGCTTCGAACTCGCCCAATCGTATGAACATGTCCGGCACTGGCGCGAACAATGGGGCTATTCGTCCCTAAGCTCAGGCACATCTAACTCTCCTCCTCCATACTCGCCCACACACCAACCACAGCCTTATGATACAATTACAATATCTTCTGACAGCGACAGCTGGTTACGATCTTCAACCCACGAGCCGTCTTCACCAGAGCCTAATCAAATCCCAAATCCACCAATTCCCGGCGACCCAGCTCCCTCAGCCGAGGTTCTCTTTAATCAAGTTAATACATTTGCAAAGAATAATGGGTTTGGCATTGTTAAACTCAATGCTTATTCCTATAAAGGCCGGGTGAAACGTTATACGTTTCAGTGTGATCGATATGGAGAGCCAAAGCCCTCTCGGGGCGCTAATCTTAGGGCCCGGAAGTCTCGCAAATGCGGCTGTAAATGGAAGCTTATCGCTGAGGCGCTTACGGAGGGGGCATGGCTTCTACGGCTACATGACAATCCTGAGCATCACCAGCATAATCACGGGCCTAGTGCTGCGTCATCTGCACATCCCTCTCATCGAAGATTGACTAAGGATGCTAAGGCAACTATTGAATCTACAAGTCGTCGGGTTGGCATTCGAGCCCGTGACGTACGTGCTGTTGTTCAAGACCAACACCCTGAACTCAACTTTACAAAAAGGGATATCTATAATGCTAGATCTCTTATCAATCGCGAGAAGCTAGGTGGCCTCAGCCCCACAGCAGCGCTGATCAAGCTCTTTGATGAGCAGAAGGTGCCTTATATCGTCAAGTGGGCAGATGATAATCCGAACCGTTTACTAGGCCTTGTATGGACCTTTCCGTACTGCATAGGGATGTGGAAACGATTTCCAGAGGTAATCAGCTTCGACAATACCTATAATACGAACCGGTTTAAGCTTCCACTCTTCCAAGCAACGGGTCAAACCTGTCTTAGAACAGTTTTTAATACAGCATTTGGTCTTATTGATAACGAGAAAAGAGAGGGCTTCCAATTTCTTGCAGAGAGTATCAAGCAACTTATAGAGGAGCATTCCATCCAGCAACCGGATGTGATTATTACCGACTTCGATGGTCAAATGAAAGCTGCACTCAACGACCAGTTCCCCGAGGTTCAGCAGCAGCTTTGTATCCATCACATCAACTCAAACGTCCAACTTCGAGCTAAACAAAAATGGCTAAAGAGCCCTGGCTCTAGTAGTAATAGCAGCTGTGGCTCTGATAATGAGGCTGGTAGCTCATCACAAGTTCAGCTTAGCACCGCCAACCAGCAATCTCTTTCAGCGCCAGTACAGAATGGTATTCCGCATACCTTTAATGGTGTATTTGCTATGTGGAAGCTTGTTGTATTTGCTGAAACTGAGGAGGTGCATGATAAGGCGTGGATTAATCTCTGTAAGGAATTTAACGACCAACGACCCATATTACGATATCTCTATGGCACGTATATGCCTATTCGGGCACAATGGGCACGCTGCTTTATTCAGAACTATCGCAATTTTGGCATCCGTGTGACCTCTGGTACCGAGGCAAGCAATAACAATATCAAGGGATACCTCCTAAATGGGATGAGCAACCTCTATCGACTAGTTGAAGCGATGCAGGATATGATCAAAGATCAAAGTCAGGACTTTATAGATGGCTGTGCAAGCGATGAGGTACTAACTGCACCTGAGTATCTCCGCCCTAGCGCAGAGTACTTGGGCGAGCTTCGGACTCTAGTTTCATCGAAGTGTCTCGCGTTAATTACGGCACAGTATCGACTGGCAAAGAAGGCAATGCCAACAGCTAAGAACCCATTCCCGGCTGCCCTTGGCGACTGTGTTTGCTCTGTCCCGGTTGAACTTGGTATACCATGCTACCATTCAATCTACATCAAGCTAGCTTCAGGAACTTCCTTTACAAAACAAGAGGTTCATCCACATTGGCGTATACGAGAATCATCATCTTCTAATCCATACCGAAGGATTATTGACCCAAGGATTATTATATCTCTTCGTGGAAGGCCTAGAAATACAGTATTACCCCTTCCATCGCAACTATCAATTGATGCAGCAACACAACAGGAAGAAGGGCAAACAATCCAAGTGTTGCCAGAACGAAGGCGTGGTCGACCGCGTAGGAGCTTAAATAAAAAATCGCTTGCTAGGCATGCACAGTCACGGTGCCATACTTCTACTAGAGAAGCGAGCTCCTCTCAGCGACACACGCGAAGTCAATCTAACAAACTTGGGGATGGAAAGACTACAGGTATTCGTTCAAGTGGGCGGAGATTGAGGTCTAGTGTGCGAAGAGAGAAGAGCGAATGGGAAATGATATAAAATAGCTTGGTATAAATCTGACTAGATTATGAAATGAATTAAGATACAGATTATCTTCTTTGGAATTAAAATAAAGAGGGTGACATTATGTCAAGGCGGCAGAATTTATTAGAGCTAACAATAATTTTTTAACCAATAAGAAGGCATAAAAGTCATGCGTCCGTAAGAGTCATGCGTCCCTAGTAAAACAGTCATGCGTCCCTATCAATTGCCTTAGTCATATGCAGCCGCGAATCTTCAAGGTCGCGTTGAACCGAATGTGATAGGGGCATTTGTTTTAGCTTGGGGCTCATGCAGCTTTAGCTTCTGTGATAAAGATGGAGGTGTTCCCTGCATGTTCGGATGTCCCCCTGCTCTGCTCTGTTCTGTCTTTGCCAGTTTGGTTGTAAAATATGCCTCAGATCGAAGATAGGCCGTCGGTATGTTTGGACTGTTGGGATTGCGGCAGGTGACTGATGTGATTAGTTCCTTATTGAGTCATGGACGCTTTATGTCTTCGGCACGCTTATTCTCTTCTCGCGCTTTGCAGTTCGTTTCAAGACTGTTGGATGGAGGGGTTTACAAGGCGATGATTTCTTTTCTGTTCTTGTTCTCATATTCTACGCTGTAGATGCGTTTACAGTACATCTCATCTGTAGGATCCCTTAGCTTTACATCTTCATCCTCATCACTAACTCGACAGATTACCTCGGCACCAACATCGAAGCTGGAGTCGCTGCAAAGTTACACAGTCAGTACTTCCGAACCCTTACAAAGAATTATAAACTTACAATCGAAAGCTTTAACGAAAGATGAAATCAATGAATACGAAACAGGTTCTAAACTCGAACTTTCAGCTTGGTATGCTTACACAGCCCTCATTTGGTCTCTGAAGGGAACGATGTTATGCTTCTTTTCTCGAATGACGATCGGGACGTGGCATAATATGTTTGTAAAGACTGTTTCGGTGCTGTGTGCCTTGTCTTACCTTGCTGTCTTCCTTACGGTAATCATCTCCGTCGAGTTTGGTGTTAGGGGTAGAGCTGATTGTGTGTAGATTACGTTTGGATGTTTTCCTACTCAGAAGAACTGGCAGTAAGTTTCAACGCTTATGTAGATGAGTTAAGCTGACATTGATTGAAGGGTTGTGCCTGATCCTGGAGGTTAGTTGCCCCAAGCTACAAGATATCGAAAGTGAACTAACAGCTCTCACAGAGAAATGCTCCTTCAAAATGCAGAACTTCCTCGTAACAACAGTTCTAAACGTCCTGTTCGTCAAACCACCTCACCTCAAAAGATCTATCTAACTCTCCAGTACCGACGCTCTCATCCTCGGAATTCCAATGCCTCTCCTCTGGAAACTCCAAGTCACCTTCCGCAAGTCCGTCTCCCCTCCCCTCCCCCAAACCCCCTCTAACATCCCCAGAAAACTCATCATCGGCATCCTCCTCTCCTCAGGAGCATTCGTAATCGCAGCAGCTATAACCCGCGTCGTCCTCACACTATCCGCAAATCCCTCTGCACCAACGATCAACGCATGGGGCGTTCGAGAGACCATCGTTGGAATCCTCACCGTCAACATTCCCATTCTAAGACGGATCTTCTCAAAGTCCTTTTGGAATGGAAATGCTCCGAGTGAGATTGCTTCGTCGTACCGGACGACGGCTCATGGGACGCGGGGGGTAAAAGGACGCTTACGCAGGATATTTCGGGGCCGTATGAGATTACGCCGAGTATTAATGAGGGATCGAAACCGAGTGTTAGGGGGAGCCAAGACTCGATCGTTTCGAAGACTGTAAGAATGGCTGATATTGTTGTGTCAAAGTCGTATCAGGTCAGTCATGATGTGAACACTTATGATGGGAGGTCATGGTACGGAGACCGAAACGGAGCTTCGAAAGCCTCTGTGCATGCAGAATCACCCGTTTAGATTTCCTGGACTCGTAATAGAGTAAATCCTGTGTAGATGAAGTTGAAGTGACTTGCCATTCATGATAGAAGCCGCGTGATAAGCATTCTTTGCTATTCACACACATGCTCAAACCTGATCCTTCTTTATCCCTATCCTTAGTATAATAGGGATGTTTGGTTTTATTCGGAGCAAAGTGATTTCGTAACACCTTTCTAGGCTTGGATTATATCTAACAGTAGTTTTTCGCTGTCATGGCACAGATAGCCATCCTATCCTCTGGACCACCTTGAAGTGTCCCTCAGCCGAAGCCAGAGCCAATGGGGTCTTCCCAGTCTTATCCTTTGTCCATGAATTTGCCTTGCCCTCGTTCAAAAGCAACTCGACAGCCCCTAAATGACCCTTGATTGCAGCATGTCCAAGCGCAGTCATCCCAGCATCATCCTTGGCATCAACGTCGATACCAGGTTTGCCAAGCAACACCCGAATTATCTCTTCACTCCCCTGTTGAGCTGCGTGAGATAATGGTGTAAGTCCTTCCTCATCTCGCACGGCGAGATTGGTTTGCTCCAAAGACACAAGCAGCCTGACTATGTCTGTTTGTCCATGTATGATGGCCCAGATCAGCACTGTCCTTCCTTTCTGGCCCTTCATGTTCACGGCCTGTTTATAGTTCAACAGTAGACAGGCCATGTGCCATTTACTCTGATAAGCAGCAAGCAGTAGTGGTGTACACCGGAAATTATCCATCACGTTGAGCTTTGCTTGACCTGTCTGCAGAAGCAGGCGCAACATATCCGCGTCTTCCATCCAAATACAGTTATGAACAGGTGTTCTCCCATAGATGTCCTGAGTGTTGATATCAGCCTGGGAATTATCGAGGAGATATTTTACCAAGCTTTTATTGCCGTTCAAACAAGCCAAAGAAAGTGGTGTACGGCCATCTTTATTCTTCATGGCAACGCTCGCCTTTCCAGTTGCGATCAGGGCGCTTGTAATAGGAGCTGAGCTTGCCTGAATGGCGTGATGAAGTGGTGTATTGCCGTTGGTATCAGCTATGTTCAAGTCCACTAAATCGGCTTCCAAGAATGGGGACACTGCGTCCGAGTCTAGGGTCAAACAAGCCTGGGCAAGAGGCGTAAGCCCATGGCTATCTCGGCTATTGGTAGGCGCTTTTCCTGTTGCTAGAAGCTCCCTGATCATTTGATATGATCTTTTTGTGACAGCTCTATGCAATACAGTTTTGCCGTTGGTATCAAACAGATTGATATCTACCTTGTTGGAGTTCAGCATGACTTTCAGCTTGTCCGCCCAATCCTTGTCGGTCTCAAGAATGGCCATTGTACAATCTTGAACGCTTAAAGTATCATCGTAAAGATCAAACATCAGTTTAAGAGTTGAGCAAGAATTGTATCGAAGAACCCAAGAGTATGCGGGGTCTTGACAATTGACTCTGGCAGTGACGTTGGCCACTCCTGTCCTTAATATCAGCTGAGCAATATCGTGCTGTTTCCAACGAGCAGCTTGGTGCAGAGGGGTCAGCCCAGCCAGATCTGGCATGTTAACGTCAGCGCGCCCAGTTTGCAGTATTAGCTTTGCTATTTTGAACTGCCCATATTGGGTAGCGAAGTGAAGAGGCGTCATGCCAGTGTTGTCTCTAATATTGACATCTGCTTTGTGTTCCAGGAGAAGTTTGATAACTGGAATATGTCTGTAGTTGATAGCCCACATCAGTGGAGTCCAGCCCCAGTCATCTTTCGGATTGACGTTTGTTTTCCTAGCTTCCAGAAGCACTCTCACGACATCAATATGGCCGTACGTGGCTGCGGATAATAAAAGATTTTCTCCTTCATGATCGTGTGTGTTACTGGGTATATCTCCACGTAATACCATATTAGCGATTTCGAAGTTTCCGCTTGTGGCTGCGTACGAGGTTGGTGTTCCTCCCAAGACATCGGGAAAGTCAACCCACGCGCCGGATTCAACCAGGCATTGAACAACAGATATGTGTCTATTCCAAATAGCATAGGTCAGGGGTGTCCGATTATCTGAATCAAACTCGTTGATCTTAGCTCCTCGTCGGAGTACGATTCTCAGGGACCTCGGGCCGATCGATATGCCACGAACTAGACGTTTCACGACACCATCATGGCCGTTGCCTGCTGCCCAAGACAACGCCGATCTTTGGTAAGTCTCATCCTTTTCGTTTAGCTGAGAGTATTCAGACATGAGAAGTCGCTTCACAATGACCTCGAGTCCAAAATAAGATGCGGCCATCAAGCTTGTAAACCCCGCAACGGCCCGGGCGTGTCGACTTGTCCAATAAATTGGAAACCAAGCCGCGAAGCAAGAACCTCTGACATCACATATCTCTAGTGCCACACTCGTCATCTTCTTCTGGTTATGAGATGGCAGCCCATTGAAATGATTCGCCCAGTATTTAGCAGCGTAGTTGACAAACGGGTTCCTCTTGGTATGTTTTGAGGCATGTGAGAAGTCCCTATGCCGCTGCTTCGTTGAGTGGTCCAGGAGGAGGCACCAAACACAGACATTGGTAAGAGTCACGTTAGGGTCGCCTACGAGTACTGAGTGTTTCCAGCTTAGACTGATGGGGCTGGCTGGTTCAGCGTGGTCCATGGAAATCAGAAACTCCTTAACAGTCTGGTGGAGAAGGAAGATTCGCGAGTCGTTAACGGTAACCAATCCGCAAATGTCTCTAATCTTGTCACGGAAGCGGTCCTCGGGCTCTAACTCGATCTCATCAATAGACTTGTGGTGCTGCTGAAGTTCGAGGGCAACAATCATTTCTCCCAACGTAAGAGGACGCTTTGCGGCGAGGATCAGGTGCAGCATCCTGGTTGCCTTTTCAGTACTGAAGGTTCTGCACAGTATCCTCTCGTAGGCTTCGTTAACGGTTTGAGGGAGATGTGATGTAATGTCGATAATCTTCTCTTTGTTTATGTCAAGCTCACGCTCAATCAAATCCAATGTCAGGTGCGCCCAGAGATATGTTCGATTCCGAACACACAAAAGCCGGGTCACTAGTATGCTTTTCTCATCACCTGTGAGTCTCTGCTGGACTCCGATAGTCCGGACTCTTTCTCTGATGGCGATGTCTATTTCCTTGACGATCTTTCTCATCTCAGCATCGCTCTCGCCACTGAGGCGAATGACTGGCAATTTCAAGTTCTCCAGTGGCTTGAACCCCATACTGATTTCTCGATAAGGTCGACTTGTGATGAGGAACTTCAGGTTCGGGCTCTGGCTGGAGCCATAGAGCTCACACAGAGCCTTGAAGAAATGATTCCTCTCATGTTCATTGCACTCATCGACTGCATCAACGAGACAAATTATTTCTTTACTGGAATTGCTCTCGGCAACCTTGATGAGAATTTGCCATAGCTCAACAAAAGACCCAGTTATCCATTGGCCGTTGGCATCAAATTGTAAGAGGATCTCGTCCGATAGTAGCGTTTTGTCTTGCATGAAGAGCTGCTGAAGGATGCAGCTGAGGGCACTGAGAAGACTCTTTTGATCGGCAAAATCATCCTTGAAGAAGAAATAGCAGACGATCCGAGAGTTTGTGGTCTGAATGATCGAGTCAATGAGGTGTTTGACGAGTACTGATTTCCCGCATCCAGGATCAGCAGAGACCCAGAGGATCTTTGAGGCTTCTTGGCCCAGCCATTCATGATAAAGATGATGAGAGATGAACCATTCACAGGTCCCTCGGACAGCAGAGGGATTCCGATCCTTCCGGTCGTGGTATGGGGAAGTTGCGAGACGCTTCAGGACCTGGGCCTTCCTTCTTTCTTGAGATTGATTCCCTTCGTTAAAAAGTTAGAAGACGGTGTAAGGCAAGAACGTTTTGACTTACCGTTGCCCCCATTACTTTCAACAAAATTTACATCTCCATGAAACTGACTACCGAGAAATTGGTTGCCGTTTCCTGTATTGTTATACTGAGTCCCTCCGGAAATGTTGAACTGATTTCCAGTGGTCGACACGGGAGTATCATCGCCTGGGTTGTCATCACTGTTGCATGCTTCCAATACTGTACTCGTTTGTTCTTCCACAAGCTTCGGGCTGTTCTTCATAGGTTTTCGACTAATAATATCACGTCTCGACGATTGCGGCGAGGGGTCACCTGGAATTCGGGCTGTACTCGCCATACCTCGCCTGACGACGGGTCATGTCAAACGGATAGACGATTAACAGCGAGCAAATGGGTAATCTTCTAAGCAGTCGGTATGCTTCAAGAATGGTGTTTGTTATGTGTTATCTGCAGTTGGTTCTGGCCAGGAGCTGAAGCTTATCTTGTTGTGCACCTCACTCCACTGAGAACAGGATTGGATACAGGCAGGTCTTGGTGGGTGACTGTCTACAAGGCCGGAAAAGCTACCAAAAATTGACCAAAACCTGTTTTTCCTCAATATCTGTTTTAGCGCCATTGGTTTTTCAGCTGGAGTCCTAGAACACCTTTGCCCGTCTTTAGAGGCAGTGCTTTATGTGTTGTCCAAGCAGAACGCCCTGTTGTGAAATGGTTGACAGCCTGCCTTAGTGCTGTTGGCTGATTGGATCACTAACGCCTTTTTCAACCACAAGGTGTGGTTCCCCTCTTGAGATACGACACAAACCTTCATGAGCAATGGCGAATCAATGCAGGAAACCTTCTAGATTCTCTATAAAACTAATTATTTATTTGATGGCAAACCAAAATAGACAGGCCCATCGAAGTTCCCAAAGAACTGGTTCCCCCCTCCTGTGTTGTTGTGCTGCGTCCCTCCACTCGTATTGAAAATATGGCCAGCTGTTGTTTGAAGTGATGGGGTAGCATTTGGCGTTTTCCCATCCAACTCTAGCTCAGCCACAGGCCTGACAGTTGAGTCACCCGTTCCAAGCATGGCCTCCCACCTTACCAATTCCCCCAGCAGTCTCTTGAACCCGTTTTCCTCGGCCGAGCCAAACTTCACCATGTCAGAGTGGTTTGCGTGGACGCTGAAGGCGCTGTAGCCCTCAAGCGAGGCTGATTCTTTGGCCACAATGGTGCCTACTCCAGGCATGGGCAGTTCTTCGAAGAAACAGGTGATTTGCAGAGGCCGACCACTTTCGTGAAGCTCTCGTAGCATCGATAGGAACGATGTTTGAATGAACTCGAGATATTGGTTGTTGATCTGTAAAACATCCAATATGTTGCGGTTTGTCGATTTGACTTGACCCATCGCCCAAACAGGTATTTTTGCCCAGTCAGCAGCCCATGAACCCCGGTGCGGAGTTCCAAGGAACGCAATGCCCTTGGTGCAGTTGAACACTTGCCCAAGATGAGACTTGAGACTTTGTCGTGAGATAATCAACGCTGCTTTGCAAACAATACCGCCAAAGCTGTGCACAATAAAGATAATAGGTCGATTGATGGTGTTGGAAGATGAGCGTTCAGCGGTAAGGTCGTGCAGTAAGTTATTGGCATGGTCGATTAGTCGATTTGTTGAAGAAACAGACTTCTTCACAACGTACGCATCGTAGCCGTAAGTGAGAAGACGAGCTTTGGCCAGTCGGGATGGAAGTAATTCGGCGGGCCAGGGGTTGGGTTGGCCATGGGCAGTCCAAGTCTTATCGCGATTGCCTGACAGACCGTGGATAAAACAGATGTCAACTTCTGCGTCTTCAGGACTGTGCCAGATTTTCACACCGTCTGGGAAGTCGTTTCGTGCAGGTTCCGCCACTAGGTTGCTCGTTGGACTTGAGGTTCTAGGTCGGCGCCAGACTTGACCGAAGCTCTTCATTTTTTGTATATTTGATCTGAACCAGTTCACAATGATGGCAAGGGGAAATTATTTATAAGGGTCATTGTGCCTAGAGTCTTGGCTGCTTGCCGAGCTGGGGTGTTGCTAAATAAACTAGATGCTCAGCCGCACTGGAACTTGCATTTCAACACAGCCATCAAGCACCCAGCTTTTGCGCGTTAGCTCGATGGCGGATAACAATGAGGCAGATCTGTCAGTTAGGCACTTGAGTTCAGACATATCCAGTGCAATATCCCTTGTCTCGCGTCCAAAGTTCAGAGAAGTATTGTACTTATTAATCCTCCCAAGCATCTAAACTTCCCCCGAGGAACAATCTTTGGGTCTTTGGCTGAGCGACACCCTCATCATTAGCCTACCAGCCTCGTACGGGGGCCTTGTTGCCTCTTTCGCTCAGTACTCTATGACAGCATTCAAAAGAAGACCTAAGGGCCTTGGTAATTTCAAGCGTTGCATGCAAAAGCTTCTGTCAAGCCCTGAGCTCCTGACAGCGCCTTCGCCGAAAGATGCTTTTGTTCGCAGTCTCGACATTGTCAAACTTTATTTTAGTACCGATATTATTCTAGGAATTTTGGGGTTCTTCTTTTGTGCAATTGAACATAACTTACGCCTGGTTGATGGTTTCAATGATGAGTTTGGGAATCAGAAGGGCATAATGACTTAGGTAATGAAATTGCATTGAATTCTGACCCAGGAATTGTCATTAAGAAATAAGAAATACCAAAATGAGTTGAAGATATGGCAGTAAATCGTGCAAATCAATTTTTTCAATCTGTTTAATCGCCGAGCCCTAACACTAAAAAAACAAAATTCTCAGAAACAAGTACCACTGCTAACTGCAATCCTACACAAGCTTCCTAAGTTCTTCAATCTGTCCAGCAGATTAGCCAATTCTCCTCAACCCATCTTACACTTCGCAACTTCACATTCAAGAGCTATCCATGCTCTCCCGCTCCTCAATGTTCTCAAACCAAAAGCCATCGGCGTCCCGATCAATAATCCCAGAACAGCCCTTACAGCAAGGACGGTACTCTCATCCACACTCCGGAGCAGTCTCCGGAAAAGACTCGATACTAGCTTTTCCACCATACGTGGGGATCATCTCTTTGTTGCAAGTCTTTTTACAGACCACACATTCAAGTCCGGTCTTGTAAATAGGGCACTTGCGCTTTGCGACGAAGTTTTCGGCGTAATAGTCGAAGACCTTGCGTGGCAAGCATCTTGGACACATGATGTGGCCGCAAGGAGTTACAAGAGCGATGTCGAGTTTCTCATCGGGGGATGAAATACATGTTACGTAAAGTTCATCCCAACAGACGGCGCAGATAGCTTTCATGGGTTTAGCGTTGGGATCATCGCTGAGGATGTGCTTCCGGATGTTAGGCCAGAAGCTCTCCGTCACGGTGCCTTCGGCGTTTTTGTTAGCGTGATTCTCATACTTGGGGTTCAAGGGGAAGTTGGCGTTTGCGTTTACCATTGTAATAAAGTCGAGAGTCTGGGAGCTTGCGAAGGGATGTGGTTGGGCTTCCTTGGTAGAAGACCTAGGAGTAGAAAGCTCTTTGAGTCGCTGGAAGATGTTCGTGAAGGGAGACATGATTAATAGTAGGGAGATGTTGTGTGTGATCGATAATAGCGTTGATGAGAAACTTTGATAAGATTTGCTGTGAACTGAGTGCTCGATGATGAGTGTCTAATTAGGGAGGGTGAGTGTGATTACATACGCTATTCAGCAGCGATGGATGTTACTTGAATCTGTTCATTTGTTCTGACAGAGGCTTTACGTGTTTTCTCGTTTATTTGATGTTCCTTTGTGGCTCACTGCTATGAAGTTGTGATATCTCTGAACGTGCGAAGTGATCGAAGATGAGGACATTTCATTTGCGAAAGGTGCTGTCTGGCCAGAGGTCTTCCAATTTCTCCACGAAATATGCGAAGGACACGAAATATGTCCCAAGAATCGGTGTGAACAATTTATGATTCAGGGCGAAAACCCCCCGATAATGTTCAGCTGAGCTCTATGTTCTGTTTGCCATTATCTGAGCAATCACTTTTGACGCCAAGTTGCTTAACCCTAACACATCATATTCAATGCCCCTTCTCGCGAACAAGTACAAACTCCATTCAGATGTCGTGGTACTTTGACATATTCCTTCCAATTCTCAAACTCTAGATCAACATTGTTCCACTTGTGGTTGACTCTCTTGTCTCTACACGATAATCGCAGATTTCCTAGAAATTACCCATCAGTATGCGGAAAGAAAGGTAACTGAAAGGAGTTGTACAAACCTTCCTCTTCGTTCTGAAGTCAGTGTACAGAGAATTCCAAATTATCCTCGCCGTACAGTCCTCTTCTCCGCTTGTTCTTCGTGAACAATTCGGTTGTGCCCCAAGACGCTCGTCCTCAGGCGTAGGTTTCCAAGGTTTTGGCAGCGGCCAGTCCGAAAAGTGAATTAGTTTAGCCTCGCTATACGCCGTAGCAGGATCCCACGTTTCAAGCTCTGAACCAAGATAATGAGCATGGTCGTCGTTGCGAAATTCCCCGCTTAGGAGGTCGTAGCGATGGTGGGGAAAGATCAAAGCGCTGTCGCCGTAGAGCTGGTTGACGATTTCCATGTCGTACTCGCCAGATTTCACCGACTGCATTCTTTCCATGATGCGGAAGAATTCTTTCTCGGAAGGTTGGATGAGCATGACTTGGGATGAGAGGATCTTTTCGGGAGATATCCAGTATGCTCGAGGCATGGCCACTGGTGCGGCTGGTAGGAAGAACAGCTCATCCATGGGTTGTAAGAGGACAGAATCTGAGTCGATGGACAGGACGCGGTCATACTTCGTCTGGTTGAAGGCTAGAAGCTTGGTGTAGGAGTCGGCCCAAGTTACTGGAATCGTTAGTACCGTGGCCAAGATCACCCAAAGGTTTCTTACCATCGCCAGCCCAGCGCGTCTGGATAGTAATAGGAACAATCTTGACATTGTACTCATCACGTGACTTGTTCAGTAGATAAGCATCGCTTGAGTTCTCCATCTCTGGCTCAAGCATGCTCTCAGGGACCATCATAACACGATCAGGTAGACTTCCAAGACGCTGCAGAGCTTCGAAGAATATCAGCGAGTTGCACAGATACTCGCTGTTGGTGACATATTGTGTATATGCGAAACGTGACCAGTCGATATCGGGTGAGTTGTGATGCGATGACGAAAATGCTGAATGAGACGCGAAGTCTTGGTATTGGTTGAGATAGAAGAGGAGGAGGAGGATGGTGAGAGCAGCGAAGAGGCTTGAGCGAGTGCGTTTGGATGTCATGATTGACGGCATGGAGAGTAATAGGGAGTGTGTGGAGTTAGTTGACTTGATCTAAAAGAGTGCCATGTCCAGAGGACATAAGTCCCGAGTTTATGTTATGATTTCAGGTTTCTTTCAAGATTTTCTCAATGACAAAGACGAGTAGTTACATATTTTAAACAGCGTCATCCTCCAAGAACAAGCTTTCATTTAAAATACATCTAATTTCTAAATTAAAACAACACAGCACATGAAAGAACGTAGCAACAGCGCAAAATTACAAAGAAGCCTGTTCATCACCAAGATCATCCATGTTCACATCCTTGACGTCGCAACCGTTGTTAACCATTAGCGCTTGCAGCGGGCCAAAGAACCGATAAGCGCTGAGTTAGCCAATCATGTGGTGGTTCATCAGATCATCAAATGCAAATGTTCGCTAATCCACAGGGGCCCCACTGCAATTCAGCACCCTATCACTGCGGAAGATTAGGCGCTGGGCGGATAAATAGTTTATGGTTCTTGAGGGTTGTTTCAGGTTGTGTCGGGAGGTGGCGGGATCAGCCGCGTTCTTCGGCTCTTGGATAGAGGCTTGTGATGTTTGTACTAAATCTCATAGTCTATCATCGTGAGCTGTGCCTTGAGCTCTTCAGTCAATCTTTCTTTCTATTGATCAAGTATAAGATTGCGGAATATAATGGACCTCACATACTCTGGATCTTCAATGAGCCGCGATGCGACACTTCCCCCGGAACTACGGTGTTGGCGAAGCGCACTGATTCACAAGTGACAAGATATAAATATCAATTACAAGGACTCGGGCACCCCGGTAGTTGTTACGGAATAATTTCCCGCATACAAAGGTCCTAGTGCATACCGGGATAGAAAGCCTACAGCACTGTTTATGCATGTTGGTCGTTCTCTTACACTACCAAGTGGGCCAATGCAAGTTCATCAGCCCGCGATAGGTTCATCAACCGGATAGCCTTCCATAACCCGGTCATGATGTTGGCTGTGCCTTGCAGCAACCCATTTCCACTTCCTGCTCCAACCGCCCACCCTCTTATCTTCTTGTTTCCCTAAGCCTCTCTCTTTCTTGCATGTTCTGATCGTGTTGGTTCCAGCAATATTTCATTTCCTTTCTGTCTTACTTCACGAACCAACACGATTGTCTCGTCACGCCACTCTCAACGGCGGGTCGTAGACCATGGTCTGGACACTCTTCTTTCTCTTCACTTTTACATACGCCATCCGCACTCCGAGAGAAGTCGAATGGTCTGATGAAACTTACGGACCAGATGGACCATGGAACGCTGTCAAAGTTCAGATTGGATCCAAAGATCAATCTCTAGCGCTTTTTCCTGGGGGTACTTGGGAGACGTGGGTGATCAGCGATGATTATTGTGAAGGCGAAACGTGCTTTGCTTCGAAAGCAGGGACTTACACGAAGAACACTGGGTATCGGAATGAGAGGAATCATTCGGTTGAGCTGAATGATTTCATGCAGGGCGTTAAACTCAAGGGTGATACAGGAGTTCGGTACAGAGATGATATCGTCATCAATGGCATTAATGTCACTAATGCGAGCATCGCTCTTCTTAACGATGCAAAGATCAAATATCCCAATGGTAAAGCGGTGCCTTTGTCCGTGGGATGCCTAGGCGTAGGCGCCCCAAATTCCATCAACCAATCTTTCGGCCAACCCGATAAAAAGTCCTCTTTCAACGCGAGTCTTCTACCTGGATTTCTATGGGACAGGGACTTGACATCCGCAAACAGCTTTGGCATGCACATTGGGTCACCTGATCCTTGGATTCCTGGGTCTCTTGTGTTTGGTGGTTATGACAGGGCCCGTATTATCGGAAACGTGCTCATTACACCGGGAAGTCCTAGAGAGGGAGGTATTGAACTCCATGATATCGCTATCGAGGGTTTCGGAAAGAACCCGCCAAAAGCGAAGGAGGGTCTTCTCGCAAAGGGGAATTATACTTTGAGCAAGGGTCTTAACGTCACGATCGATGGTTGTTCGCCATATTTGACCCTTCCAAAGTCTACTTGTGACAGTATCGCCGAACATCTTCCTGTCACCTTTGACAAAGATCTTGGTCTTTATTTATGGGATACTGAATCAGAAGACTACGAAAGGATTGTCAACTCGGCTACAGCTCTATCGTTTGCCTTCTCCGAGGGAGACATAACTGATCTCACCAAGATTCGAGTCCCACTCATGCATCTCAACCTCACACTCTCGGAGCCCATCGTTGAGAGTCCAGTTCCCTACTTCCCGTGTCATGTCAACGACAATGAGCGATACGTTCTCGGGCGTGCTTTTCTTCAAGATGCTTTCGTCGGCGCAAATTGGGGCCCTAATGTTAACAGATGGTGGTTAGCTCAAGCACCAGGTCCCAGACTCCAAGGGGCTCGAGTCGTCCAAGCTAGTGGATCCGATGACATGAGCGTTGAAAACAGTGATGGCCAATTTGGGACGAATGCTTGGGAGATGTCGTGGGCTGGTGCATGGGACGATGAAGCAGCGCCATTGAGCACTCCGAGCAAAAAAGCTCCGAAGGCGGAAAAGGACGAGGATGAAAAGAAACCATTTATGCCGACAGCTTCACAGGTTGGAATGGGGATTGGTTTTGGCTCTGCCTTTGGACTTGTACTTCTTGGCGTTGGCGTTTTCATCTGGCGACGGAAACGCAGAAGTCACCCGCCGAAAGTCACGATGAAGAAGAAGCCATTCGATGGGTTTTCTATAGATTGGCCGCCGAGTGATCTTCCACCGCAGGAGATGCATGTTCCTAGACATAAGTTGCCGCCGTATGAGATGTCGGCGGATGAGAGGCGCATATATGAGTTGTATGCTCATCATGTACAGCAGAAGAGGCCGCTGATGGAGAGATATGAGTTGCCTTAAGTTTAAGCGTTGTGGAAAAGAAAATTGGTTTGGTCTTTTGGGTATTGATAACTATGTTAGAATAGATAATCATTTATGAGATTGAACTGTTGTGTTTTTGTCGTCCGATGTAATAAATTAACCATGATCGAGCACTTGACCCAAAACTTGATTTACACTTCCATTTCGGCCTTTCGTCTCCTGAATCTCATGAACCATGCGTTTCAATCCTATATAGCCAGCCTAAAGTTTAACCTTATGGCCAGCATGTAGTCATGTAGCAATCCTATATAGCGTGGGGTTTTAATGAACCTAACGGCGGGCTGCTGATAGCATCGTGAACTTAAAGCGTCTTACAAGTTTTGAAGATTGGACGGTCATAAATTGAAACAAGACCAGGGTAGCCAACTTAAAGACCAAGCTTAAACAAGAAGGTGTGCCTCGGGATCTTTTGCGAATGGATGATAAGAACTCATGGTTACAGTTACATCCGCGTATGTTACAATCAAGTAACGTCCCCGCAGTTGTTGCGGAGTCGAGACCAGATCTCACCATGATCGACAAAGAGGAGAAGTGATCAGTACGACACCACCATTGAATTATAATGAGAGTCAAGAACTTGCATTCTGCATCGTGGGCGTTCTGTACAGTGGCGCCATGTTGAAGAAATCTCTGGTGGCAGGTATTCTGCTTGCTACTACTGTAGCACAAGACCTCATTCCTCCGATTTTTGAGACAGCTGATTCTTTTGTGGAAGAGACTTGGGCTGCTGATTCAAGTCCGAAGGTCATATATATCGATGAGGAATTTGCGTCTGTGTCGGATAAAAATGGTCTCTCTCTGATTCCGCCTACCGCCCACGAGTTTGCAACTACGTTTCAAGATGATCTTGTCAAGATCACAGGTTCCAACTGGACACTGAAGCGCGTTGATGCACTTCCTGCCAATTCCAGTGGTATTTCACTTGGCTCCTACACCGGGGAATCTTCTGACCTCACATATGAGAACGGAAAATCGACATCAGAAGGCTACGAGATCATCATCAACTCCAACCGCGTCTTCATCGGCGGATCAGGCGCTCGAGGAATGTGGTGGGGAACCAGAACATTTCTTCAACTTCTCCTCGCTGGCAATGGGACGATTACGAGTACTCTTGGTCGAGATGCTCCGGCTTATGCTACGAGAGGATATATGCTTGATGCGGGGAGAAAGTGGTACTCGAAGGATTTTCTGAAGGAACTTTGCAGCTATGCTTCGTTCTTCAAGATAAATGAGTTTCACTATCATCTCAGTGATAATTATCCACTAAATCGTGGCAAGAATGAGAGTTGGCGGGATGTTTACTCGCATTTTTCGCTGTTGCCGGAGGATAAATCGCTGAGGGGTATTCTTCATGGACGTGAGAACGAGACACTGTCGAAAGACGACTTCATGGAACTACAGAGTCACTGCGCGTCTCGAGGAGTAACAGTCGTTCCAGAGATTGAGGCACCAGGTCACTCTTTGTATCTCACCAAGTGGAAACCCGAACTGGCTTTGGCAAAGAAGGACTTGTTGAATCTGACACATCCGGATACCTTACCAATAGTACAGAGTATCTGGAAAGAGTTTCTACCGTGGTTCAAGACGAAGGAAGTTCATATTGGCGCTGACGAGTACGACGCTGAGCTTGCAGATGACTACATCACCTTCGTCAACAAAATGAGCCGTTTCATCAACTCTACAGCCAACAAGCGAAGTCGAATCTGGGGTACACACGAACCATCAAAACGAAACCAAACCATCGATAAAAACGTCGTCATTCAGCACTGGCAGTACGGTCAATCAGACCCCCTGCACCTCGTCAAAGATGGCTACGATGTTATCAACTCAGAAGACTGGTGGGCCTACACAAGTCTCAAAAACGACCACATGCCAATTCTACCCGCGCGATACCCGCAGTTCTTTAACGAGAGTCGTGTTTTCAACTTTGCAGACAAACAGGAGTGGCAGTGGACGCCGGCTGATTTTAACCCCGTGAACACGAGTCTGCAACTCAAGAGTGATGAGGAGAGATTGAGGGGTGCTACGTTGGCTGCGTGGAATGATAACGGCCCTGATGCGACTACTCAACTTGAAGCGTATTACTCTATGCGGAGGGGTATAGCTGTTGTAGGAGCGCGGGCGTGGAGTGGAAGTCGAGGACCGAAGTTGTTGGAGGAGACGAGTGATACTAATGTTGACTTTTACTCTCCTCGGGCTCCAGATCAGAATCTCGATAGGGTACTATCTCTTGAGGGAAATGGTACGCTGGTATCATGGACTCGCTCAGATGCTGATGGAAAGGAAGTTCATCTTGGTCAGGGTAGCAAGGGGATGAACTACACCCTCACACTCTCCATCACTAGTCCTTTTACCCTCTCCGGCCCTGATAACACTCTATCCTTCGATAAGGAAGGAAATCTTGTCTTCACCGCTGATGGATTGGAGTATCCCCTTCGCAGTGTTACCAAAGATGACGCCCTAGATCTTGACCCCGGAGCTCCAGGTCGTATCTGGGTGAACACCTCATCCACGCACAAACCTGTCAAGGTCTCTACTCCTGTTAATATCACTTTGGTGACGGATGTTCTCCATGGAACGGTTGTCTTCATCGATAGTGAAGTGGTAGGAAGATTTGAGGTCTTTGTGTATGGCGGGAGGAATACGCAGTTTAGCTGGAGTCAGATGGCGTTTGTTGCACCGCTGGATAGGATTGAGGGAGGTTTGGAGCGTCTTATCTTGACTGGATCTTCCAACTTTATGGGAACAAGTGGGACAGGTGGGAAAGAGCCTGCTGACGTTCCTCAGGGAAGTAGTGCTGCTCGATGCTTCGCCTCGTCCGCGTTTATCACGTTAGGGTTAGTCATTGGGGGGTTGTTATTCATCTTCTCGTAAGCTACCAACTGGTCGGTTAGTTTCTCGTCTATAGTATATGTAAGGTTCGAAAAGGATTGAGTCGATTCGGTCTGGGTCTTGGAGTGGACACGAGTGACGAGGGCTATATATTTGACAAGTCTTCAGGTAAATCAAGCAGCAGCCATTCAAGAAACTTACAACTCATCTCTCCGACTTGGAATCTAGAATCTATTGAGCTGAAAGGCTTTACGCGCGAATAATGGAATGTCAAGGCATTCATGACTTGGTCAATGTCCTGGTTCAAGCACATATTATGCAAGTCTTGACGAATCCCAATCCTATCAGTCGCAACCCTCAGTATATTAGAAATCCAACAGGCCACTCCAGTTCTACGACTTTCATCAATTAGGTAGCCTGCAGGACAAGTTGCTGCGCCACAATTACAAACGCCGACTTCAGCGTCATGAAAAGGCAAGAATAGCGAGGTCAGGAACATGGGTCGTAAACTCGGGGAGTATACCATCTCGAACATTAACGAGTATTCCGGCCCGAGAAAAGTAACCGTGTCTCGAAATAAACTAAATTCATAGAATGATCAGACCGCAAGAACAAGTCCGAGATATGAATGTGATAGAGAATGGTGTTGGTGAAGCATATAAAGGATCCGGGGACTGGTAAACAGTCTGTATGGGTTGCAGCTGGACGACTCAAATGTGCTAAGGGCAAGTGTCGGGCTTGGGATACTGGTGCTGGAGATTACGGACATCTGGAAGAATTTTGGCACGTACGAATACACCATGATCTTAGTCAAGCGGAATAAGGCTGCAGCGCTTCTAGTGACCGATGCAAGTCATGTCCTAGCTGAGATCCTTTTGATTCATCTAAATTAGCAAGCTGACGAGCTCATAATAGGAAGAGTTTTGTGAACACGACGACATTGCATCTGCACCGTCAGACTTTTAATGTATTTTCTTTTCTTTCATTATTCGAGTACCACTAAACATGACTGTTTCCCTCTCTTGTATTTGGAGGCTCCATGTTTTGACTCAAAGGTATCCGCCCTCGCGGTCATGAACTTTCTTCATAGAATTCCTACAAGGAATTCTCCAAAACTGTCCTATTGATGATCATACACAAGTAGCTCTGCCACCTAAAATATTTACCTTGTAACCAGTTGAGAAGATTTGTTCAATGTGCTGTTCTTCACAAACCTGTCCGCTGTACTCAGAGACGACATTGTTTAGGCTCATGGCTTCTTCCAGCGTAGTTACTGATAAGAAAAGGATCTAGACCTTTTCTTCATCACAGCTTTGACTTGGGCTTGGTGACGACTCCAACACACTTGATCTCAATATTGGCGTTCATCGGAAGACTCTTGACAGCAACGCATCTACAGCAATCAGCATCCATATTCCAAAGTTGTCTCTTCTCAATTGACTTACGTTCTAGCAGGCTTGATATCACCCCAATATTCAGCATAAACCTCATTCATCTTGGCGTAATACTTCATATCAGACAAGTAGATGTTGACTTCAATCACATCATTGAGGCTCGAGCCAGCCTCGTCAAGAATGGCGCCGAGGTTGGAAATGATTTGGCGCTGAGAGGTCTCAATTAGTAATTGATTATAGGTTTTAGGAGAGGAATTGACGTACTGTGTGAGCCTCAATGTCGCCATCAATCATCTTGCCCGTCTTGGGGTCCATTGCGACGCCGCCGGATGTGAAAACGAAGCCATTGGCGATAATGGCCTGGTTCATCAGGTTTTGCGGCACGGCGGGGGCCTTCTTTGTAGAGACGGGTGTTCGTGTCATTTTGGGTGAATTGTCTTTTGTTGATTGTTGAATGGTGATGAGTGAGCGAAATGTCGAGATGAGGGCGATGGCGGGGTGTAGATCTGTCATCCGAAGACCATGGATATCCGACTAGAGCCGATAAGTCTTTCACAGCACTATAATCAACAAGCGAAATGCAGATGAGATGCTTCGAGGAATCATATGTTATTGAGCATTGCGCAGACTTGTCACAAGAATGTTATATACATTTTATAGAATAGCCTAGACGGCGTTGTGAGTGTAGCACTTACTTCCTAATCAGGCAGTTTTGGCACCTGGCCGAGATCGGACTCGCCATGAACTGCCTGACACCAGAGAACTCTTCCATTGATAAGACATGTGACATCAGTGTATTAAATTCAAAGCTGTGATGGAGAATCCTGGACCTCATGTAATGTAATAATGGTTAAATAAACAACACCGGTGATTTAGAGGCTTCTCGAGCGTGCTCATCTGTCTGTTGTGGGCTTCTGTCACAGTAACTGCAGCGCATGTTACAGCCACTACCTTAGCTAAGGCTATCCTAGATGATAAAAATACTTAGGTAGATTTAATGTAGACGTAGTGGGTTTTGGACTAGGTATTTTTGGCACCTTGCCTCGAGCTGCTCTCCGCATCTCATCATCATACAACAAAGGAGACTTCAAATCATCACGTTTCATCAAATGTACCGTCTCCCCCGAGACAATCAAATCAATTTATCAATTAGCTAAAGCACTGCAAAAACACTTAATCTCAAGACTCTGCGTAATCTGACCGCCAAAATGTCGCGATTAGCTTCACGACGCCTCATCCATCTCCGCCCAGCACAAAGACACGCCTTCTCAACAACACCTCCAAGACATCTCATGAGCCTAGCAGGCTTCTCAGACAACCAACTAACAGTCCGTGACGCCATCAGCAAGATATGCGCTGAATTTCCCAACACATACTGGCAATCCCACGATCAAGATGAACAAGACCCAAAGGAGTTCCACGCAGCTCTTGCAAAAGCTGGTTGGCTTGGTATTGCACTTCCAGAATCCCTGGGGGGCTCAGATTTGGGAATTTCAGAGGCCACGATGATGATGCAGACGATCGCCGAGTCAGGTGCCGGAATGGCTGGGGCGCAGAGCATTCATGCTAATGTCTACGCGACGCAACCTCTTGCCAAGTTTGGGTCGAGAGAGCAATTAGAGGATACTATCCCGAAGATTGTGTCGGGGGAGTATAGAGTGTGCTTTGGAGTTACTGAACCGAACGCTGGACTTGATACACTCCGTTTGGAAACGACAGCGAGACAGAACTCGGACGGATCATTCAGCGTTACGGGTCAGAAGATCTGGATAACTTGTGCACAAGTAGCGTCAAAAATGATCCTTCTTGCACGAACGACACCACTAGACAAAGTCAAGAAGCCAAGCGAAGGTCTCTCCCTCTTCTGCATCGATCTCGACCGAAATCACCCAGGTCTTGAAATGCGCCGAATCAAGAAAATGGGCGGTCGAGCTGTCGACGCAAATGAAGTGTTCTTCGACAACTACACCATCCCAGCTGCTTCCCTCATCGGCGAAAAAGACAAGGGGTTCAAAATGATTCTCCACGGAATGAACGCCGAGCGCTGCCTCCTAGCCGGTGAAGCCCTCGGTCTCGGCTACGCCGCCCTCTCAAAAGCAGCATCCTATGCACGAACTCGCGTTGTGTTTAAACGACAAATTGGGATGAATCAGGCGATTGCTCATCCGTTGGCAGATGCGTACATGAAGCTTGAAGCGGCGAAGCTAGCGACGTATCATGCGGCGAGGTTGTATGATGAGAGTGGAGAGGTGGGACAGGATGAGGTTGGGATTGCGGCGAATAGTGCAAAGTACATGGCTGCCGAAGCGGCGTTTACGGCGTGTGAGAGGGCGGTGTTGACACATGGGGGGATGGGGTATGCGGTTGAGTATGATGTTGAGAGGTGGTTTAGGGAGTGTCTTGTTCCGAGGATTGCGCCGGTTAGTAGGGAGATGATATTGAACTATATTAGTGAGAAGGTTCTTGAGTTGCCGAGGAGTTACTAATGGTAGTGGACTTGGTTCCCCGTTAGTCAAGGGGTGTAGGGAGACCAAGTGTCGTGAGGTTCAAGACTTTTACTTATTTCCAACATCTAAATACCCTCTATATTACACAAAATCACACGTTCACGCCTCAATTTTCGACTTAACCCACTTCTCCAAACCGCCCTTAGCAATGATCTCCTGCACATTAGCAGGCAACTCCCCAACCTTCTGCTCCCACTGCTTCCCATCCTTCTCCGTAACAACGACCTTGGACCTTCGAACATCCCAGACAAACTTCCACCCCGTACGGCGAGTAAGGGGCTTCTCGGTATCGTTCTTGTAAGTCTCGCGAAGACGCTCAACGAGACGGGGCACTTCGACGCCCATGAGAGCGTTGTTGATGCTGTTGCGGCTGAAGATGTTGCCGAAGCTGCCGGAGACAACGAGGGGGATCTTCTTGGCGAGGATGGCGGTGGCGGCTTGTTCACGCGAGGAGCCGCAGCCGAAGTTGAAACCGGTGACGAGAATGTCGCCGGGTTTGGCGATTTTGCCGAATTCGGTGTCGTAGTTCTCCATGCAGACTTCGGCCATTTTCTCTGGTGAGATGTTGTCCTCGTATGTGTACTTGCCTATCGAGTCGTTAGTTGAGTATTTAGTGATGAGAATGGCTTGACGTACCTGGATAGATGCCATCGGTGTTGATGTTATCGCTGTCGCAGAAGACAATCTCACCCTCGACCTTCTCAGGGAAACCGGGGAGGATCTCAGTCAGGGACTCCTCCTCGGACGCAGCAGGGCTAGCTTCCTTAGCGGCACCCTCTGACTTCTCGGCAGCGGCGATCAAAGCATCAGCCTCGTTGATGATCTTGTCGAGAGCATCCTCAATGGACAGAGCCTTGTCAGCAACAAAGTCACCGCTTCCCTCGCCAATGATGACCTTCTCAACACCCTCGGGTTTCTGGTACCAGCCAGGACCAGCGATCTTGCCTTGGAGAGCACTGGCAGCGACGATCTCAGGGCTGGAGAGGTATGCCTTAGCTGATGTGGAACCCATGCGGCCCTGGATCCATGTTAGCTTCAGGTCATAGTTCAATGGTCACGACAGCTTACCTTGAAGTTACGGTTACTGGCACTGATACCGACCTCACCAGGCTCAAGAAGACCAGTTCCCAAACCGATACATTGTCCACATCCTGACATCATGGGAATAGCGCCAGCTTCAACCAGGACCTGCCAGTCTCCAGCCTCCTCGGCAATCTGTTGTTCAGGGATGGACGCCGCAGAGATGTAGAACTCGACACCTGGCGCAACCTTGGCAGGCTTACCCTCCTTAGCAGCCTCACGGAAGACACGAGCAGCAGCTGCGATATCAGAAGCTCGAGAGTTGGTGCAAGATACAAGGTAAGCCTTGTTCACGGGGATGTTCTCAGCCTCGAGCTTGTTCAGGGGAGTGGCGACCTTGACGGAGTTGGGTCCTGAGACGATTGGTGATAGAGTAGATAGGTTGAGGTAGAGCTCCTTGGCGTATGTGGCACCGGGGTCAGCAGACATTCTGTTGTGCTCGAGCTCGTCGATTCGCTTGTGGTTGATGCGGTCCTTTGAAGAGCCGTTGAACATGGCGTTGGTGGTAGCCTTGCCGCGGTACCATGAGATGAGCATGTCGTCAACAGGGAAAACACCTGCGAGGGCACCCCACTCTGTTGTCATGTTGCTGATGGTCAAGCGGTCATCGATGGGGAGACTCTCACCACCGGCAAACTCGACGGCGTGGTTCAATACTTGATCATCGCGGAAGAGGCCGCAAAGAGCGATAATGACATCCTTACCGGTAACGCCCGCGGGTAGGATGCCGGTGAAAGTGACCTTTGCAACGGGGGGGACCTGCCACCAGGTTTGTCCGGTAGCCCAGATGGAGGCTGCGTCTGTACGAACGACAGCCGTTCCTAGACAACCAATTCCACCGTACATGTTGCTATGGCTGTCACTCGCCACGGAAACTGTTTCTGGCCAGGCGTATCCTATCCGTGTGTTAGTAACCAGTTTCTCACGCCAAGTCAGTCCTTTCTTACCCTCCTCCACCATAATCTGGTGTCCGATTCCCCTGCCGGCAGGATAGTTCGTAATCCCATGCTTCTCGGCGAACTCATGAATTAAAGAGTACTTTCGGAGGTTATTCTCTGACTTATTCGACACATCATGATCTAATGTGAACACTTTTGGGGGGTTAGTGGGGCCATTACCACCGCAAGACGTACCCCATGGTAAGAGGTAGATATCATCTTCAGTCGAGGGGACGCAACCACTCACCAAGTTGGCGATTATCATGTATCTTAGAAGCACCAAGCGATGCGTATTTCGTAGCAATAGGCCAGGTATTGTCGTGACTCATGCAATGCTGCGGTTTAAGAGTAATATAGTCTCCAGCCTTGATCTTCTTGCCGGGAGCGAGGCCAACGGCGTATTTCTGGGCGATCTTCTCCACGAGAGTCTGGGGGTTCTCCACCAAAGGCGCTCGCTGGTACTGGAAAGCTGAAGGAGTCGGAGTAGGAGAATTCTCGAGTTGTGAGTGAAAAGCATATTGTCGTCGGGAACTCGGCGATGTGTAGGCGCGGCATTGTGTGGCGATGGCGAGGGATCGAGAGCGGGATGTCAAGGTTCGAGATTGGAGTCGCGCAACGGCGACAGCATTGAGAGCGACTGCTCTCCTCTTAAAAGCATTATCAGTATAGGTTCTAGAAGATTGAAGGGAGTGGCGGTCCCATGATGGGTAGTCATCGCAGCCAGGCTCAGAGAGGATATACTTACAAAGGCAACCATTGCGAAAGCTTAATCAGAAACCAAGAACAAATACCACACCAGAAAGTCAATTCTGGATCGAGACTGCGACAGTGTCGGGTGGATGGAAGGAGTGTGAGTTTTAGGTTGGGGATAGCTTCATGTTTCTTTTTTGCGAAGCCGGCCTCGGAGATGGGTCACAAAAAATTCCTGGGGAAATTTGAGCGGAATAATAATGGAGACGATGTGATTGGTCGGAGATTGAATCCCCTAGTACCCGGAAGTTGACCGCCTGCCGAAAGTGGAGCCGGAGCTTTACGACTTAACAAGAGACTTGAGATGTTGATGTTGACAACTGCTGGAGACAGAAGACAATTTGAGGACGAAATTTGTGTTTTATATTAATGAGAATCATATTAGTTGTTGTTCTACCACCTATTTTAGATTAATTCACGAAGGGAGCTCATGACTGAATCCTCCCTCTGGCTACTCCGTCACATGTCTGTATGAAGACTCCAAGCTTCACACTCCGGACAGTAACTGTTGGAAGAGCCAAGCGTTAATTGCAAATAGATGATCCCTGTTCAAATCTCGGGCAAAATGTCTTGACCTTTTACTGACATATCGGCAACTTGAGCAATTGGCCGATCAACAACTGTATATCTATTCACGGTTCCCCCTCCAAGCTTCACCCCGCATCACTTACACATGCCATCATGTCCCGCTTCAGCAATCTCAAAGCCACTGCCTCAGACGCGGCGTCTCACCTGCTAGAAACATTCTCCAGTAAATCCATCATTCGTCGTCAAATTTTCGATGCAAACCAACTCCAAAAACTAGCTCTCACGCTCAATCGCCCCACACTCAACGGCCAAGACGTATCTGAAGAACCGCCAATTCAAGGAACACCCATACCACCAGGTTATCATCTTGTATACTTCACACCAAATGGAACAGAAAAAGAACTTGGACCTGATGGAAGTGATACTACGTTTAATGCCTCGAAGCCATTTACACGGAGGATGTGGGCTGGAGGTAAGATGGCATGGGCTAGTGATGTGTCGCTTCGGGTAGGTGATCAGGTTGAAGAGAGGACGAGGTTGCTGAGCGCGGCGCCGAAGAAGAGTCGATCTGCGGGGGAGATGGTTCTTGTGGAGGTTGAGAAGGAGTTTTGGGGGCCGAAAGGTTTGGCATTGACGGATCGGAGGTCCTGGGTGTTTAGACCTGAGATTGATCCTAATGCTGTGAGAGAGCCAAGACTGCTTGATGATGGTGTTCGTGGGCCGTCATCGATTAGGGACCTGGATACTAAGAGTGAAGGTAAGTGTTGCGGAAGATGACCAACATATATTGGCTAAGAGAACTAGGTGTTCCCATAAGAGAACTCCGCTGGTCGCCAGTCGGCCTCTTCAGATTCTCAGCTCTGACGTTCAACGGACACATGATACACTACAACCAAGACTGGACTCGCAACGTCGAAGGTCATCCCGCTGGAGTTGTTCATGGCCCTCTCAACCTCATCAATCTGCTAGACTACTGGCGGGACATTCATGGGAATGGCGGAAGCCCAAGAGGAATCACATACAGAGCTATGTCACCTCTCTATGCTGGTCAGACGTATAACATACGGACCTCGGCTATACAGGAGGCTGAAGGCGGAAAGACTTGGGGTATTCTTGTTGAGAAGGATGGGACGGTTTGTATGAAGAGCGAGATTACGGCGTAGAGTATGGTCCGCACATTGCAGACACAACCGGATGTTGAAGCACGGCTCCGGGTTCAAAAAACAGATCTCTCCTTGTGGCCAGCTTATGCCATTTGGGCGGAAACTTTGCTTTTAACCTTAAGCGCTATGATGTACTCATAAGTTGGGAATGGCTTGGATCATAGACACAGTATTTATCTAGGTCTCCTCACGTCCTAAATCGCACGACAGAAACACATACATGCGACGTAGTAAATATCTGCATTACTCCAACTCTACAAAAGCGCCAGCCATGCAGAATAATGTCCATTCCTCCGTCTAAACCCAATCGCTCTAGCATACAAATGAACTCTCTACTCTACTCTAACACAACAACTTTTTAGACAAGCAGCATGCGCGAAGGATCCTCAATGTACTTCTTGACAGTGTTCAAGAAGGTGACAGCCTCTCTGCCGTCAATGAGACGGTGGTCGTAGGTCAAGCTGATGTACATCATCTGCCAACAATTAGCTTGGAACAATAGGTCAGAGAGGGGGAGACTTACGGGTCGGATGACGGCCTCGCCCTTGATGGCGACGACTTCTTGACGGATGCCGTTCATGTTGAACACAGCGGCCTGGGGGTAGTTGATAACGGGAGTTCCGAACATGGAGCCGAAGATACCGGGGTTGCTGATGGAGAAGCTTCCGCCCTCCATGTCCTCCATGGTAAGCTTTCCATCACGAGCCTACAACAGTCAGTATCATCTCTCCCTCCCAATTCTGGCAAACTTACCTTCTTAGCAGCACTAGCAACCTCCCTCTCCAACTCAACAATACTCAACTCATGCGTATTTCTCAAAACAGGCGTAACCAAGCCCTTAGGCGCCGAAACAGCAATACTAACATCGACATAATCGCGATACGTGATGATCTCCTTCTCTGTGTCGATCATAGCGTTGATCTGGGGAACTTTTTGCGCGGCGAGTGTAGTAGCTTTTGTGAAAGCGCCCATGTAACCCAGTCGAACGCCGTGCTCTTCAGCGACTTCTTCTTTGTACTTGGCGCGCCAGGCGATGATGTTCGTCATGTCGACTTCTTGGATGGTTGTTAGGGAGGCGCAGGTGTTTTGGGATTGCTTGAGACGGGCGGCGATGGTCTTGCGCATGCGTGTCATTTTCTCCTACATGATGGGTGAGTTTGGAATGGGATTGTTATGGTTAAGGGGACTTACGACTCGCTCGCCGCGAGAGGGACCGCTTGATGAGCCTTGGGCGGGAGGTGCAGGCTTTGACTCCTTAGGCGCAGGCTTCGACTCAGCAGGCTTTGAAGGCCTGGGGGCCTCAGCAGCAGGAGCAGATTGCTTCTCCTCAGCTTTGGGCTGCTCAGCAGGCTTTGACTCCTCCTTCTTAGGCTCCTCCTTAGGTTTTTGCTCCTCGCCCTCGCTCTTCTTAACAGAACCAGCATCCTCGCCCGTCACGATACGCGCAAGATCCTGTCCAACAACAACGGTATCGCCCTCCTCAGCAAAGTACTCAGCGATAGAACCAGGCTCGCTAGCATTGACGAGAACATCGATCTTGTCCGTCTCAATACTAGCAATCTCCTCGTCCTGCTCAACCGCCTCTCCAATCTTCTTGGGCAAGCTAGCCAACGTTCCTTCGGTGATGGACTCAGCCATTGGTGGTACAGAGACGATATACGAGCCATTGAAGATACTGGAGTTGCTGAACAGTCGGCGTTGGGGATCGCGCTGGCAGAGGATGGCGCTGTGTGTGAGGCTAGCGATGGGTTGGGCTCGGGAGATGGCGACGCGTGATAGGCCGGAAAGGCCTGTTGCGGCCTTCATGCGCATGAATGAAGCCATCGTGAGGGTTTGGGAGGAATTGAAGGTGGAAAGAATGGGTAATGATGGGATCGTGGGGAAAGAAAACAAGTTCTGAATTAAGCGGGCCGAGCTTTGAAGGTATCGCACGGACTTGTAGTGCCTTTGGAGATGGTTATACGGACAAATGGGGATGGATCAATATTTATGGGATAATATAGCTAGAATTATCATTTAGATGTTTAACTATTTTGCTAATTCATGTTGTGTTGTTGAGTCTCAGTTATTGAAGCCAAATGAACGTTTTGCAATACGTCACTTCAGGCGAGGTCCAATTCGACATCAGTAACTTACATAGTACAAGCACTCACCTTGAACTACAAAAGCTTCGAGGTGACTCGGTGAGTGGCCCCTCTCTCCGTAAACTTCCCTCCCGTGGGACAAACGGAAACACCCGGACGGCTACCGGACATTGAAAGCCGACACTGAAGTTCGAGATGATTAAATGACCCGGGTCTCAACCACTCAGTGGAGGATATTGACAACACAGAAGCCCAAATCCTTCCCTTCGGCTTAACAATTGCAACGCCGAAGGCTCACCGAAATAGTCTTGCGATTCATATAATTCCTCATTTTGGATGATGGGCTCCGTACTTTGCGGAGCAAGGTGAGTTAGCTGAGCAATAGCTGCGGCAATGTTCGGCATAACGACTTCACGTCACTTTATGCCTCAGGCATTAATATCTAAACTCGTGATATTTAACTCCCCAGTGCCCATGTTTTCAATGACCTGGGGCCTGGCTAATTCCGTGGAAGCGAATGCAACTGGGATGCTGAGAAGGTTGAGGCTGGCGGGCCGATACCGTCGTGCTGGTACAGAACCCAAATCCGACCGCACATTGAAGCGAGACAAGCATGACACAGCATACGACACAATGGACGTTTTGATTGACAATTAAGGTTCAGTTGGTATTTATCCAGTGGTATCTAAGGTAAAAGAGAACTCAGCCTCGCTCATATCATATCCAAAACGCCAAGGGTCGCCGCCCTGTTTCATGCACTATCATCACGCCGTTGTACAGAAACAGCCGTCTCTTCGTCAACACGGATCCCCGTCTCGCTGCTCTCATAGTCTTTCGCAGATGTATATTTTCTGAAAGGGCTTGATATCGTGGTTTGTGTACCATGTGGCCACTCGCCGATGTCGTATAGATCGGGTGGGTTGGTGTATAGTTCATGTGTTGAGCTACCACCGTCATTTTCGCGTGATCGGGTCTTGGATACGCTGGTGAGGCGGATGCCGTTGCTGAATGGTGCGCTGAAGGGGGCGCTGATTTGGGTTGATTGACCGCCGCTGTTGGAGGTGAGGAATGAGCCGGGGAGGATCTTGCGGGCGACTGGGCGAAGCATGGGGAGACAAGCTGTGAAAAGTTATTACAAGGTCAAAATGTCTGTGTTTAACGAGGACATACCAGCAATCACGGCAAAATTGCACTCGGCGATCGACCACGCATAATGCTGTGCCATTTGTAACGTCATCTCCTTCGAATCCGACTTGAACTTGAATGACTCAATGAGGACAAAAATGGAAGCCAAACAGGTCATTGCACCAAACGCAAATAATGCAATGACAGCAAACTTCTGACCCTTCGGCAGATGCAGTTTTCCAACTTCAATGGCGGGCAGAATAAGAATGGCGCAATCGATCAAAACGTGCGTCAAAACCGTCGAGAAGAAGAATGTCGATTCGCGGATATGGCATTTTGCGTCCCTCGTTGCTTGGTCTCCATCCCATAATGCCGTAAGCGGTAGACATTGCAAACACACCATGAAGAGTCGTAATAGGAACCATGCCACTGTGATGCATGAGAGGACTTGAATGGGAATTCGGATATCGGAGAATTGGAAGAGACGCCAGTAGAAAGCGAGAACGGCGAATTTCGAGAAGGCAATGGCGAAGGTGTAAGTGAAGCTCGTCGTCCACATATGTATCCAAGCCAGTCGGTTTTTATCGTGAAACGTAAAGTCGTCTGTAAGTCCAACTTCCATAGGCTTTCCGAGTCCATCCTTGATCCATATCATCCCATTTGTCAACAACGCCAATGAGCCCAACTTGAACCATGTTAGAACACATCATATCCACACCAGAGTGTATAACATACCCAGCCAACAACGGCGAAAGTATCATCAACTCCATATCCAGCTTTCGTGATCCTCCTCGCAATAAGTCGAGCAATAAGAGCCAAGGTCGCAAGAGGAAGTGTTATGGCGGCCGAAGCAATGATATTGGGGGTATCATCCTTCATGATGCATCGTCGGTAGTATTCTTAAGGTAACAAAATGGAGTCCCCCGCAAAAAACAACAGTTTGAGAAGCGGAAACCAGATCGTCCAAAACAAGAAGAGAGAAATGGGGAAGTATTAAAAGAGTCGATGGGGCAAACAAGCAGACCACCCGCTTGGTTAAGCCTTTTCCCCAGACAGATACCGACTCGAAAAAACCGGACCATGACCCAACGGTTAAGCTTGAATCCATTTTGTAAGGGGGGGCAGAGCATGAGAAAAACCGCACTATCAACGCCCCTAGCGCCCCCCACGGGGAGACGATGCTCGTGATGATATCGATGTTGGGTCTGGGGAGTTTGGGAACCGACCCATTTTTGAACTCCACTGAAACAGTGTGATTAGACAAAGTTAGGTGCTCAATAAGACGATCCCCATTTTGACTCTTGTTTTTGGAGAATTGATATGACGATCTCAGTGGCGAAAAACTCTTTACAACCGCGGCAATTGAATGATCACTGTGAGGCACTGTGACCCTGGTAAATAGCGCCTCCTGCTGACAATGAGCTGCCGCTTCTGGCGCTGTCATGGAACCAGAATGTCATGCATTGATCGCCTGTTGCCTCGTCTTCAGCTCGGCTCGCATGGGTTCGAAGAAGCTTCAAACAACCTACCTATTTGAGCGTAGTCAACTTGATGTCTCGCTCAACCAATGATGAGGTGAACCGTGACAAGATGATGGTGTGAGCTAACTTCAAGTGCGTGCCTGTATTTCAGTCCACATCAAGCATTTGATAACCATTCTGTAAAAAGAACAAGGACACGCATGTTTCGCTCTAGGGGTCTCGGTCCTTGCTGTAGCTTATCTCGAAATATGGATCTGTAAGCTTGAGATAAAGCCATGGAAGCTATTCGGACCTTTAACATCCAGGGCGCAGGGGTTTGTTAATAAAAACTGCATATTCCGAGGCTGCCGACCGGTTCATTGCTCAGTAGACAATGAGTTTGTAATCATTGAGAAAAAGTTTGTTGTAAAAAATTAAGCTTCGGTGGACCGTTGCAGAATTTGTAAACTCAAATGTCTCGGGGAACTTTTTCGGGATGACGGGTGCCGTTGAACTTTGGAAGGTGGGATCCCGATGCTCTATCTGCTCACCAACGTTGCAACTTTCTAGGTTGTTATTGATGATCAAACTATTGAAAGCCATATTCTGGAGACGGACAGGATGCTCCTTGGATCAGCTTGAGGTCAATGAGTTCCACTGAGCTTATCTAGTTCCACAGTCGAGACCCTGTGGAGGATCTGCTTGTTGTTCGTTCTCATTGGATATGCTCTTAAATCCGTTTCATCCCCGGTGGCGCCTCACTGTTCAGCCCCAGCTTTGGTACACCGCTGTGGACCTTGAAGGATGTTAGTAAATATTTGACGGCTTATTCTCCGAGACTTGGTACCTAGAGGACAGAAGCACATAAGGGAGATACGACTTTTTCTTGTGCAATTACACCGTCGATTTGATCGTATTGGATAGCCCTTTTACTGAGTCTTATTGGGACTTGAACTCAGGCGGGAATTGCATCATACTTGTTATCGATGTGAAGATAGCTTCAGGAAATAGCTCAGAGCTGTCTGTTTATCTCTTGAGTACCTTCATATTCTAGGCAAGATCATGCTATGATAGTGTCGGGGATACTATGGCCGTATTCTTATAGGAGTACAGCATTATCATCAGGCTTAGGCTGAACTTATCATTATACAAAGTCTCGAACGTTCTAAAATGACAAAATGACCAAGTAAACGCCTACGCTATGCACAACCATCGAGAAAGCCAATTCCCAGATCAACAGCTCTTTATTCTGCATGTCCATTAATTCCTCCCTTGATTCCTTCAAGAATTCCAGACCATTGACCACCGTGTCGGATCTTTGTCACATCGGAGAACTGATCGCAGGCAATCTTGCGCATGACAAGTGTATCCTTTGCCTTCTTATGCGTCTTTCCGTTGCCGTGAAGGAGGTACTCCTCGAACCATGCCTCCTCCGATTTGTCGAAAGGCAAAAAGGTGAGCTGACTGGCGCGCTCGGAAAGCTCGTCGTGTGGACTATCCAATACAGAGGCGATCAATTGACGGAAGAGCAACTCGCGAGTATGGGGAGGGTGCGTTCGGGAGTAGAAAAGCGCTTCTGAGATGTTGGTGCTCGCCATCGCATCGAACAGAAGCTCGAGTGCGGCCGAGGTCTTCAGAATGGGCTGCACAGCGTAAAAATACGACAAGGCAATGCTGTAATCGCGATCCTCGGCGGAGTGGACGAGCACGGTGATAATATCGTCGGCAAAGTCGGGAATAAGAGAGGGGTGCGAGATGTACTCGAGCGCTCGCTGTAAAATACTGTCAGCTTCTGCATCGGCGATCGCAAGCGCAAAACGTACCGAAAAGTCCTGGCGATCCAGATACCACAAGCCCTTCATGAAGATCTGATACTTTTTAGGCATACCAGACGCATCCACAAATGCGTCAGAGACGCTCTCGCGGCCTGCTGTTTGGTCGAAATCAAGAAGGATATAGTAGAAGATCGAGAACTTGTGATGCGTCGACATGTTGGCTTCGCAGATTTGCTGATGCAATTGCTTCAATGCATTGTCGGTCTTGGGAGGGTAGATCTTAGCTGCAAACACAAGTTAGCAAGGCGCAATCAATTCGTACGACACACCTACCCTTTGTTATGCCAACAGCCCGTAGGACTCGGTCAATGAAGAGAGCGCCATCAAATCTCTTGCGCGAGGCTTCAATGTCTCGCTGGGTCTCGCGATCGTAAGGGTTCGCAACGCCCTCGGCGAAAACGTCATGCAGGTTGGCGTAGTCAAACATTTTGGCGACCGGATGACTGAGCAATATCGTAACACAGGCCAATGTTTTGATCGCTCTTCAAGAGCTTCAAAGCTATCGCGAAACGGGCAATCAAAGGCTCCGTCGCGAGATCACGTGATAGGAGCGGCCCCGCGGCCTGTGCTGGTACGTATTGTTTACACGACCGATTTGGACATTTCTAAACAAACCCACGCGGGGCGCAACCATTTTAATTTGTACAGCTTCCCTCGACACAACAACCCAGTCGACCTTCGTTACACCGACCCAAGCTGTCGCTTATTTGTACTATTCATTGTTTGCATACACTCCTTCGCATTTTTCTCTTGTCTGTGACGAGAGTATTCCTTCACAATGTCTTCCCCTGTTCGGCCAAGGCGCGCAACAAGGCGCACCGCCATTATCGATTCTGACGACGAAGACGATGTTTCCAACCGCTCTAGAGTCCAGGATGAGGAGGAGGACTTTGAACCAGAGAAACCGGCGCCCCGAAGGCAGACTCGTGCACGTAAATCGACGACTCCAGCCCCTGCACCTGCTGCTGCACCGAAGACGAGAGGTCGTCCTAAAAAAGCCCCTACTCCTGCTGCTTCAGTAGAGCCTAGCGAACTTCTCGAAGCCGATACGACACTTAAGGCAGAGTCGAGCTCACCTGTGAAGGTTGCGTCGCCTCGTAAGCGCAAGAGCACAGCGAGATCATCGATCTCTTCAGTTCCCGACCTTTCGCCTCCTACACCGAAGCCAGATTCACCGACAGCTTCCCAGGAGGCTTCTGCATTGGCCGATATCACTGATTCTAGTGTGAATACTTCAGTTGTCGACAATACCCAGGCAACTATCAAGCCGATCAAACCTATGGACACCATTATGGAGAGGCCGATGGATATTGTGCTCAAGTCACGGACATTGGCTGTTCCTGTTGTTGAAGACACTACGCCCAAGTCTCGAATTGTTTTGACACATCTTATACTCAACAACTTCAAGAGTTACGCTGGCCGACAAGAAGTCGGTCCTTTCCACGCTTCATTCTCGTCCGTTGTCGGACCCAACGGTTCCGGAAAGTCAAACGTTATTGATTCACTGCTCTTCGTCTTCGGTTTCCGAGCTAGCAAGATGCGACAGGGCAAGATCTCTGCTCTCATTCACAACTCAGCACAGCACCCGAATTTGGACCACTGCGAGGTTGCTGTCTACTTCCAGGAGGTCATGGATCAGGTGAGTGACTTGTTGCTTCGATGCGACCGCAGACTAACTTTACCAGCCCGGTGGCGGCCATGAGGTTATCCCTAACTCTGAGCTTATCATCTCCCGAAAAGCCTTCAAAAACAACTCTAGCAAATATTACATCAATGGCAAAGAATCCAATTTTACGACAGTCACCACTCTCCTTCGCGATCGCGGCGTCGATCTGGACCACAAGCGATTCCTGATTCTACAGGGTGAGGTCGAGTCGATTGCTCAGATGAAGGCCAAGGCCGGCAATGAACACGAAGACGGTCTCCTCGAATATCTTGAGGACATTATCGGCACCTCCAAGTACAAGGCGCCCATCGAAGAATCCGCTACCGAGGTCGAGACTCTCAATGATGTCTGCATGGAAAAGAGCGGTCGCGTTCAGCATGTCGAGAAAGAAAAGAACAGCCTTGAAGACAAGAAGGACAAGGCGATCGCCTACATTCGCGATGAGAACGAGCTGGCAATGAAGCAGTCTGCTCTTTACCAATTGTTTATTCACAAGTGCAACGAGAATATTGCTGTTACAGAGGAGGCTATCAGTCAAATGCAAGCTCAACTGGACGCCGAGCTGGAGAAGCACCATGGAGGCGAGCAGATCATCAAGAGCCTCGAGAAGGACTATGCCAAGGGTACCAAGGAATTCGAAGCACAAGAAAAATCAACACAGGCTTTGGTCAAGGAGATGGCCAAGTTTGAGCAGGAGCGTGTCAAGTTCGACGAGAAGCGAAAGTTCTTAGACGACAAGCGTAAGAAGCTTGAGAAGGCTATCGCCAACGCCGAAACGAACTCTGCCGAAGCCGACGAGACCATCGAGCAGTGTGGAGAGGAGATCGAGAACCGAACCCAGGAGATTGCGGAGCTCGAGGAACAAATCCAGACTGCTGAGGCTGAGCTTGCTCGAATTAGAGACAGTCTTAAGGGCAAGACTCAAGCCTTCTCAGATCAGATTGCGGCTAAGCAGAAGTCTCTCGAGCCATGGAACGAGAAGATCAACCAGAAGCAATCCGCTGTAGCCGTCGCTGAGAGTGAACTCAACATTCTTCAAGAGAAGGCCAATGCCGGCGCTGTCGCTCTCCAAGAGCTTGAGACCAAGATCGCTTCCATTGAGGAAGGCAAGACTGCCAAGCGAGCCGAGCTCAAGTCTTGCCAGGCCGAGAAGGCCGAGCTTTTGAAGGAGGCTGAGAACATGAAGTCGGAGCTCAAGGTCCTTTCTGAGCAGGAGCCCAAGATTCGCTCAAAGATCTCGAATGCGCGCCAAAAGGCTGACGAGGCCCGCTCAAGCTTGTCTAACACACAGGCTCGTGGTAACGTTCTCGCTGCTCTCATGCGCATGAAGGAGTCGGGTCGAATTGATGGCTTCCATGGACGTCTGGGCAACCTTGGTACGATTGATCAGAAGTACGATGTGGCCATCTCAACGGCTTGTGGTGCCCTCGACAACTTTGTCACTGAGACTGTCGAGGCTGGTCAGCAATGTATTGAGTATCTGCGAAAGAACAACGTTGGACGTGGTAACTTTATCTGCTTGGACAAGCTGAGAACCCGAGACATGTCGCCCATCCAGACACCCGAGAATGCTCCTCGATTGTTCGACCTCGTCACTGCCAAGGAAGACAAGTTTCGACCTGCTTTCTACCACGCTATGCAAGACACTCTTGTCGCTGCCGACCTCGCCCAGGCTAACAGGATCGCATATGGTGCCAAGCGATGGCGAGTCGTCACTCTCGATGGTGAGCTCATTGACAAGTCCGGTACCATGTCTGGTGGTGGCTCAACTGTCAAGAGAGGTCTCATGTCCTCCAAGCTCGTCTCAGACGTCAGCAAGGAGCAGGTCGCCAAGTTTGAGAGTGATCGCGATGGTTGGGAGACCAAGTTCCAAGAATTCCAAGAGTACCAACGCGAATGCGAGACGCGACTCAGGGAGTTGGGCGAGCAGATTCCTCAGCTGGACACCAAGATGCAGAAGATTGGCCTTGAGATTGAGAGTGCCGAGCGAAACATCACCGATATGCAACGACGCATGAAGGAAGTCAGCAAGGAGCACCAGCCCTCGGCCACCGACAACAGTCGCATCGCTGCCTTGCAAAAAGAGATCGCAAAGCTCAACAAGGAGATCGAAAGACTTCGTGAAGAGACATCCAGCGTAGAGGATGAGATCAAGGCTCTGCAAGACAAGATCATGGAAGTTGGTGGTGAGAAGCTTCGTGCGCAAAGGGCCAAGGTCGATTCTATCAAGGAGGAGATCTCTTCCAATAACGAGGAGATCTCCAATGCTGAGGTCCGTAAAGTCAAGGCAGAGAAGCAAAAGATCAAGCTGGCGAAGGATCATGCGAAATCGTCCAAGGAGCTTGAGGCGGCTACTCGGGATCTCGAGAAGCTTGAGAACGATATCAACAACCAGGGTGAGAGAGCTGAAGAACTTCAAGCACAAGCTGAGGAAGCCGAAGAAGGATTGGCCGCTACGAAGAAGGAGCTTAAGGCGCTCAAGGGTGAGCTTGATGAGAAGACGGCTGAACTCAACGAGACAAGGGCGGTTGAGATTGAGATGCGCAACAAGCTTGAGGAGAACCAGAAGGCTCTTGTTGAGAATCAAGCTCGACTTCGACATTGGGACGACAAGTTGTCGAAGATTGTTCTGCAGAACATTGATGACCTTACTGGAGGTTCATCGGGCACCCGGTTCAAGAAGCCCAAGTCGCAACCCAAGCCCCAGACGGATGACGATGATGATGTCGACATGGACGATGCCCCTCAGGATGATGTGGACATGACCGACGCTCCCCAAGAAGACGAAGAGCAAGAGGAGGACCCAGAGGAGGAGGAGGAGGAGGATGATGATGAATCTGCCGATGGGCAGCCAAACGAGCTTCCAAGATACACGCCAGACGAGCTTGCTGACATGAATGAGAGGACTCTCAAGGGCGAGATTGCGGCTCTTGAAGAGAAGACTCAAAATGTCAACGTCGACCTTGGTGTTCTTGCTGAGTACCGAAGACGAGTGGAAGAGCACGCCGCTCGTGCCTCAGATCTCCAGACTGCTATTGAGCAGCGAGATTCTGCCAAGAAGCGATGCGACGACCTGCGCCGTCTACGCTTGGAAGGTTTCATGGAAGGTTTCAGCGCCATTTCCCTCCGACTCAAGGAAATGTATCAGATGATCACCATGGGTGGAAACGCTGAGCTTGAACTCGTCGACAGTTTAGATCCCTTCAGCGAAGGTATTCTCTTCAGTGTCATGCCCCCCAAGAAGAGCTGGAAGAACATCAGCAATCTTTCCGGTGGTGAAAAGACACTCAGCAGTTTGGCCCTCGTTTTTGCTCTGCATCACTACAAGCCTACTCCTCTGTATGTCATGGACGAGATCGATGCCGCGCTGGATTTCAGAAACGTAAGTACCACCCTTCACCTAAGACACTCGGCTACAATTCGACCACACTCGCGTGGGCATTCCGCATCGCCAATCACCCTGAACCTGTATTCTGAACACTACGCTAACACACAAAACGCAGGTCTCGATCGTCGCAAACTACATCAAGGAGCGTACCAAGAACGCCCAGTTCATCGTCATCTCGCTGCGCAACAACATGTTTGAGCTTGCGGCGCGGTTGGTGGGCGTGTACAAGGTCAATCATATGACCAAGAGTGTTACTATTGAGAACAGGGACTACATCGCGAGACCGCAGTCGCAGCAGCGGACGCAGGTTGGGGGTAATACAACGATATTGCCGTTTCGGTAAGGGATGAGAGGGCTTGTATATGACGATGATGATGAATATGGATATGGCTTTGGCGGGTATTTTAATGATATGGAGGCTAGATTTATGATATATCCAATGTTTGGTGTTTTCCTCATGACTATCTCTCTGCTCAATCGCCCTTCAACTTGCGGGCGCAGAACTTGATCTGTCTTGTATCAATCCCATTGCGTCCAGCTAACATTCACATGCCAAGTCGCTCTCACTCTTCTTTCACCTTTGCCATCCTCGACCTTATCTCCCGATACAGCGCGCCAAAGACTCAACCTGAACCCCGTCCTCCCCATCCTAGCACTCGTATCACGCTCGCGTCCCACGATCCAGGAACCAACTCCCGTGTCACCGAGCGCGTCTAGACCTGAGGGCCTGGGACATTAAGGATCCTCAAGCGAACCCCTGCAGACACCCGCCTCGATCTCGCAGACGTAGATGCCGTATCACGCACAAGTGCCGGTCTTCTCGGCTCTGTATGTGTGTCTTGGATGTCACGATGTTGTGTCTCGGCAGATTATACGTGGGCGGCCTCGAGGACTGAAGATAAAGTGATGTTGGGATTGGGAGAATATGGCTGCTGTACGTCCTATAAGTAACGCCTACAATCAAGCCAAGCTTTAACTATTCTCATCATCACTATACACTCGTTTAAGCATCATGTTGATGCTACTCCCCCTCGTCGTTCACCTAGCCACCGCCTTTCCTGCAAACTGGAACGAATCGATCGCTTGTCCACATGATGATCTTTACTCATCGCTCATACAAGATGATGGCGAGTTCTGCTCTAGTGTTCTTGAGAGGAATCACTGCGGTGTGGGATATAGTACGCCTGCGGAGTATGTGAGGTATAATCAGACAAGGATAGCTTCATATGTGAGTCGTTCGTGATGAGTTTGGATGATTACTTATGATGTGTAGTGTGAGTGTATTGTGACGAGTGCGGATTTCAGCATTACGAGGGTGGATGAGAGGACAAAAGGTTCGACGGGGGCGTCGGTGGGACAGCCTGGGTCGGGGACCTATGCTGAGACGACGACGGGAGCGTATTCGACGACTGAAGGGTCGTGGAATCAGACTCGATCAGCATCTGGTGGAGATATGACAGCGCGAGAGACAACTGGAGATGTTCCGAGGACGACATATGCCAACAGCAGTAGTCCAGCTACAGGGATGACCAACGAGAGTCTCACAAGATCAGATTCAGCAGCTTCCTGGAATACCACCACGGAGTCGCCAGCGGATACCCAAGGTCCCTTCTCAGCATCCTTCTCAAGCCAAACCCGAGCATCTACTTCATCTCACTCTCAATCTAACAACCAGACCCAAACTCTCCAGTCCAACACGGGTGTAACATCCCAACCATCAGATACCCGAATGACAAGATCTGGCACCACAAGCGATTCGCTACCCTGGTCTATTCCCGGCAACTTGACGTCGAGTCCTGTGGAGAGTGGTACACGTCCGACTGGGACTTTGACAGGGTGGAACTCGAGTATGACTGCCCCGAGCGGCGGTATTTCTGGAACAGGGTCTTTTGTGCCTATCCCTACAGAGTCGGTACCGACGGTTTCTGTTTCCGTGGGTTCTGGGACAACGGGTGGGAGTGTAGGTCCAAGCTGGAATGGTACCACGTCAAGAGGGAATAACTCGGTACCGACAGTCAGTATATCGAGTGGCACATTCGTTCCGTTTCCAACCTTGTCGCTATCCATCCAAACATCTTCGGTGGTCACAAGCTCGGGGAGTAGCTTCGGTCCTAGCTGGAATAGCACTTCTCTTCCTTCTGGAGGAAACACGTCGGTACTGGTAACCAGTGCTTCCAGCGGGACCTTGATGCCTTTGCCAACGTCATCAGCTTCGGTTCAAACGTCTTCAGGGGGGGTCACTTCAGGGAGCAGCTTCGGTCCCAGTTGGAACAGTACTTCCCTCGCCTCTGGTGGCAACACGTCGCTACTGACTATCAGCGCTTCGACTGGAACCTCGCCGGAGATCACTTCGGGCAGTAGTTTGGGCCCAAGTTGGAACAGTACTTCCCTCCCATCAGGCGGTAACGTGTCAGTACCAACTGTAAGCACCTCGAGTGGTTCATTTGTGCCATTCCCAACGGTACCACTCCCAGTTTCATCATCCTCAGCAGAGGCGACAACAGGGAGCAGTTTTTCTCCAAGTTGGAACAGCACTTCTCTCCCTTCAGGTGGCAATACCTCGATACCGACTGCCAGTACCTCCAGCGGGTCATTTGTCCCGTTCCCGACGGCATCACTTCCAAGTTCATCATCCTCGGAGCAAGCAGCATCAGGGAGTAGTATCGCTCCGAGCTGGAACACCACTTCTCTACCTCCTGGCCGTAATTCCTCAGTACCAACCATCAGTACATCCAGTGAGTCCTTCATACCGTTCCCGACGGTATCACTGCCGAGTCAATTGTCGTCTGCTGCGGGTGCATCGGGCAGTAGTATCTCGCTAAGCTGGAACAATACTGCTCTACCATCCGGTGGCAATGTGACCATACCGACCATTAGTATATCCCCATCTCAAACATTCATTCCATTTCCAACTCAGCCTTTCCCAAGCGACACTCTCACAACAGGCCCGGAGACAAGTGGTAATCAGTTCCCCAGTTGGAACAGCACTACCGCACCAGGGGTCAACGTCACTATACCGTCTATCAGTACAACTCGAACTGGGACGTTGCCCTTTCCGACACTGCCGCTGCCGAGTGAATCGGTCACGACTGAGCCTAGGAGTGGAACAAGCTCGGGGCCAGGTAGCAGCGCAGTTACGAGCTGGAATGGCACCACTTCTGCGCTTAGAGGGAATGTATCCGTCCCAACGATCAGTATATCTCAGACTGGGACGTCATCGCTGGTTCCGTTCCCAAGTGTATCTTTGCCGACAGTATCTCAAGCAACGTCAGGCTCGGCCCGAAGTGGCACCGTGGTGACTGGTTGGAATACAACAACTGGGGAACCTGGGGTTTCTGGTTCTGTTGCGACAGTCAGCTCATCTGAGTCTGGGTCAATCGTGTCTCTTCCGACAGAGTCAGAGATTCTTACCAGCAGTTTTAAGAGCGGTGGTATCGGTTGGAACATCACGTCGTCCATCTCAGGCATCATCTCTCTCCCAACCATCAGTGTACCAACCTCCGAAATCCCAAGTCTTCCTTTTCCTACAGTCTCAACCGAAATCCCCAGCACTACTTCCAGCGAAAGTCTTGTTCCGAGTGGTGACACGACGGGCTCTGCGCCAGGAAGCACTGGAACCGTTACATCCTTCTCGAGTCCTGTGGCTGCAACTTCAACGTCCGGCGCCTCCAACGGCCCCGCGTCATCAGGTATTAACGCAACAACAACTAGCATTCCCGAGTTCCCTGCTGCCAACTTCACCCATGTTACACGCACCGCAGCCATCTCGCAAGAAACATGCTACACTCTCCCCGATCTAGATGGTGATTCCACCCGTCGATCGCTGTTGTACAACGCCAGACTTCGAGAAGACAACGTCTCAATTCCTATCCCGTACATCGAGTCTGTTGAGTTTGAGAAGGATGGCGTTAATCCGCTGTATCTCACTGTTCGTGATGAACAAGGCGGGATTTACTATGTCGACATTTCTCATCGGGGACGACTTTCGGTCGTTGATACAAACGGGTATTTGGTCACGCTTGATGCGGAGGGTATTCACTTCTCGGGAGTTAACTGCACGTATGACATATCGATCTCGATTGACGATATGTACGAGCAGATTGCCGACTTGGCTGGCGTACAATGTGCTGCACTTAGACAGAAGCGCGCCGAGGACTTGGACTTCAGTCAGGTTCTGTACCTGCATGATCAATGCGGCAATGCCGTTGATAGGTCGCTCAGGCAGTATCCTCAGCTTCTTGTAGGCGATACAGTCTGTGCAGATGTCGCTGTCTATGATGATACAGGTCGTTGGGACTTTGAGTGTACGTTTCCGGGATCTGAGTCTGGATCTTTGAGATGTCAGTTGGCGATCAAGAACAAGGTCATCGACTTCATCAGCACAGATCCATTCGGTGGTGCTTGTCCAGACCTGTCCACTGTCGTCACCACGCTTGAAGAATCGGGACAAGATATCGTTGACCCTGAACAGCTTCGAAAAGACCTCGCCAACCAAGGTCTGTCGAGCGGCAGAGCGAGACAAGAAGCCGATGCAGCCGTCGTTGCGTACACTCAACTCTGGCAAGCTCTTGGAGCAATCTTCACCAAGAGCACAGAGACTTCACAAGGTGCTTTGGAAGATTACATCGACGTATACAACACTCACCGAAGTTTCGAAAACGACATTTGTCAGTCCCTCCACGAAGGCGAAATCCCCCTCAATCTAACCCTCATCGCCGGCGCAGCACGCATTCCCGCAATAACAACCCTCAACTGGGCCCCCGAATCAACAAAACCCTACAACATAACAGTGCAAGACTCATCACGCATCGCCTGCTGTCCCAACAGCAGCGTCGCAGAAGGAGAAGGCGATACATGTTCATATCCCCGCGACGCCATCATCCCCGGCACGGGATGTGTCTGCGGTAAGAGTGCTGCGGGTGTAGGGATTGCGTTTGAGTGGACGGAGTGTACGAATTACAAGGGGAGCTGTGAGGCTGATGAGGATTGTGGAGATGGGTATTTGTGCTTGACGGGAAGTTGTTGTGGTGGGGGTGTTTGTGTTGATGCGTTTGCTTGTTCGGAGAATGGAACTGATTTGGTGCAGCAGTTTGATGTAGGGTTTTAGGGTAGATTGGGTGTATATTATTGAAAGAGCAATCGACAGCAGAAGGAGGAGTTAATTCGTTGGACAATCTTCTTTTGACATCGCCTTGTTCGAGCAATTTATTTTCTGCGTCGATTGACTTTTACTGTCTAATCGTTGGTGCACAATGAGCCGGTTGTTGCAGAAATGTCATTTCGAATTTGGGCATAACCTCACGTTGGCCCATGGTATTCACCACAATAAACTACAAGCACTTGAATTGCAGCACATCACACGGAAATGCGCATGGAAAAAGGATGGATGACTTCAAAATGATCTCCAGATGCCCCCGAAGCAATAGAGAACATCAAATGTTACAGTCAATTGGGTATTGGCCCACCGGCCTTATGAGCCTGGCCACAGACTGCGCAATGGGAACATTTCGACGCACATCTACAGCAGGTCATTGGAAGCGACGCGACACCCGGTCGCATGCAATTAACATTAAAGCCAAAAGACAGTCACATAAATCACACAAAGCGAAGGAGAAACAGCAAGATGTTTGTCAATGACGTGTGGACATCAAACGTCGTCCGATTGAATTTTGGAATCTCTTAGACTCATAATCCCAAAGGTATTCATCCCATCCATGTTTTTTTGAATGCTGCTATCATAACCGGACTCCATCCCAAGACAAGCCATATCAACCCATTTAAGCCTTAGGGGTAGTAGGGACGATCTTCTTGCCGTCCTTGTTGTAGCGGACGCGAGGGGGAGGGGCACGGTTGCGGCGGCCAACAACGGATCGGACGCTATAATATTCTGGTCAGCTTCAAAGGTCTGGGGAGAACGTACTGGGAGTGTGGCATCAACTGCGCAACAGGCTGGGAGTGTGTGTTTCAAAAGTACTCCAAGGCTCATCTGAAGCACATACGCAACCAGGGCGCAGTTGTCACACTCCCGGGGAGGACAACGTACCGGACAATCTTGCCGTGAATGGCGCAAGAGACGCAGTACTGCAGCTTCAGGTACATCTTGGGCACGGTGTACTCCGCGAAGACGGAGGCATCCGAGATGTCACCTGTGAATTGATTGTAAGCGAGTGTTCCGAGGCGAAAGAGTATCGTCAGAGAGGAGAGAGGGACGTACGAATAGCAGCAGACTCAACCATGTTGCGGATGGTGAATCTCTTGATCGCCTTGTCCTTGGGGGTGCATCGCGAGCAGTTGCTGCATCGGATGGGCTTGACGTGGCCGCGGCCCTTCTTGTTTCGGCCGCTGAAAAAACTTGTTAGCAACTCGGTTCAAGTGTGCAAGATGTGCTGTTCAATCGTTGTCGAGCATCATCGCGACGTTGGCGTTGTTCGTCTTCGTCCGCGACAGGATGCAATGCGATTGTAGGCGGAGGAGGGGGAGTCGTACTTGTTCTTTCTCTTCTTGACCATTTTGACGGTTGCTGCTGATGTAAATATTCAGGTCCACGCAAGTGAAGAAAAAGGAAAAGAAGAAGAGAAGAGGCGCACTCTGAAATGTGCGTTTGTCGATTGACGTTGAGGCGAGTCCACTTTTTCGTTTGGTGGGCAGTAGGGCAAAGCACTCCAGTCTTCCTACAGAGACAGCTGAGCTCAGCGGATCCACCGCACCAGTTGAGCGAGGGGCAAGGGCCGTGAAAGTGAAAACCCTAGATCATGTGACCCCACTTGCTCGATGGGTGCTTGTAATTTCTGAGCGGGCGCCGCCCTCCACCAAAAGCCGATCTTCTTCAACCCCAATTCGCACCATCTGAGGATTGCTTAGGAAGGCAATAGTTTTTATTGTCGAGGTACGTCTGAAAGATGCTGCAAATACCCGTCTCTGTGAGGGCTTCATTGCCTTTCACTTGAGGATTGTCTTTTGTTTCTTCGAATCGCAATTCTCTGCGCGCATACTCGACGCTTTTATCGACTTTGAGCCACTCCGTTCATCTTCGAGAAAAACTCGAGACATCGCGCAATGAGACACAACACCAGCAGCCATGCACACGATCGTTCTTCGGACCTGGATTCTAACCGTCTCAGTTAGGCAAGATGCAGATTTTCGTCAAGACCCTCACGGGGAAGACGATCACCCTTGAGGTGGAGTCTTCCGACACCATCGACAACGTCAAGTCCAAGATCCAGGACAAGGAGGGCATCCCCCCTGACCAGCAGCGACTCATCTTTGCTGGCAAGCAGCTCGAGGATGGACGCACCCTGAGCGACTACAACATCCAGAAGGAGTCCACCCTCCACCTGGTCCTCCGCCTCCGTGGTGGTATGGCCAAGAAGCGCAAGAAGAAGGTCTACACCACCCCCAAGAAGATCAAGCACAAGCGCAAGAAGACCAAGCTGGCTGTTCTCAAGTACTACAAGGTCGACTCTGATGGCAAGATCGAGCGACTTCGACGCGAGTGCCCCAGCGACACCGTAAGCCCTTCCTCACCCTTGATTTGTGACAAGACAGGAACTGACCCTTTTAGTGCGGCGCTGGTGTCTTCATGGCTGCCATGCAGGACCGCCAGTACTGTGGTCGCTGCCACCTCACCTACGTCTTCGACAAGCAATAAATGCATGACCAAGGGACTTGAATTGGGATTGATGACGGATCGGATTGGGTGCCAAAAATGGGCGTTGACGGGCTTTTGTAGCATAAAGCACATCCGGTTTCTGAGATAATGCATGCTTGATTGAGACGACAAACTTGTTAAATCACACAACCTTGCTCCCCTGTGACTTTGCCTGTATGAATATGTTTGTCTGCTTGCCATGGCCATTTGCCACCTAAACAGTTCATCAAAATCCACTCTCTGACGCCTTCTGCGTCCGCATTGAACATGTCCCTCTCCAGCTTTTCGACACTCACAGTAAAATTGCCAAGACCCTTGTAACCGCTCATTCGCACCAATCCTTATCAGTTGAATTTCGCAGCCTCGCATGAATTTCTTGGTGTCGACTGGTGAAATTTTTATCTCGCCAGAGCCTCGTTTGCCCTGGTGGGGCATGTTCTCAACACCAAGAAATCGGACATGGAGGAGTGGAGAGCAGAGGATCTCAGATGACCTAAGTCAGCGATAGATGGCCCTCATTCAATTACTCTGTTGAGTCTGTCTCACCGTACAACAGCGCTGGACCACATGTCTTCATCTGCATCACGATGCTCGACAGCCTAAACTCACAGCTGTCCATGGCCTACATTCAAAGTCACAATCACGATAAATGTAGTCTTCAGTGAATTGCATGTTTTTGTAAACAAAGGGTATGAGTTTTCCCTCGTAGTGAAAAACAGTCTTTTACAATCAAGCCAAATGCCCTCAAACGCCCAAAAGCCATAAGCCAGAGATCAAGATCCTACAAAAACTCCTCAAACAGTTGCGCAAGGGCCCTGGAAGCCGATCTCCCGCGTACGCTATCATTCGCTTTCGTCATCCTGCTTCTGTTGGAGCGAGTCGTGTGACTCCGCGCGAGGAGATTTGCTGGGCGGGAGACATCGTTGACCAGAGTCCGATTACCCTTGCGCAACGTCTATCATGACTGAAGATGCATCTCCCATTATCCGTGGTTCCTAGAACGTTCTGTCGACGCGACAGCATAAACCAGACGCTCTCAAACAATAGGAAGAGCTCTACTCGTCATCCGCAGCCTTGGACTTTCTCTTCTTCTTCTTTTTCTTCTCGCCGTCGACTTCCTTCACGGCGGGGGCTTCCTCCTCATCCCTCTTGCGCTTCTTCTCCTTCTTCTCTTTCTTTTCCTTCTTGTCCTTCTTATCCTTCTTGGACTTCTTGGACTCAGGCTCAGGAGCGTCAGCCATCTCCTCGTCGGAGCCAGCATCGTCACCGTCGTCGATGATGTCCATAACACCCTTCTGCAAAACAGTTAGCATTTATCAGTGATTGCGCTTCAGTTCACGTACCATGACATCGGCGTTCTTGGCGGGCTTCTTGCCAGTGGCGTAGAACTCTAATCGGTCCTCGACCTGCTGCTTGAGAGCCTCACCGAAGCGGGTTGAGGGCTCTTCGGAGAAGTTGTCGATACGACTGGCCATACTGCACTTGTTGGCGAGGTATCGAGAGATGCGACCCTTGTTCTTGGGGCCAGCCTTGCCAATGAAGCTGCTGTGGTAGATGAGACCGTACTTGGGGGTGTTGCTCTTGGTCTTGAGAGCACGGAAAAGAGCCTTCTCGGCACCGAGGATCTGGAGAGTGGAGGCAGGGTACTTGGAGAGGTTGGTCAAAGAACCAGCGTGAGAGATGAGGCGGGCGGCAACGGGAGTGCCAATGAGAGTCTGCAGGTTGGGGGCGATGTCGGACATCTTCTTCTCGAGGTAGGCGGAGGTGGACTTGCGGTTGTCGGCCTGCTTGACAACAGCCTCAGCGAAGCTGTGGACAATCTCAAGATCAGCAGCAGAGATGTCGAGACCCATGGAGACCTTGGCGGCGTCAATGATGGCCTGAGCCTTCTCACCATCCTCACCAACGAGGGCAGCAATATCGTGGAGCTTGTCATCATTCAAGCTCTTCTTGTCGCCAATGGCAAGAACAAGCTTGCAGTAAGTGTAGTTGTCGGAGACAATCTTGACGAGCTCAGGGAAGTGCCATCCGTACCACTCGCGAACGCGCATGAAGAACTGGTTGACGCCCTTGTCCTGGAAGTCGATGGTCGCGCTAGCCTGGATGATGTGGTTGTCGTTGCGGGTGACGCTGAACTTGACCTTGGCACGAGAGTAGGCGTGACCCATACCCAGACCGGCCTTCTCAACATCGCCATACTTGAGTCCGCCGAGAAGCTTGTCGGCGTGGAGTCGGATACCGCGAATAATGTCGCCGACAATGTCAGAGGTATCGGCAGTCTCGCACTCGAGGCCGGGGAAGAGACCCTTGATCGCGCCAGCAAGGTTCTTCTCGGAAACACCGAGGACGACCTTGGTCTTCTTGCCGCTTGTCTGGGGAAGGTTGAGTTCGAGGACAGACTTGAGGTAGTCCGAGACGATACCCTCAGTGACGAGGTTAATGTTCTCAAGAGCCTCGACGTGACCCCTTTTTGAAGTGTCAGTTATCGCGCTTCCACCAGCACCATACAGCCGAGTTGAAAATACCTGAAAGGGCTGAAATTGGTCAGCTTGACCATCTTGCCGAACTTGGCGAGGTCGTTGACGGCGGCCTGAGTCTCCTTCAATTTCAGGCCCACCGCATCCTGCTGATGCACCACCTTGAAGAGGGCATAGCCCACGGGGGATTCGTATAGAGCGTAGTCGATGTGCGACATCTTGTCGTTCCCTGCCGGTGCCGCAATTGGGAATGATTCCGCGTCGAATGGGTTTGGTGATGGCTCGAGGCTTAAGATTTTCACACTTTTTTTCCAGGTGGAAATTTTCTGGCAGCTTGCGCACGGACCATTTGAGGCTGGTGTGGCTAGTGAATGGTCACGTGGATGATTCTGGCCAGCATCGAATTCGACGAAATTTTGAGACGAAGCATGTAAAAGCATCCGTAAACTCAATATTATTTGTTGATGCAGCCTTGTGAGGCCGTGATTTATTCATACTATTCGTTTACTTATGTTTCTTCTCCAGCAAGAAAGCGTCCATTCAATCATCAACGCTCATCTTACTCCTTGACCCACCAAATCCACTTCGCCTCAATTGTCTGGGAACCCATTTCGCAAGTTATCATACTTGCTCGCAGGATACTCAATGCAATTATCCTGCCTCATAAGCGCACCCTGGCCACCAAACCCATTCACAACTGTCGTGATCAAACTCTGCTCGCCCGTCTTATCCGCACTGCTCTCCCACCACATTGCACCTCCGAGCTTCCACTTCTTGACATACTCCGCCTTGTCCCAGGCAACTCGCGGCGTGTCGTATGTGACCATGGTTCGTGTCTGAGGGTTGTAGCAGTAGCTTGCACAACATGCCCTGTCCCCGTACTCTGTAGCGCCCTCGAGGGGAAGTTTCTTGTAGTCGTGGACACCGGCTTCCCAAGTTCCTTCGCCTACGCCTTGGTAGGGGCGGCCTGGACCGTCGGTGTTCTGGAAAGCTCGGCCATAGAGAGGCATGCCGAGAACGATCTTTCCAGGGGATACACCGCTGCGAGCGTAGAAGTCAATGGCAGCGGATGTAGAGAAGGGTGTTGATTGGGGGTTGTCGGGAGATGGGTACAAGTTCGCCTGATGGCCAGCAACAGAGTCCCAAGATCCAGCATAATCGTAGGCCATAAGATTCCAGAAATCAAGGTATCGATCCATGCCGCGAATATCAAGCTTCTGGAAGTTTTGCGCACCAGCGGGACACGCAACCGTCAACTCGAAATGATAAGGCTGGCTCAAAGTCTGGGCATAAGCATCCATCTCACGTCGAACGGCAGCGAGCAGCTCAACGTAGTCTCTAGCTTCATCGGCGTTCTGAGGGTACTCCCAATCAATGTCGATGCCGTCAAAACCAAGGTTCTTGAGCAAGTCAACGCAGCTCTTGGCGAAGGTATCGCGTCCTTGGGGTGTGCTGGCAGGAGCCTTGAAGTTGCTGCTGTATGTCCATCCTCCGACACTGAGAAGAACCTTGAGGTTGCGGTTACGACGCTTAAGAAGGTTGAGCTGCTTCATGCAGCCGTATAAATTGGTGCCTTGGTCATTCCAGGAGTCGCCGTCCCAGTGAATGTCGGTATCGGCCCATGAGTCGGTGAGATGGCTGAGGATGTTAGCTGGGGCGCATTGAGATGAGAGTTGGGTGTGGCCTACACTTCGCCAGAGTCGCTACGGACATTAGCGAATGAGTAGAGAACATGTGTGAGGTTCTCTACGGGAAGATCTTGAGGACGATGCTGTCGGGCATAAATGGCCCTGTTCTCGTTAGCTGAGTTCAAAGTCTCGATACAGGGTAGTTTCATACCAATTGACAAAATAAGCGACGGTGCGGAACCCTTCAGGACCACCACCCATTTTAACTGAAGTAATAGACGTAAAAGTACTTGATAAAAATACTGCGATCAATGCAGTGAAAACAGAGGCTATAAGAAGGACACTTGACCAGGTACAATACCCAGCTCGTTGTCTCTGTGGAATATCCGTGATGATGGAGGGGCACTTAGAGGGGCTGAAAGTGGGGAATCACTTCAGCTTCAAAGAACAAGTGAATAACAAAGTGAATTAATGAGGCATCAGGTAGCAAGCAAATAGTCAGATATAAGAAACGTGGAGGCATCCAAGCCTCTTACTCAGCAATTCACTGACCAGTTTCAGCTCTTGATGTCCAACTTCCAATCCATGTTTTTGCGTCGTCATCTGCGGCTTGACTTGGTTCGGGGGCCAAGAGTGGCGGTGCTAAAATCGTGGCAATGCTACTTGTTCTTGCGTACCGGGCTAGAGGGGTAAGAAAACCTTGTAACATCGCTGATAAGCGACAGAAATACTCAGGCAGTCTTGGGCAAACTTTTGCAAATTTCTGGCTAGTTATTTTTAACTTGGTCATGCAAGATCTCGGGCTTTTTTCGCGCCCCGAGTGCTGGGCAGCTGGGGTAAATGCATGAGCTGGACAACGCACCAGAAGACGGGACTGAACGGCATTGGCAGCTTGGCGGATTAGCCCAAGAATAGCACAGGAATACTTCAATATCGTTGACCTTGGATTGTTAAAGAAAGCTGTAATGTGATGCTGAATCTTTGTGCCTCTATGTGAACAGTCGTAACGTCACTGAATATTCCTGTGCCAGGGTATCAAAACACAAACAAGAAATCCTCATTCTCCAAATCCGTGATATCACCAAAACCTTTATCTTCATCCTTCCGACCCGCCCTGTCCCCTTCCAAATCTCCCGACTCAGATACCCTATCATCCTCATTCTCTTCCGCCTCACGCAGTACCCCTCCACGCAATGATCTCTCCATATGCTCTATCCTCTCCGCCTCTTCCGCCGTCTCGAGACTCCGATCCACAAGCACGGCACTCTTACCAAGCGCGACTCTGCGTTGGCTGTGAAGTCTGTTTAATCGAGCGAGGTGTAGAGAAGTTACCACGACGAGAGCGATGACGATTATGTAAAGTGCGAGGTTGGCGCGAAGACCGCGAGTGTAAGCTGGTGCTTCGTCGGGGGAGTAGAGGAGTGGACCGACGATGTTGCCGGCTGAGGCGCTGATGAAGATGAGTGCTGATGTGGACTTGCGCTTTGTGTCGCCGGCCGTGTTTTGTGATGACCATGAGTAAATCAAGGGTGCTGAATGCTGTTAGAGAGAATGTGACAAGATGGATGAGGATACTTACTGATGCCAGTGTATGTGCACAAGCAGAAATAGCCTACTAACAATACCCCTTTGTTCTCAACATTGTGCGCAAAGTGTAAAAGGATGGCGCATCCAACGATGGGAGGGATGCACAGCATAACAATGACTGGGCCTTTGAGCTTCCACTTCATGGAGATATAAGCACTCCCCGACACAGCAATGATATGCGATACACCGACAGGAACGTTGAATAACATCGTCTCAAAGGGATCCGACACAAATGACTTGATGATCAGAGGTCCAAATGTCGAGATACCGTTCGAAGGCACTGAGATGCAGAATATCATGGCAACCCAGCACCATGTCTTGAGGTCCTTCAGTGTCTCAACCACATGGGACATCCTCCACTCGCGAGACATGACGCCCATTTGGTTGTTGCGAAGACGCTCGATTGCAATGATCTTGTCTTCGTCGGTGAGAAACTTGGCTTCGGTAGGTGAATCTGGCATCCAGAAGAACATGACGAAGGACACTCCGACAGTGATGGCGCCGAAGAAAAGGAAGATGATCTGCATCTGTTAGTCCAACAACACGGAAAAAGAGGTAGCGTGGTATACCTGGTAGGGTTTCATCTTGGAGTCGATACGTGCAAGCCCATAAGTGATAAGACTTCCAAGCTGTAAAGCATTAGCTATGACCATCAACAAGGGGCAGTATACTTACCACCCACGTCAACCCATTCATGCAATACCACGATCCAATTCTCAACGTCTGCTCCCTTCAAAGCATTAGTACCATCTCACACCATCAACCCATCAGACATACCTTCTCCTCCACCACATCTGGGTGACCGCAATGAAGCTCGGTCCAATACTAGCCTCAAACGCGCCCAAAAAGAACCTCGCAACCATCAACGTCTTGAAATTACTAGCCCAAGTCATGAGAACAAGCGTAACTCCCCACGCCAACACCATGGCGCTTGTGAGTTTACCTATGGGTAACTTGACCAGCGCGAGGGCGAGAGGTGGTTGCATTATTAATTGTGCGAGATAAACAATACTGCCGAGCCATGAGTACTGATCACCTTCGAGGTTGGTGTCTTCGATAAGGCCGAATATTGAGGCGTATGATAATGTTGCTTTGTCTAAGGCTTGGAGGAAGTATACTGAGAGCATGAGGGGGAGCAACGCAATGTCAATACGTCGTAGAATACGGGCATCGTCGGCTGGTGAAATGTTGATTTGCTCATCTGGCGAGCGGCCCATTTTGATAAGCAGCATAGCCGCTGCATCGCGATAATTCCCAGCTCTGACATCTTGTCCCTCCATGGTGTTTTCCGGTTCATTGCTTGGGAGGGGTTGGTACTCTCCACGGGACGACATGGCTGCTGCATACGAGCGGTTGAAAAACCTTGACAACATGGTTGCTCCAACCCCGACGGGCGAGTCTTTTTGTTGACAAAGTTTGTTTGTTTGTTTGGGTTTCTTATCGTTGGGATCGTGTAAGATGGTTTGGTGGAACAAAGAGTGACGTCGGTGTGGCTGCGATTTAGGGAGTGTGGCCCCTGCAGGTCTGGAGGTTATGGCGTGCTGGGCCCTGTAATTCCGATGGGCGGGACACACGTGGGATGGTGGGCGACCAATCCAACCGCTGGTAAAGTCATCAATGAAGGGTGAGAGAGCTTATGATGAGAGATATGAGACTTCACTTGAGTATGTCTTTTTACTTGAAAAGGAAAATTATCACGGACTTTGTCGTACGAAAATGAAACAGGAGCTCTTCTTCAATCAAGGTTTGAGGTATCACAACAATCTGATCAAGGAAGATAAGACAGTTCAAGTCAGTATCAGGAACATGAGCGAAGAAATGCTCATATATGTTCGCCTTAGGGAGCAAGAAGACTTCTGAGGGTGCCAAAAATGACTACTCTAAGGGCTCAGTAAGTCTATACTAAGTTAAACTAAAGCTTTTTGTCACTTGAGATAGAGGCAACATTGGGTCAAGTGACACTGTATCCTCTCATCCCGTGATGCCAATCAAGGCCAAGAGGTTGGGTCATCGAGTGGATTCCTCCAGGGTCGGGATCTAGATGCCTTCCAAGCCGACTACGATAACCGAAATTGCATACGGGGACTTGAGAATACGAAAGAAGAAAGACGGCAGAGATATAAGTAGAGGTGCATATGATAGGAACTTGCAAATGACATTAATTTCACAACCAATTACCCGCTGGTTCTGTTCACCGTTCGCATCCTTCCCACTTCAGGTCATGTTCGGCAATCGACTTCAACGCTGACTTTGAACTCGACACACTCCAGACAGTTCTGTCCGGCCGTTTCTTCAACGTTGGATTATCAATCTCCACCCACTTCCACTAAAAATCCCATGCATCCTCATTAAATATCCTACTTGTCAATCCCTCCCGCCCCTCCCACACAAAATAAGCGCCGGCACCATCCCGCTGCAGTAAATCCCAGCATCATACACGCTTCTCAACTTCGCAACACACTATGATTCGACAAGCATGACAACCATAGCGGCTACATCTCGCCACGAAAGCACCTCTGTACATGATGCTGTAAGGTATAGATTTCATGGTATGAAGAACTAACACTGTAAACTCGAGAGGGGAGGATCTCGCTCCTCTCACTGGTGTGACTGTATATTGTAATTCTTAATTCTACAGTTTGTGCTGCATATTGTCTGTATCTACTAATAATTATGGATAAAAGTACAGGCTTCATTGGCTTCTTCTCTTCTGATTGTTTCTGATTGTAATACTTGTATATCTCTCGTTATCACTACCCATCGTGGCGATGGGAGTTGCGCACTTCAAAGACCACAATATCTCGGGTTTTCCTAGTAGTAGATACATCGGTTTCGCAGCTGGAGGTTTCTACAAGCTCTTGAACAGTACACGGTGTTAGGCCAACTTTGAACCAACGCAGTTCAATGTCACGATTGATAGCCGCGGCAAGAACATCACTGTTGTACCAACAAACGATACAAAAATCCAGGATACCGGCCCATCAAGTTGGCTAAAATGCGCCTTTCTTGGACCATTTGAACGTATCTCCAACGATGAGATGAATCTGTACATATCGACTGTCGGTACAGCTTTCAGCACTTCCATCACCAATCTTCGTCTTCGTCTTGAGATGAACAACACCCTTGGCTACCGATTAGACGCAAATATCACTCTCGAAGGAATCAAGAATGCAATTATAGCTATGGTGGACGACATGCTAGTAGCATTTACCTCAGCCCAATCCATGGTCGGAGAGTTCCACGATGAAGTCAATGGCTCCATCCTGTGAGTGAGAGTACTGGGAGCGCGAGGTCAGGAGAGAGGATATCGTGAGAACACATAAGATAGAACTATGTAAGACAAAAGATTATCCTGTAAAGAGGAAGGAGGACAAAATACGTTATATTATATGGTGGTGATTTATTGCAGACGACGTAGATCAATTGAGCACCTTTGAGTCAACCCAGAAAAGGTCTACATCTCGCGCCGGGTTGGAACTGCGCATTGCAAGCCATCAATTCTTAAACAGGGCCTACAGAACTTGCGCATCTTAGCCGTCAATTGAACGACTTAATTATGCGTTCAAAAATTGTGTTTCTTCGATTTGGTTCAAGTATCGCTCATGGAGGATTTGACGTGTACAACCACCGAGACTTCTTCTGCTTTGAAGACGGCCGAACACATGGGACGGCGCATTCCAAACTTATTCCTACACAATAGATCCTTGAGTCTCTCGTCAGGGAGAGTGTGATCTTGGACCCCTTATCTTCTTGGAATGAAGCATCGCGCTATCGAGTCCCTTTCTGGGGTCTCCCTTTCTTTCGTTTCTTTTGGCGTTCTGAGACATACGAATATCTGGCATGATGTCCAATACGATATACCACATCAATTAATATTTCATGTCTCTAAATACCATTGATCTACAGAAAGGATGTTGATTAGTTGGCTGTAAGACATGGTTTCACATCAGCCTTGCAAAGGGTTGTATTCATCAAACTTAATCCCTTGATACTTGGCTCTTTCCTCCCTTGCCTCGAGTCCCTATTTCCTGTCCACGACGGCAAAATGCCTTGATCTCAATTATTATTTCCTTTCTAGCTGTGACACGATCCTTTCCTACAATCTAATTCTCGCGTTGTCGCGGAGTTAGGTATACAAGATGGGTGTAGCCGCGACACTCATGTCGCGATTCTGCAGGATCTTACCAGCCGTCACCGTTGTCACGATATGTTTTTACTTCCTGATAAAACTCTCCCTCTTCTCGAACGCAGTTGTACCCGACCCCGGACGATGGAAGAATCACGCCTTAGAAATTGAAGAAGAAGCCGATGGTTACACCCCGACATTCGACACGACTGCCGTTCCAACACCTCGTCAAACCTCAGCAGCGCATATCGAAGATCTTGAGAATAAGGGCGAAATTGGAGACTTTGCCGATGATGTTGAGGTACTACCCTTTGTTAACATTGAAGATGATGGTGATTGGGATGAGGAGGATCTTCAGGAGATGAATGGTGGGAAGTATGAGAATGAGACCAGCGATGATGGGGGCGACTGGTCTAGGTTCGCTTACATTCAGTATGTGACGAATGAGGATTATCTGTGCAACTCGGTCATGATCTTTGAGGCGTTGCATCGGTTGGGAAGCAGAGCGGATAGACTGTTGATGTATCCGAAGGAGATGCTTGACCCAGAGGCTGAATACTCAAGCTCGCATGGAGGAAAGCTTCTGATCAGGGCAAGAGATGAGTACAATGTCACTCTTCAGCCCATTGAGATCCAACACCGCGATGGACAAGACGGTACTTCCATCACAATATCCCATTTCACGTTGTTCTCTGACTCTTCTTAGAAACTTGGGCCGATTCCTTCACCAAACTCCTCGCCTTCAACCAAACCCAATACGAACGCGTCCTCTCCCTCGACTCAGACAGCACGGTCCTCCAACACATGGACGAACTCTTCGAACTTCCTCCCTGCCCCGTCGCAATGCCCCGCGCATACTGGCTCTACAACGACAACCCACCCAAGAAGATCCTCTCCTCCCAACTAATGCTAATCCAACCCGACGAAGTCGAATTCGAGCGAATCGTCCAAAAGATGAACAGTATCGGACCAAACGACTACGACATGGAGATCGTTAACAGTTTATATCTGGACAGCGCTCTTATTCTGCCTCACAGGAAGTACGATATGCTCACGGCGGAGTTTAGAGGCAAAGATCATGCAGCGTATCTTGGTAGTGAGAGGGAACAGTGGGATCCTAATGCTGTGCTGAACGAGGCCAAGTTTGTGCACTTTTCGGACTGGCCTGTTCCGAAACCGTGGATTAATGATCCCGAGGTGAGATTGCAGAACCAGCCGGATTGTGCTACGAATGAGACGACCTGTGCGGAGAGGGAGATATGGAATGGGCTTTATACGGATTTTAGGGATAATAGAGAGGTAAGTTTAATGCTTCAGGATTCCGTGACTGGGGTTTGCTGACAAGTTGCAGAGAGTCTGTGAGTCGTTTGGAACGCAGAAATGGATACATTGGAAGAGAATGGAGAAGAGGATTATGTGACACTTCATGTGCTTAGGTATATCTTGGGATGTATAATGTTGAAGGTGATTTATTAGTAGCAAAAAGGAATAAAATGAGTAATATGAATGGTATTGACAGTCGCTTGGACGGGAACTACTGAGCGTTGGCGAGTCCCAATAGCCTGGGACTAGGGGTAGTACTACAGATACATACTGTGATATACATTCGTCGCCTCAGGGAGCAAGAAAAGGTCAGACGGTGAATCAAGGTGCCAAAAAAGACTAGTCCAAAGGTCTACTAAATCTATACTAAATTTACCCAAGTTTATACTAAATTTATCTAGGTCTTTTTATCACTTGGGATAAAACTTAGAAGTTTTGTCAAAGACAGCACAGAGGAGCTCGTCGAATGGGCCAAGACACGATACACACTTGCGAAAAAGGCATATGAGCAGAAGGTTCAGATTGCCAGAAGCTCTAGAGGCTGGGAAGAAGGAGCTAGATTGGCGGGGCAGAGGGCGGAGCAGCGTGCGAGGAAAACTTGGGAGGATGCTGAGAGAGCTTAGAGGGAGATTGAGGAGAAGAGGGATTAGGATCTTGATGATGCGGGAAAGCAGATCGAGAATAAGAAGGGGAGTGCAGATGCGGATAAGTCTGAGCAGAAAGGGGATGGTGAGGGTGAAAGTGAAAGCAGCGGCTGGGAAAAGGAGATTGAGAAAGGGCTGGTGAAAGACGGAGGTGACTTGCTCTAATCGGAGTCTCGAAGGCCAGTTACATGATCAAGAACTCTCAAAGCGAACCGGTAGAACTCCATAACCCAGCATTACCAGTTAATGGGATCATCCGTAAGAGACCTGCTTCGTGAAGATCAAAGAGCAAGGTTTCTCGTAACTGTTGGTATGTCGCCTTCGAATAATCTATACAGTGTGTGAGAAGAGGAACGGGATTAATTAGTTATGTTGAAGTGAACTCAGAGTGACTTCTACTATGGCTACTTCACCCTCCGCTGCCCCGGTATCATCCTGCCTGTCACCGTTCTCTTCCGTCACCGTCCTCCATTTACATCCCCTTTTTCGCCCTCTCAGCATCCTGCACCTTCGCAAAAACCCTCTTCGTCTGAACAACACTATGAACCATACAAACCGTCGGAACAACAATCCAGATCGCATTACAGAAAACATAATACATGTAAAAGTAAAACTGCTCCGGACGACAGTACACAATGCTATGAACAATCTCGTTGAAGTAGCAAGTCCCAAAGTACAAAACATCGCCGTAGAGTTGACCGACGCTGATGATCAGTTGAATAGGGTGTCGGAGAGGATGTTGCTTGACGATACTCCATGCGCAGAAGAACGACATTGGACCCCAGAGGAAAGCGGTTATGGCTTCCATGGGAACGAGGAAGGAATCTTGGGTGAGGTAGCGCGAGTCTGAGAGGGAGTATTCTTTCCAGAGTTGGGCGAAGAGGAATTGTCTGTTGGAGATGTCGACGAAGTTGGCGACATAGTAACCTTATTCATTAGCAAGATTCCCTATATTAGAATGGGAGGACATACCCTCGAAGAACAAATGGATGCATCCGCAGAGAGTGAACCACAATGCCATGAATATCTCCGTCTTTGATAGTGTTCGTCGCGATTGCTGGATGAGTGAGAGTGTTACTCCCAGAATGGCGCTCGCACCGACAACGAAGGATGCTACGAGAGCGCGGGAGGACAGTGTGTTGGCGGCATATTGAGGAAGCGCAGCGTTCAAAGGCCAGAAGGGATGAAGAGGGGTTTTCGCTGTTGCGTTGACGCTTTCGATGAGAGTGTCCATTGTGTCTGTGTCTTGCGCAAGAGGTGATGTTGAAGTTGAAGTGCGATCACTGAAATGTTTGTTGTTGTTGTTTGTAAGACGAAGCTGAGTACGTCTGCTTTAAATAATCCAACCAAATTCAGCTTGCAGTTTACACAAACTGATTCACCACAGCCTTATTCCTTCCTCCACCCAAACATCTTACACCGTTACCCGCTTGGCACATCGGAAACTCAAGATCCGCCATCGAACCATTTCCATCCTCCCGACAAAGGATTATCTACAAACACTCCCATTGGCCAATCTTGGATAATCTCAGAAAAATAGATGGATCTCGAGATGGAAGGCGGGAATCTCGGGGTCCGTTTGGTGATCTTGGGGTTCAAGATGCGAATACGAACGCGTCACTCGAATACGAAAATCGACGTACGCTGTTGTCATTACTGCTGACCCTTTTCTATCCAAACACCACAGTCTCAGATTTCACCTCTCCAAAACTCCCTATATCATCGCCTGAACTCATTATAAGCGATAACTCAACCCTCTTCTCAACTGCATCGACCATAACCAACGTCTCCCTCATTCTCATACTCTCAGGAACTCTCTCTATACCCGCCCAACTCGTCCTCGCCGGTATTTCCTCCGTCTCCGCCCAAGTTTCCCAAGGAACATCTTCCATAGCTTCTAACGGAGAAGCTAAATCGCTATCAAAGTATTTCTGCCCTTCGATTTCCATGATTCGTTGACCAACTGCTGCTGCACCGTCGCTGTGCCACATCCCTTCTTGTCGCTTGATCTTGTAGAGAAAACTAATTGCACGGCGTCGAAGCCAGGGATGGCGACAGCGCTGGGCGACCATGAAGGCGGGCACGATGAAGCCTGATTCTAGGGATAGAGGGGATTGGAATTGGGATGGTGGTGTGTTGGACCAGAGTGTTTCTGCGAGTGTGAGGATGCGTTCGTAGTGGCCTAGGAATCTGTCCCATCGTGTTTCTGGGCCGAAACCGCCTCCTGAGAGGAACATGCGTAACATCGTGTGGTACAACCTGATGGATACGGCGCCTATTTCGTCGTGAGGATTCGGATGCTTCTTCTCGAATTGGGCCATCTTGTACTCCCATGAGATAAGATCCTCGGTTGTAAGATGCAGCATCGCGAGGTCTTTTGCAGCACCCTCTTCATCCCCCGCTATCGTCGTCTCGGACAACATCATAAGTCTTCTCATCATTCCAAACAACGCCGTCCCAGCTTGTCCATAGCTCTTTATCTCCGCGGTCTTCATGTACTCATCAATCCACACCGTTTTCGGCACCTGCTTATAAGGATATGGAGCCGACGAGTCAGAGAATGTCATGGCCATCAAGTCCAACCTCGTCAACATCTCTGCCGCACTCGATGTCTCAGCACCGTGTCCTGCTTGACTTAACAAACGATGACCAGCCATGATGTGAACTTGGCTTTCGGACCATCGACCCATCATGTTAGTAACTGACAAAAGCGCAAGACTCAATGCGAGCAGTTGTGTCGGATCCTTTACATCTTGTGCACACGTTATCGCACGGCCATAATTCTCATTTGCCTGCGACCAGAGTTTTTCACCGCTGTGATACCCACGGCCTTGCCAGAATAGCTCATGTCGTTGATGAAGCGCTCCCAAAGCAAGGGTAGCATGCCATACTGCTGGTTCAGAATGTGCCAGCTGGAGTAACTCCCTCGTCCAGAACTGTGATGGGATAAACGATGCAGTCGACGGCGCTGTTAGTGTCCGAAACACATCGAACAGCGTTAGATTCGTCGGTGTCGCTGAACGACTCCTATCCCGTGGATACTGAGATAAAGCTTGTGAGATCGGCCCAATTACCGACATCTGACGAGCTGCCTCTGCAAGTTGGCGTCGTGTAACAGTTGAGTCCTCAGGAAGATATCCATCGCATTGACGTTTAGAATTTAAACATCTTTGACACGAAGGTTTCGCCAAGTCGCATTTTACACGACGAATGCTGCTCCTATTAGCCAAACCTACAGACTACCGTGGAATACCAAGACTTACCGGCATGTAATGCACCCATTCCCTGCTTTTCTTGGCATGATTTAAGTGAGAGGCTCAAATTATTGAAGAGAATGAGATTACATGCTGGGCTGACGCATTGGTATTCATTTCATCATCAGCACAGCCACCCATAGCCGTGAAGTGGGCTATGAACTAGGATCCGTTACATTGACTCACCGTAATGCGTCGTCAGATTTAAGGCTATGTTGTGGCTTTTTAAGCATAATTGCATTTTGAAGGTTTGAAGATAACGGTGATAGACTGAGATCGTTGCATCAAGAGGCGGAAATAAACAGATTAAAGAGCCTGCTAAGTTCTTAAAGTTATCCTGAATTAACCTCAACTCACCTAATTATTTTTATCACTAATGATTAAAGTTCCAAGTATTCTGCCGTTTCCTTAAAGTAACGGTGATCTACGGTACAGATTGGTTCAGCCCTACCCGTCCGTAGCAGGGATCTGCCATCTCCAATGAGCCGTGAACCAACTCACCACTATGTTCAACATCACCTTGCATCCAGTCACACTAACACACCAAGATTCAATATTTAATGTAATTCATTATTCATGAGGGTATCAAGTTCTATAATTCATTCTCCTTCTCTTTCTTCTTCGCCCTTAACACCGCCGCATGCTGCTTCGTATGGAACTTCACATCATCCGGATACAACGGATTCCATACAGTGTTACACACCTTACACTCTGAAAACGCTGCTTGTGACGATATATTCAGTGTTGTCTGTACAGCTGGTGTTTTTGGCTTTCCCCTCTTCACTAGTTTTATATCGCTTGTGCTCGATTCGCGCTGTAAAGAGCTCTCTCGAGCAGCTGGCCGAGAGGTCTTTGCGCTGGGGTCTTCAGCTTCTGTATCCTCGCCTAGTGTATCATCGCCTGTGTTATCATCGTCTAGTAATGGCGTTGATGTGCCGCGGAAGCGAAGTAAGCGTGGTTTCTTTCGGGGTTCTATCCTTGGTGGTTGCGGTGGTGAAGATGGGGGTGTTGATTCGGGTTGTGGTTCGTCGCTCTTTGGGCTGGAAGTAACTGTAGATGATGGAGGGACGGGTTTGAAGAAGTTTAAGATTGATCCCTTCTTGATTGGCTCGGTGGTGGGTTTGTTCGTTGTTGTCGATTCAGGCGTGTTCTTCGCCTCTTCCTTGGCCCTCTTCAGCGGCGCTGTGCCTGTTCCTTTGGATGCTGGCGATTCAGAATCTGTCACTTCTGATGATACCCGTCGCTTCTTTGTATTCGGTTCCTTCGGTGAGTCGTCTCGAATGCTTCGTTTGCCGTATGTTCGTAATGGTTTGACGCGCGATCGCGGCACTGATGGCGCTGGGCTTGCACACCTAACTGGGTCAGTATATTTCCAGTGACGCAAGAAAAGCTCGTCGATCATACATTCTGGGATTTCGCGCTTCAATTAACTGTCATGCTGCCCAATATCAACCCGAATCCGTGTTGCTGTCGCGTGGGTGAGGCACGTAAACAAATCGCACTTCAATGCCGTATGGAATTTCGGGAGAGAAGAAAAGAATATATACTATTAAGACGACTGGGAAAAGAACGAAAGAAAGAGATTAAATGAACAATGGATGAAATATTGACCTCGAACTTGAGGCGTGCCGAGGAGAGAAAACAATTAAAGTGATGGATGCCCCCACTGGGCTGGGAAGACGCGTCGAGACGCGTCTGGCGCGCAGTCACATGGGCCCTGAGCCATGATATCACCCATCATGGCTGCTATCCAATGCCCGTGCTTTTTGCTCGAAATCATGATCATGATATTGTCCAGGTAAGATTATGGCCATGTCGAACTTGTCAATTGCCGTGAACAAGGCCTCAGTATCGATGCGAAGGGAATGTCGCATTTCTCAGTAAGAAGCTGGCTTCCTCATTCTCTTGTGTTTAATTATTATAGCATTACGGTATTTGCTTAGATCTCGACCTTCGCTTCTGTCTTTCGTTTCCTCACCCCGTCCTCCATTTTATCCTTCTCCTTAATCAAAACACTCTTCTCATCCTCATCCTTCCTAAGAACCCAACTCTCAACAACCTCCCTAACCTCCTTAACCTTTCCATGCTTCTTCCTCCCCTGATCCATCTTCCACATATACGCATTATACACCACAACTTCCGCAATAGCAACAAGTATACTTCCTCCCATCGTCAAGAATAACCGTGACGGTAGACTCCACCACCGGGCTGTAACCCATAATGTTCCTGCGACACCGGCGATACTGACGAGGAAGTTGATAATCAGCGTGACTTGTTTGTGAACTTCTTCCATCGCTACATCGTCGTCACCGATGTCTGCGGAGGATGTTGGGCGGTTTGCGGCGGCGAAGGAGGCGGCGCTGGAGGGGAAGTGGTCTTTGAAGGTTTCGTGTTGGGGAGGTGGGTTTATCATTCGGTCGTAGGTGCGGGCTTCTTCTTCGCGGCGGAGACGGGCCATTAGGGCTTTGTATTGGGGTGACTTCAGTTGTCAGTATGAGAGACGAAGAGGGAGATACGATATGACCTACGGGTTCAGGTTTGGGAGGTGGAGGGGGGATGTAGACGGATGCGCCGCGAAGGAGTTGTTCGAGGGTGTAGTTTGAGTTGCCTTGTGCTTTCAACTGCTTCCAGAGGTCGACTATTTGGCTGTGCGATATGGGATTTCCAAGTTTTGGGTCGTCTAATGAAGGTTCTTTAGTGGGTGATTGTGATTCTTCCTCTGTTTCGTCGTGATCTTCAAGCTCTGGTGTTTCCGTCAACTCGACAATCGATAACGCCTCTACAATGGAGGACGTCATTGTGAGTAGCACCATGTTGTTCTGTGGCACTTATTATGAAGACTATCGTGCTCAAAAGGCCCGGACAGGCTCAATCGTTGCGAAGTCGTCGTGAACTGTCGTTGATGTTTAATTGAAACGTATCAAAGGCCAAAGCTTGATCAACAGGCATCTATTTCCAGGCCAGTTCCGTAGCGATTCATCCGCTGACGCTTAGTTCAACGGCCCCACAGCCCACCCACCCAATCACATTCTGTCTCTTGACGGGCTGTTATCGGCTGCTCGCCGAACGGACCCGCAAACCCCCCGGCTTAGCAGAACACAGCTAGAGCTGGAAAAGTTTAGAGAATCGGATCAATCGAGAATCCAGAGCCATCGAACAAAATTTCCCTCGCCATTACGATCCCGACTACCACCGCCTACGAACGTCACAAACGATATTATTAACGAATGCCGTTATAACACTCGATTTAATCACCGTTCGGGAATTATCCACATAAGTGCGCTACGATGCTCCGTCCGGGGGCTTCGGTGGTGCGCGGCACTATGAACAGACAGGCCTTGTGGACGAGGACAAACGCTGCTACTCCGGCTTGCGCTCTGTGCAGACAATTGACCATCAGTCGAGCTCCCTCGAGGATACACAGCGCTTCGTTGCATACTAGTCCTCGAAGGGACTCAGCTTGGGGTGCGGCTGTTCAAGTCGCTTCCAATGTTGTAGGCAATGTTGTTAAGAAGGCTTCCAGGGATGCAATGCATGTTGATCCTCTGCGGACCGTCGCCAAGGAGATGAAGTTTCTCACGGGAAACATTCGAAAACTTCTCGGTTCTGGTCATCCTTCGCTTGATCGTGCTGCCAAATATTATACCCAGGCTGAGGGCAAGCATGTCAGACCATTGATCGTTCTTCTCATGAGCAGAGCTACATATCTCTGCCCAAAGACTCCTCCTACGGCTCCTATAGTCACTCACCGTGGCGTCGACACTTCGATATCGCCAGCTCAGATCCTTGCCGATGTGAATCCCTCTGCTCAGCCTCTATCATCTCTCGAACAAGAAGTCCCCGATGCAAACTCCGATATTCTTCCCAGCCAGCGACGACTTGCCGAAATTACGGAGTTGATTCATACGGCTTCTCTTCTTCACGACGACGTTATCGATCATTCTATTTCTCGACGTGGATCGCCTTCGGCAAATTTGGAGTTTGGCAACAAGATGGCTGTTCTGGCAGGTGACTTCTTGCTAGGCAGGGCATCTGTTGCGCTGGCTCGTCTTCGAAACCCAGAGGTTGTCGAGCTGCTGGCTACTGTTATCGCTAACCTCGTAGAGGGCGAGTTCATGCAGCTTAAGAACACAGAGCGGGACGAGAGGAATCCCAAGTGGTCTGAGGAGACTGTCACATACTACCTTCAAAAGACCTACCTCAAGACCGCATCGCTTATCTCAAAGTCTTGCCGAGCTGCCGCTTTGCTGGGTAACACGGATGCTGTGACAGTTGATGCAGCTTACTCGTATGGACGGAACCTGGGACTGGCTTTCCAGTTGGTAGACGACCTTTTGGATTATACACAGAGCGGATCAGATCTGGGTAAGCCTGCGGGGGCAGATTTGGAGTTGGGTCTCGCGACGGCACCACTGCTATTTGCTTGGAAGCAGATGCCGGAACTCGGAGCCCTCGTTGGCCGCAAGTTTGCCCAGGAGGGTGACGTACAAAGGGTAAGTTGGCTGCATTCATTCTTGTCCCCCAACGAATCACGTTTGTTGGAGATAATCCATGCTAACAACGCTACAGGCACGTGAGTTGGTTCTTCAGAGCGATGGTATTGAGCAGACAAGGGCTCTTGCGCAAGAATACGTGGATAAAGCTATTGCCTCGATTGCGGAATTCCCCGAGAGTGAGGCTAAGGATGGATTGATTGAGATGGCGCATAAGTCGCTCAAGCGACAGAAGTAACGGACCTACATAAAGGTAGGGAAGATGAAAAGGCGGGATACACGCCGTGTACGAATATCACATCACATCGCATCACTATTTATTTTTTTCATGATGGAGGAAAGAAGAAAAAGCCACATTTTGGTAGAAAGTCATGGGAAGGTTTGGTCAGCTGGGCATGGCGGTGTACTGTATGATTGTGCTTAGACTCCCTTTGTTACAGAACGAGACGTCTAGACGGGCAGGAGAGTGATGCATGTATGATTATACTGTTCTTACTATTTCCTGTACTTAACGTTGAAAGCTAACGGAGAGAAAGTCATAAGAGGGCGTGAGCTTGGCAAGGGAGTTAAGATGACGGTTTAGACTTTTCTTAACCTCGGGTATGAAGAATGTGTATGCTGAACTTGGTGTTTTGATCGAGTAATACTCACTGTGATGATGGACTGATGCCGAATTAGGTGATCGAGTAATCCTCAGTTAGACCTTGATCATGCACTTCCGCGGGGGTTAACGGCAACAACACCACGACGATGGCATTTGATCGAGTAATGAAAACGTGTTCTGCAGTCATTCGGCCCTCAACACGAGAACACACCTGCTGACTGTGCTTCTCGTAGACCCCGAATAGCCTCAGCCAACATGAAAAAAAGAAAACTAACGAATTCATCCGAAGCCGCACCGTTGGGACTTACCTATCCCGCGATGGCATTACTCGATGGTTACTCGATTCAATCACCATCGGCGTGAAGGGTTCAGCGTCTGATTGGCTAGACGGACGTCGGCAGTGTCCGATGGACCCTGAAATTCTGGATTTTTCGAGGTTCGATAAGCTAAGCTTTTCTGTAAGTGGGACCTGAATCCGGAACTGGGATCAGGAACTGGAACTGGCAACTAGAACTTGAGGTTTTGATCGAATAATGAATTCGATATTTGCCCGAGCCGAGAAATCTCGTTAAGAGCGAGGCCATTCCCGGATTCTGGGGGTGGCTTTTTCCCCCTTCCTCTTTGCTTTCTTCAACACTCGTTGAACCAATTGTCTTGTTCTCTTTGATAAGGAAATTCTCCGATCACTCCATCTTAGCTTCGTTATCTTTATCTGGCGGTCTTCTTATCTTTGAAGCCAAACAACCCCACCAATCCCGTGGTCAGCCCCTCCAACAGGTGTAGAGATAAGGGATAAGAGAAAGACCTCAGTGAGAAGTACGAGGACGAAAAGGGATAGAAACTAGGATTCCCCGGATTTTTGGAAAGCTGTAGCTTTATCTTTTGTTTGAGTTTTGAGTTTGGATCTCTTTTTCTTCTTTTCCTTCTCTTTATTCCTCCCCTGTTTGGTTCATCAACGCTGTTTCTGCCCATCATGACAACTTCAAACACTGAGCAATACCCCGAGGGTCCTTTCTCCGTCCTCGTATCCTCTCGAGTCGTCGTCACTCTCCCCGATGACTCTCTCGCCATCACTCCTGCTTCCATCGTCGTCAGCCCCGTCACCGGAAAGATCATCTCTGTCATTCCCGAAGTCCTCCCCTCAACAAGTTTTCCCGCTGGTACAGAGTACGTCGACCATACTCCTAAGCTTCTCCTGCCCGGTCTCGTCGATGCTCATGTTCACTTGAACGAGCCTGGTCGTACGGAGTGGGAGGGCTTCTGGACTGGTACGCGTGCTGCTGCTAGTGGTGGTGTAACTACTGTTGTTGATATGCCGTTGAATGCTATTCCTCCTACGACCACTCTGAGTGGGTTTGAGGAGAAGTTGAGGGCGAGTCGGGGACAGTGCTGGGTTGATGTTGGGTTTTATGGTGGTGTTGTTCCGGGTAATGCTGATGAGCTGAGACCTCTTGTTGAAGCTGGCGTTCGAGGATTTAAGGGATTCTTGATCGAGTCTGGTGTAAGTTTTCCTGTTTTATAAGTCGAGTCTCAAGCTGACATTCATAGGTTGATGAGTTCCCTGCTGTGTCTTCCAAGGATATCGCCCTCGCCATGGAGACTCTCAAGGACAGCCCCACCACGCTCATGTTCCACGCCGAAATGATCCCTCCCATCACTCAATCCGTCGGCGATGACGTTCAGACCTCAGAAGCTCCCCTAGCTCCCACCGGTGAACTCACAGCATACAAGACCTTCCTCGAGTCCCGACCCCCTGCTTTCGAAACATACGCCATCGAGGAGATTCTCAGCCAAGCACACATCGCCCCATCTCTACACCTTCACATCGTTCATCTGTCCGCTACCCAATGTATTCCTCTCCTCAAGGCAGCTCGCAAGGCAGGCATCAACATCACAGCTGAGACATGCTTCCACTACCTCGGTCTGACAGCTGAGGAGATCGAGAAGGGTGACACTCGACACAAGTGCTGTCCTCCTATTCGAGAGGGCAAGAACCGTGATGGCCTTTGGGAAGAACTCGTCGCTGAGGACTCATGCATCAAGACTGTTGTGTCGGATCACTCACCCTGCACACCCCAACTCAAGCTCCTCCCTCAACATCTCGACGCCGACCGACCCAACATCCCCCACAACGACTCAGGCATCGACGTAACACACTCCGAAGCCCAGAATGCCGAAAAGGAACGCGGTGATTTCTTCGCTGCCTGGGGCGGTATCTCATCCGTCGGTCTTGGTCTCCCCATTCTTCACACGGCAGCCAAGAAGCGCAGCGACTTCTCCAAGACACCCAGCATCACTGATATCGTGCGTCTCTGCTGCCAAGCCACAGCCGCTCAAGTCGGTCTCTCGCATCGTAAGGGCGCTATTAGAGTCGGTATGGATGCGGATATCTGTGTATTCGACGATGCAGACGAGTGGACATTTTCACAAGGTGATATGCGATGGAAGAACCGCTGCTCACCGTGGGAAGGCCATCAATTCACCGGTCGTGTAAAGGAGACTTGGTTACGTGGTAGCAAGGTTTTTGAGCTTGGAGCGGCGAACTCTGGATTTGTGGTTGGCAAGCCTTTGGGCGAGAGTATCACTGAGAAGCGAACACTGTGAAATGATTGATGATGGTTAGATAGCATTAAGGCGTTCTTGGATGGGCGGATAGAACTGTATTTTATTTTATTTTATCTATTTCTTGGTTTTGTGTTTTTGTTATTGAATAGCATGAGTAATGAGAAAGGAGATTGATGAGACTGTGGCGTCATTGGATGTCTTTGATGTGCATGTGAGCTTGTCTTGAGTGTCTTGAGTGTAGCACGAAGAAAGATGATTTGGAGAAATTGTGGGGTTGACGATGCATTTGTTATTTGGTGTGAGGCATTTGGAGGATCTACTCCGATCATTTGAAGAGCTGTCGATTCTTCTATTCTTTATTGTTCGTGTGGACTGGTGGAATAAGAAGCATCTAGACCTTGATCCAGATGACGAAAATACCTATATTAATTGACGATAATTCAGCATTGACTTTGTAGGCTCCTTGACTGCCCTAGCTTCATCCCCTTGTTCTAGCCTCAAGATCATGGGTCTTCTTCACCCGAAGCAATTCCATTCCGTAGCATCATTCGCATTGTTCAATTCACCGTTCTCATTAGCTACCCCGTATAACATCCTCAAACGGATAAAGATTACCGTATCATCATGCTATACGAAATAAACCTGGTCTCGCGAAAACCGTTAAAGAGCTCGCTTAAGTCGCATCGAATCTTAAAAAACCTCGGCTTAGGCGAAAGAGACGGTTGCATCGTTTCGCAGCCGATGTGGACGCCAAGCGCTAGACATGATTTCTTTGGGACATGTTAGCGAAAGTTCTTGCAGGGATCATGGGAGTGACAAGCGAAGTGTAAGTGGGAGCCTTGATCGAAGTCAATTCTATGCAAGTAAGATTGACTTTAGGGACGTGTTCTGCAAGCTGGGCTTACTACTGCGAAGGAGTCTTACGATATCATCCTTTTTGTTGACGGTGAGATTGTATTATTTGTATGAAAGAGGCATGTGAATTGACCTCCCTCTTTAATCCATCCTTGCTCGGAACTGACCAACTCCGAGATGTCAAGCTCTCCACGTCTGCAACAATGCACCCTCCACCAACACAATTCCACAAATCACACGCATCGCAACCCATCTCCTTCTCGATCAATTCTTCGGCCTAGACCCCCCCCGCAACCTCGCTTCCATTCCCCGATCTCCACACTCACAAACCTCACCCGACTCTAGAACAACCTCAACGAATCAGACCCTCCTCTCGGGTATTAACCTTGGAGCTCGTTTATACAAACTTGACTATGAATTACCTCTTTGGGAAGATGACCGTTGGTCTTATGCAGTGGGATTTCTCGCCGAGTGGTGATTGTCAGATTTCGCTTCATGTTCCTCTTTTTAGGCGTCATAGATTAACCAGCCTGAATATTCTGGATAATAAGCACGAGTTTACGGTTCTTTATGCCATAATGTCCCGGGCTTGGACAAATAGATAACATTTCGCCTTCGATCGCGCTTACGACAAAGAACTGCAATCATGTCGCATCATGATCCCGACGTTGAGAAAATGGACAGAACCAGCTCGCCTGATCTTTCGATAGATCATGGCATTCATCATCTTTCTGGAGGCCATCTTTCTCTTGACGATGTGCAAGCCGTTCATGTTCAACTTCACAGCTTGGCCGTATCGGTTGATACAGCACCATCATGGCTTGCACCCTCAACATACGGAGATTTGTTCTCGTCAAAGTTCAGCACCGCTCCAAAGATGAAGCCCTTACTTAACGCTGTAAACGCCGATCTTCAACCTGGAACGTTGACAGCTATCATTGGAGGTAGTGGCTCGGGAAAGACGACGTTGCTCAACACAGTCGCTGAAAGAGTTCTGAGCTCGAGATTGAGTCAAGAGGGTGTTGCGACGTTTAATGGGAAAGTTGGAGTTCACAATGTTCGAGCTGCATATGTTATGCAGCAGGATATTCTGCTACCGACGCTTACTGTTAGGGAAACGTTGAGATACTCGGCTGATCTGCGATTACCGCCGTCGACGACCGCTGAAGAACGGCATAGAGTTGTTGAAGAGGTTATTCTTGAACTTGGACTGAAGGAATGCGCTGATACACGGATTGGTAACTCGCAGCATCACGGATGTTCAGGTGGCGAGAAGCGACGAACGAGTATTGGTGTTCAACTCCTCGCCAACCCGTCAGTTCTCTTCCTCGACGAGCCGACTACCGGTCTTGATGCGACGAGTGCATACCAACTTGTGCGAACACTCAAGACACTTGCGCAAAAGGGGCGCACGATCATAACGACGATTCATCAGCCTCGTTCTGAAATCTGGGATCTTTTCGATAACCTCATCGTTTTAACAAAAGGTAGCCCTGTCTTCTCGGGTGCAATCAAAGATGCTGTTCCTTGGTTCGCAGATCTAGGTTTTCAACTCCCGCCTTTTGTTAATCCCGCTGAGTTCATCATCGACATTGCGGCCGTTGATAATCGTACTCCCGAGTTGGAACAAGAAACGTCTGCGAAAGTTGAGCAGTTAAAGAGTGCTTGGAATCAAGAAACCCAAAAGCGGCATCCCCCCCTTAATCCTGTTGATGTTGGCGATGGGAAGAAGAAGAAGAAGGACAAGAAGGCGGAAGAGCATGCTGGTTTTGTGCGACAACTCACTGTTCTCACCGATCGTACTCTCAAAGTCACATATCGTGATCCTCTCGGTATGGCAGCTACACTCACCGAGGCTATCTTTATGGGACTTGTGTGTGGATACTTATTCTTCGATCTCGGTCGTGACCAAGCTGGCATTCGATCTCGTCAGGGTGGATTATACACAGCTGCCGGTCTACAGGGCTATCTCATCCTGATCTTCGAGGTCTACCGTATGACATTCGACATTCCCACTTTCGATCGCGAGAACTCAGAAGGATGCGTCAATGCCCTACCCTTTGTTCTCTCACGACGAATCGCACGGATGGTCACAGAAGATGTCGCTGCGCCATTTCTCTTCTCGGTTATTTTTTACTTCATGGCCGGTTTTGATCGTGATGTTGAAAAGTTCTTTACCTTCTTTGCGATCACTCTTCTGAACCAGTACATTGCTGTTACGTGTGCCATGACATGTGTTGCTACGGTTAGACATTTTGCTGGAGCGAGTGTGATAGCAAATCTGGTTTTTACGCTGCAGAGTATGGCTTGTGGAATGTTCATCAATGTCAATAGTCTTCCTGTCTATGTTCGATGGCTCAAGTGGCTTACTTACACGGTATGTTCCCTCACTTACTCGAATGTCTAATACTGACGTTCAAAGTTCTACGTCTTTAGCGCGTACTGCGGAAACGAGTTCGAAGGAAGCTTCTACGATTGTCCCTTCGGCGACGACTCCGACCCGCGATGTAAACAGTACACGGGCTCATATGTAATGGCGTCTCTCGGTTTCCCGAAAGACTGGGTTGCGAAACCTATCCTCGTATGCCTTGCCTTCGTCATCTTTTTTGTGGTACTATCAGTCATCGGCCTACATATTCTCAAAGTCGAGATGACGATTGCTCGCGCTCGAGTTTCGGATACCGATCTTTCGGCTGGAAAGGAAAAGATGACTGCACGATCTGTTGCCGACGTTCGAGCTATCGATCTAGAACTCAACCAATTCTCGCTCGCTTTGGATAAGAGAACACAACTCGGGAAAAGGTTACCAGCAAAGACGATTTTGAACCCTGTTAATGCGACGTTCAACGCTGGAGTTCTTAATGTGATCATGGGTCCCTCGGGAAGTGGAAAGACATCACTTCTCAACTCAATGGCTTTGAGGCTGCGGAATTCAGTGGGGACTAAGTATCGACCTGCCGGAAAACTTACGTTCAACGGCGCTGTTCCTTCAGATTCTGTCATTCGATCGGTTTGTTCTTATGTCTGTCAAGATGATGATGCGTTACTGCCATCGCTTACGGTTCGTGAGACACTTCGCTTTGCTGCTGGGCTTCGTCTACCGTCGTTCATGAGTAAAGAGGAGAAGAACCGTAGGGCAGAAGATGTACTGTTGAAGATGGGCTTAAAGGATTGCGCCGATAATCTCATTGGTGGTGAACTCGTCAAGGGTATTTCTGGAGGAGAGAAACGACGAGTTTCTATCGCAGTGCAGGTTCTCACTGATCCTCGTATTCTTCTTTTGGATGAACCGACTTCTGGTTTGGACGCTTTCACTGCGAATTCTATCATGGAAGTCCTTCAAGGTCTCGCCAACGAAGGTCGTACTCTCATCCTTACAATCCATCAAGCTCGATCGGATCTGTTCAGAGAGTTTGGAAACGTATTACTTTTGGCAAGAGGTGGTTCGCAGGTTTACTCTGGTCCTGGAAAGGATATGCTTGGATATCTTGCGCGTCATGGATACGAGTGTCCAACACATACCAACCCAGCTGACTTTGCACTCGATATGATCACTATCGATCTTCAACAGGAAGGAAGAGAGTTGGAGTCTCGAAAGCGAGTACAGAATCTCATTGATCATTGGAAAGAAGAGAGTTCATCTACAAACGAAAAGCCTGCTGGTACTCGGGATGAAGGCATCAAAGATACCCCTGAGCAGCACAACAGCCAGAACACAACACAACGCCGCTCCTTCAACAAAGCCAACCTCTCAACCCCCGCCGAACTTGGCGCCCTCATCCGCAAACGCGCCCCCATAACAACATCCCTCCCCCTCCTCCTCCACCGCGCCACAATAAACACCTACCGCCAACCCGAGCTCATCGTCGCCCGTCTCATGCAAGTAATCGGCCTCGCCCTCGTCCTCGCACTATTCTTCGCCCCATTCGACAATGATTACTACTCCGTCCAAAACAGAATGGGTTTTGTTCAGGAGATTGGTGCGTTTTACTTTGTGGGCATGTTGCAGAACACAGCGATTTATCCGAATGAACGGGATGTGTTTTATAGAGAGGATGATGATGGGGTTTATAGTGTGCATGCGTTTTTGGCGGCGTATACGATTCTGGAGGTGCCGTTTGAGATTATAAGTTGTATGATCTTTGGTGTTTTGGGGGTTATAGCTGTTGATCTTCCACGGACTGCGACGCTGTACTTTGTTTCGGTGTTTGCTTGTTTTGGAATCGTATCATGCGGTGAATCTTTGGGCATCATGTTCAACACACTCTTCGGCCACACCGGTTTCGCCGTCAACATCATGGGCGTCTTCCTCGCGCTGGCTAACACGATGGCTGGTATTCTCTCCATCGACATGCCGGAGCTCTTCAAAGCCTTCAACTACCTCTCCCCTATTCGATACGGCACACGAGCTGTAGCGCCATACTCACTGCGAGATATTACGTTTACATGTAATGACGAGCAGAGATTGCAGAATGGAAAGTGTCCGATTGAGACGGGGCAGCAGGTGTTGGAGCTGTATAACTTTGATGTTGATCCTGTTGTTAACGTGGCGTGTTTGGCGGCTTGTGTGGTGGTGTATAGGTTGCTTGCCTGGGGGTTGTTGAAGATTGCTAGGACGCATTGGAAGGGGAGGAAGAAGAGTGATGAGAGTGTGAGGGGATAGAGACGAGGGCTGGTGCATGGTACCTCCCAGTGTCGCTTCAGATCACAAGTTTAAGCTCGAGTTACAAATACATATCAAACTGGGCCTGCGCATATACCAAGAAGCGTAATCCTTCATCGTCATCACTCGTGTCATTGCTTGCTTAGGTTCTGGTCTGCCAGTAGTTCCCATGCCAAGAAGCACCAAATATCTCAATCATTTAGAACAATCTCTATATACTCAAGAGACAAATGACCACAAAGCTGTCTCTCTCTCTCTCTCTCTCTCTCTCTCTCTCTCTCTCTCTCTTCCAAACGACAACACGTGACATTTCCTGATGCAGAGGCGGGTCTCGGGGAGCCACAAAACTTAGGACCTCTATCCTAAGTGATGAAAAGATTTAGGTAAATTTAGGATAAACTTAGGACGCCTTCAGACCAGTTATTTTTTTCACTAGCGATAAAGGCTTTAAGTTTTCTTGGCGGGGAACCTGGTGTTGTGTTGGTTGTGTCTATGTCTATTGCAACGGTTTAAGTACAACCAACATGCGTTTGCAAAATGTCAGGCAACATCTCTCGCCAATCACAGTCGTCGCCAAGCATGCATATACACGATAAGAATCAGTTCATCCTCCCCATGGTTGAAGCGCATTAATATCTCAACAGAAGCAATTCATTCATGCCAAGATGGCTGAGACGAACGAACAGCCTGTTGTTGTACCGGATGAGCAGGTCAGTTAGCACAGTGAGTTATTATGAGTAGAGCTGACCATGTTGGTGTAGGAGGACAATGAGTCTACGTTGGGTGAGGTATGCTAGCCAATCATTCCACGTTGGTATATCCCAGTTGCTAACACACCTGGTTTCTAGGACTCCGCGTCTACTACAGCAAGTGTATCTGAATCAATCTTTAATTACCGCTGTGAAAACGGGAGAACATATCATGCGTATAAAGACGGCAGTAAGTTAAGCTGTCTCACAAGCCCAGCGCTTTCTAACTCAGCCGTCCCAGAGTATGTCTTGCCGAATGACGAGAGGGAGAATGAAAGATTAGGTATGGCCTGAATCTACTCCAGTTTTTAGTCTTCAGTTGCTGATTACGTGCCTAGATCTACAGCATAATCTGTTCTTGCTCACCTTTGGCGATAAGCTTGGCCTCGCGCCACCTTGTTACCCAGACGCAAAAGTGAATCATGTCTTGGACTTGGGAACTGGGACGGGTATTTGGGCCATGGACTTTGCAGATGAACATCCTGAAGCAGAAGTGCGTTCATGCGAGCTCTCCTCCCGTCCATCTGGCATCGCTGACAAGTTAGGTCATCGGCGTCGACCTTTCCCCAATTCAACCAAGCTTGTCAGTTTGCATCTCCGTGCATGAACTAATGTACAGATAGTCTAACATCTGCTGTCCAGCATTCCTCCTAACGTGAGCTTTGAGATCGACGATGTTGAAGACGAGTGGACTTACTCGAAGCCATTTGACTACATCCACAGCCGTTTCATGACATCTTGCATAGGCGACTGGAAAAAATACCTCACTCAATGCTTCCAGTAAGCCCCCTTTTCACAGCTCAACTACAAAACGCTAACCAAATCTCAGAAACTTAACCCCCAGCGGTTACCTCGAGCTCCAAGAAGCAGATCTCACCATCAAATCCGATGACGACACCGTAAAGCCCGATAACGCACTTCTCAAAGGTCTCAAGCTCCTACAAGAGGCATCAGAACGGTTCGGCCGTCCTTACGTAGATATCCCAGCACTGGTGGATGTCATGACGGAGATTGGCTTCGTTGATGTCAAGATCGAGAGGTTTAGGTGGCCGAGTAATTCATGGCCGAAGGATAAGAAGTATAAAGAGCTTGGTGCTTGGTGTTATGAGAACTTTTCTAGTGGACTTGAAGCAATTACTATGGCGGCGCTGACGAGGGGCCATGGGTGGAGTGTAGAGGATACAACTGTGTTTCTGACGGAGGTGAGGAAGACTATGGGAGATAAGAAGATCCATGCCTACTGGCCAATGTGAGTTGAACCCTCCGGGCATATTATTACATTTCAGGACTAACCGAAGCTTAGTTATTCCATTTACGGGAGGAAGCCCTAGTGCAGTGGTCTGACGAGAGAGCGTTGGAGAACGTGAGGTTGAGCGCGAGGATGGGTCATGTAACTCAGCTTTCTTTTTGTGCAAAGTTAACATTTCCATTTCGTGATACCATACAATTCTTCTCGGACATGTTCTTCTCGTGCGACGGTACACGGCGTTGAAATAGACTTGGTACCTCATGCAGATCATGCAACCAAAAACTCTAGTACAGGGATCCTAGCGTCACGACATCTGACCAGCATCTTGGCGTAACCTGGGATATCGTCGGCCTACAACATCTCATTTTGATATCAATGAAATATGTATCATGAGAGGAATTCAGACGTCTCAATTGATCTGCATAGCTAGTAACAAAGCTAGCAACATATACCACAAACTCCAATGCTCAAATATGAGTACGTAGCGTCCCACCAGCAAAGAACAACAATAACAAAATCCATGCCGAGCGACTATCCTTTTCCCAAATCACACTTTGCAGTATCAAACCAATTCAGCTCTTGCAGAACCAAAGGCAGACAACAGGCTTCTCTCCCTTGTTTCCAGTCCTGGACGAATCCCAGCCAACGTCATCCATGGACTTGCAGATCTCATCCTTATCATCACCAGTGAAAGAGTACCCCTTGTACCACTTCCCATTTCCTCCACTGTACAGCTCGAAACAGATGTTCTTCTTCGCCGAGGGATTGGTGCAGCCCGAATCCCTTGAGGAGATCGCCGAGCTTTGTCGAGGTGGGGACATGCGAGGCGATAAAAGGGATTTGGGCGTTCGCCTGCAACTGCCAAGGCGGAATGTCACTTTTGAAAACGTGAACCTTGGTATGGTTCGCCGGGAAGAAGTAGTTGTACCCAGGCTCGCAACCAACACCACCAGAAGAGTTAGTCATCTGCGCAGCAGGCATCTTGGGATCGATCTGAGGAAGGGGCTGCGCCTGACGAGGAAGGATGTTACCAGTTCCGTTGGGCTGGTGCGCATACGTCTGCTGGGTCTGAAACCCAGCAACTGGTCCCTGAGGAGGGAAACCGTAAACGGGCTGGCCATATGCTGCTGCACCGGGATACATATAGCCGTATGCGGGGGAAGCTAGACCAAAGTTATAGCCAGGACCACCAAGATGAGGAACATAAGGCTGACCCTGCGATGGGACTGGTGCACCAACGGGTGAGAAGTTTGGTCGTGAGCCTGTAGCGTCACGCCCGTTGATTGGGTTCCAACCAGACATGGTGGTTGATCGCGGAGGATAGGGGGGAGGGGGTCAAAGATATTGCCAGGTATGAACCCAGCGACGAACGTTCGGATCGAATGATGCTTGCCAAAAGCCGGGAACTTGACCTTGAGTGGTAGGATCCCAAGTTGGTGGTATAGCGTAAGGCGGAGATTGATTCCAGTATGGGTAAACTTGGTGGGCTGGAGGCACTTGATAGTTCAAAGCTTGGTTGTGATGATAAGAGTTGTCTTGGAAGGAAGAGAAGATATCTGAGGAGAGTCAGAATTGCGGAAGACAAGGCCTTATATAGAGCATTCTCTGTATGAATGTCTGTAGCCAGCGTCTAGGAATCAGTGTTTACCTGAAGAACCTGTCTCCTCAGTATAACTCTCCGCCACAGACGATGTATCACTAGACTCGTCTTCAGAGTCCGAATCGATGTCCAGTCGACCAGCAAATATCTCAGTGCTCCAGAGGACGTTATCTTGTCTGTCGTAGAATGCACCAACAATGATCCACGCCCAGAAAGGTGATTCTCGCGATGCTTCAAGACGTTGGGTGATGATCAGCTTGGAAGCAGGATATGGCAGCGGGACGTCCTCAAAAGTCCTACAGTGAACCGGGCTTGAGTTGGACATAAGGACGAGTCTGAAAAACGAACTGAGGAGAATGATGGACGGCTGGTTGACAGGAAGAAGTTCGTAGACGATGGAGATGTTTATCTATGCTGGAGAGACACAGATACTTGGTCATGATCAACTACACGTCTTGGCGATGAATCAGGTCCAAAGCAGAGGCAGTGTAGGTAAGACGTCGGGTTGTTCGTGAGTATATCCTCACAGAGTCACGAGACTCATGAGCTGAAAGTGATTCACCAGTCGTTACGTCAACCTCGCAGTTATTCTCAGACAATAGCGATGCGGGGTACAATTGGATGAAGTCCCCAGAGGAAAGCTATTCAGGTCAACTTGCGATGTAATACGCAACTGGCGAACACAGCCTCACGATGGTACACCCTGTCAGCGTGTCGTGCGTCACACATGAACTTGCCACACGGCTCGGTTGATGCCTGGTATCCAATCACTTGACTTGGTTCGTGGTGGCTGTCCGCCTGGAAAATGCAGTGAATATCTGGTTCGTCAGAACAACTGAAATGGTTGTGATCATGCATGAGATCGACAGGACAAGTTGTGAGTGAACATGGAACACCACTCACATCAGGCGACAGTTGGTTGTGAATGGCGCAGGTCAAAAACAGTTGATGGACGATGCATAGTGAATCGATTCAATTCAGAGTAACTCCATGACGCTTTCCTGAGTATAGTAATTTGACAAAACTGACGAAAGATGGCAAAAAGCAGTTGTTTAGAGTCGAAGAAATGATTGGCTATGTGAAGCCGGTTCTGCTGATGTCGATGTCGACATCAGGTCATGGGATCCGATGCACATCAGGCGACATGAAAGAGCCGCAGTCTGGCAGATTCGGCAACAACTCTGCCTGAATCAGTCTTCGTCGCTCGTAGCTTCGACGACCCGAACTCCGCCTCCCTTCTTAGCCGACTCAATCTCTCTCTTTTGTTGCTGCTGCTGTCTCTTCCCAACTTCATTCACCAAACCCTTCAGGTAGACCTCGGCCTGAACAGTAGCGCTGTACGCAGCCGGTGTCCAGTTCCAAATGTTGCGCTTATGTATATCCGCGCCCGCCGCCAGCAGCGTTCGCAGCACCAACAGGTTTCCGTTCCCGCTCGCAAAATGTAATGCCGTATTTCCTTCCACGTCCGCACGGCGGACTGCGTCGTAAGGTCCTCCAGGGACAAATGTAAGGAGGATTTGTACAATAGTGTCGTGTCCGCCAAGACTAGCTTCCATCACGGCATCGCGACCTCGAATGTCGCGACGAAGAATACATGTTTTATCGTGTTCGCAGAGGAGTTGGACAACCTCGGTATGGCCACCGGCTGAGGCGAGCATCAGTGCTGTTTGATGGGTCTCGTTGAGTGCAGGGACGGGATCTTCGTGGCCGAGCTGTAAGAGGACTTCGCAAACTTCGCGGTGGCCTAGAGAGGCTGCTAAGTGCATGTTCGAATTGGAAAGGCCGGATGGTGAAGAGTCGGGGTTGAGGAGAAGATTGGGATGTGTCTTGAGAATTCGGCGGAGGAGAGTCGCATCATTGGCATGAATTGCCCGACGAACGCGAATTGAAGGCTCAATCCTGTTGACTGTTAGTCCTGGGCATGAAGATCTCGAGTTGGTGCTCTCACATGATGGAGGGTGACTGGTCATGACGGTTGCGATTGGAGGTCAAGAATCATGCCACGCAATCGCGAAAAAACGAGGGTCGAATAGAACAAAAGAAAGAAAGGCAGTTTATGGACTGAAGATAGATAATGTTAATGACACGTTAGAGAAAGGAAACGCTAAATGAGGCCGTTGTAAAGGTAATGAAAGAGGGGAAGAGAAACAAGCAAGCAACAGAGTTGCCGTTGACGGTAAGATCCAAGAAAGCTTAACTCGAGGAAGTGCTGCGCCCGCTTGCAGCAAGCAGCTCCTCATGAAACAGGCGGCGCGGACCCCACATTGCGCTGACATCCACTAACTTAGCTTACCCGCTGTTCGTTCCACAGGAGCTCAAGAGCCTGAGGGAAGTCTCGAGAACAGGTGCATGAAAGCAGCTTTCAATACGTGGTTTTACCTGGGTTTAACTTGGACTCAGCGTATGAGGGAGCGAATGACTTGCTTGTCGCAAAGGTAATGGCCATCATGGTTTGTTGTAGGTATCATGAAACGGTTGAAGCTCAATCCAGACCCACTGTTCTAAGCGCTGTCATGCATGGTCTTTGGCTTGTGACGATGGAGCTTCATCAACGTCAGATTTACCCTATAGATTGGCTTGACTGATGGTTGTTTACATGGCATTGGATCAGAACAGTGTGTTTACACGGAACCAACACTGATTCTTCAGAGATATACCGTTGGAAATATCCAGGGGGCGTTTTTATAATACTATCAGTTGGCACAAAGCTATTCCGATTTAATTATTTGGGTACTTGAGTTCAAGGGTTACCATCAAATTGAGCTAAGGTTTGTCTCAGCTGATGGGCTGTCTGTTCTTCCAACACAAGCAACACAGGGTTTTACTGGCCTACTCACTGAGCGTCAAACAGTCGCTTTCCATGCTGTCGCAACATTGTATCCCATCCACAAACCCACCAGCACCGAACAACAAAACATCAAGATCTCATCCAGGGATAACAATACTACGTCGTCTCGTCAATATAATACCACTTTCCGACTACTGATCTCAACACACGGGCTTGATCCCCCGGCGAAGCACGCCCGGTTAGCTCAATCGGTAGAGCGTGAGACTCTTAAGAGTTCACAATCTCAAGGTTGCGGGTTCGACCCCCGCATCGGGCTGTTCCTATAATTACATATTCATGATTGAGATGTGCTTTCTTTTTTGCAAATTTTGTTAACATCTGGGTGTCAATTGATGATGGCAGAAGGCTCGCTGCATCATTTCGCAGTTATTTTAGTTGGTTGGTGATGTTCACAGAGCAGTGAAAAGAAGTCTAGGTTTGAAGTGCAAACATGGTATTACGATGTTAAGATCCTGTAAAATACAAACAATTCCCTTCCTCTATTACCACTCAATGAAAACCCGGATGAAAACCGTCTAGTTCAGCTCGTGAGCCTTCTTGATAGCCTTATTTTTACCCGTGTCCAACACAACGGCAGGATCTTCCTCATCGCCCTTCCTAGAGACTTCATTACCATTCTTTGTCGTGATCGTGGTACTGTACTCAACGTTAGTAACCCATTTCATGAGCAATCGAAGACACTCACTCTTCAGCCTTGACATCCAAGACCTTGCCCTTTGGCTGTCCCTGTCCCCAGTTCCAGCTCACAGTCTCGCCCTTCTTAGGACCCTTCTTTGCCCCTGAGTCATCACCGCCCTCATCACCATCTTGCTCCTCTTCAGCATCTTCATCCTTCTTTGAAGATCCATTGGACTTCTTGGATTGGCTTTTAGATTGCTTTTTCTGTCCCTCCTCCTTCTCATCGTCTTCCTCTTCCTCCTCTTCCTCGTCATCACTGGACTTTGTAGACTCTCCCTTGCGAGTCTCACGCTTCTTGTTGGAGCTAGTCTGGCTTCTCGTCGCTCTTCGCTTCTCGCCGGTTTTCTTCTCATCATCATCACCCTCTTCTTCCTCAGCATCGTCGCTCGCTTCTTCTTTGTCCTCTTTCTCTTCCTTCCTCTCACTGCCGTTCTCTTTGTCCTGAGCTTTGAGGAAATCGTGACCCCAGTTCTTGAGTGACGCGTAGGACTTGGTCTTCTTGACCTCCTCGGGCGACTTGTCGTTGTTGGCCTTTGTCTCTTGAGCAAGATGTCGCTTGCTAAAAACTGTCAACATCCAATTGACCAGCAGAGCATCTGATACCAGGCGCAAACGGTATGAAATGCTTACCAGTAGGAAACAACCTTGCGCATGTGCTGGACTTGCTCATCGGTGTACTTCTCAGGTTCCTTCTTAGGGTTCTCCTTCAAGATCTCAACAATTTTGCGACCGCTGTCATGTCCAACAGTCTCGCCATTCTCATCCTCCTTTGGCCAGCCAGCGCTGTTGGAATCGTCTGACTTGAGCCACTTCTCGAGCTCTGAGGCCGTCATGTTGACGATCTCGTTGAATTCTTGGATAACTTCATCGTTGCCCTTCATGATTGCGGTGTTGTTTACAGCTTTGAATTAAAATACGTGTGATGTCGAGAGAATTGAGTAATTGCGGTCAATTGATGGGAATGGACTATGATCTATCACCCAGGTTTTGTAACCAGTGTTATTGCTTTTGGTCTCAGCCGTGTCGTCATTCCAGCCATCTCTTAATCGTAGCGTCATAGAAAAAAAGCTACGAACAATGCGTCGAAAGTAGCTTGCTGTGATCGATTTAACTAAGATTAAATTAAATTCACTCTGACGTTTAAGTGTGTGCATGGTCTCAGCTGAACCAGGTTGGACCGATCTGATGCTGTCGTCCAAGGAACACGATCCGATCTGTTGAATGAGCGCATCATTTCCGTCGATCGATGGTTGCTTGGCTGGGAAGTGGGCCAGGAACAGGAGTGAGATGGATCATTTTGGGCAAGCTTGGTAGGGCTTAATTGGACTAAAGGGAATAATGATGATGGGAGGGAGCTGAAGAGTTGAGTGCTTGACAATTGGTAATGTTTGAGCTGTTCTTCCATGCAATTGATGTTTGGACAGCTGCAGGAGTCGCAAACTGAATCAAGTCTGGATGACTCACATTATTCCGAGTCACCCCAGGTATAATGATAAGTTTGCAAATACTCAATTTTCCATCATCATGGTTCAAATCACACAATCGCCCCTCGAGGATATGAAAATGTCATGATGCCGATGCTGGATTAGCCTGGCCTGAGTTTTATCTGAATCATAAGGTGAAGGTAACAACAGTCCTTGTCACCAAGCTCCGATCGGTGCTAGCCAACCTCGTAATTAAGTATAATCCAAGTAACAAAATTGAAGAACGTCTACAGATCCCAGTCTCTTGAAACTCAAGGTCTACCAAATTCTTCTCGCGAAATACTTCTACATTAAATTCACGGCAGTTGCACTCAACCTTCAGAGCTAGGACCAGAATTAATGATGCAATCATCAAAACAGCTTCAAATTCCCCTCGCTAAGCCCCAAAGAGAAATAATCTTCCCCACCGCGGGGTTGTTCGGCAGCGGGAGCGGGGCCATTTTTCGCCGGGGTCGCAGTCTTGAGGCCGATCAAGGAGCAGGCCATCCCAATATTCACACCTTGACTCTTTTTTGTGACTCAGATAAAAAAAAAACATCCAATACTCCAGGTACGCGATATCCTTCCTATTTCGATTATCTCTCTATAAAACAACCGCGTCTTACTGTGCGTTTTCTCTCTTCTATGTTTTCTTTAGCGTCAATTGAGTCGTCACTGAGTCTTTTCACCCGCTGCACTCTTCTCTGCCACTCGCATTCAACTTTTCCAATTCGATCGCAATATCTAAAGCAAACAGCTAATTCTTTTCGAAACTTCAGAATTGACAGCTTAAGAACCGTCGAAATCATGTCTGAATATCCTCACATTCTTCTTCGCGCTGAGGAGAAGCCTCTCGAGCACCGATCTTTCTCCCCCGCCGTGATCAAGACACTCGTCGATGCTGGATACCCCATTTCCGTCGAGCGATCGTCCACAGACCCCAAGTTCAAGCGTATTTTCGAGGACTCAGAGTATGAGGCTGCTGGTGCTCGTCTTGTCGACACGAGTGTCTGGCCCAACGCTGAGCCTGGCACGTTGATTTTGGGGTTGAAGGAGATCCCGGAAGAGGACTTCCCTCTCAAGAATGACCATATCGTATGTCGAAGATTTGGAACGAGAGCGTGCTGTTTGCTGACTTGACATAGACATTTGCCCACTGTTACAAGGTACATTGTTAGGCGGCCAGGACGAAATCTCAACTGACACATCCTAGAACCAAGGAGGATGGGAAAAGGTCCTCGGTCGCTGGGCACAGGGCGGTTCGGTTTTGTATGACCTCGAATTCTTGGTGGATGAGCAAGGGCGCCGTGTTTCTGCGTAAGTTTTTTTTTCCTAAAATGAAGCTCGAAATGTGGCGATTTTGCCCCTGTTTTGAAGATTTCGATGGTTGAAGACAGGGCGGTTTCGCGCCCCCACCCCACAACTAACGCATTTAGAGCTTCGAGCCTCAACGAGCGGGTTCTTTTGATTAGGTCAGAAGTTCAGCTTCCGAAGAGTGTTGTCCTTGCCATCCTGGCTTTGACAACCCCAAAGGAGCTGTGCATGCACGACATCTCAGGTAGAGATCGGAGCTCGAGTTCTACGATACAGTCTTCAAGCATGGATAGCTAAGCAGCATCTTTTGGAGATCTTGATCTGGACCTGGGGTTCACATGGGCTTTGCTGGTGTTTAATCGGGGAGGTACGAGCTCTGCAAATGGGCCTTCAAAACACGAAAGTACCAGCCCTCAAGCAAAGCTTAGCGGCCCGGGGTTTGCTGAGGGAGCCCAAAGAAGCAGTATGAGTAACAGATCGACACCAATAGCCTGGGGGTCCTGGGGCTTCACTGCGGGTTCCAATCGTTGGGACACATGTATGATCCCTATGTATCTCAAGCGAGATTCCAGGATTGTGTGTCTTTTGGTGCATTATTCCAATAGCAGATTTCATGTAGCTCGAACAAGAAGTCTTGAGAGACGCTTAGGGCACGCGAGTTTCGCCGGTGCTTCAACCATCGACAACTGAACTGCGCACTAGAACAAGCTCTAGATTGTCTCATTTACTTACAACTTCGCTCAGATTTGGGTACCATGCCGGATTTGCTGGCGCCGCGCTCGGAATCAAGACACTTAGCCACCAGCTTTTAGACCCTTCCACCAAGCTCCCCTCCGTCGAGACATTCACCGATGGCCGTGGATACTACCTGAACGAGGATGAGCTCGTCAACCAGATTCGCGAGGATCTCGCCAAGGCTGAGAAGGCTCTCGGGCGCAAGCCCACTGCTCTTGTCCTTGGTGCTCTTGGACGATGTGGTAAGGGTGCTGTTGATCTGTTCCTCAAGGCTGGTGTGCCTGATGAGAACATCACCCGTTGGGACTTGAACGAGACCAAGGACCGTGATGGTAAGTTATATATGTGCTTTTGATGATGGAAGCTAACCTTTTCAAGGCCCTTATGAGGAGATCGCCAAGGCTGATGTCTTCCTCAACGCCATCTACCTCTCCAAGCCCATCCCCCCTTTCATCAACCAAGAACTCCTCGCCAAGCCAGGCCGCAACCTTGCCGTTGTCATCGACGTCTCGTGCGACACCACAAACCCTCACAACCCCATCCCCATCTACTCCATCAACACCACCTTCGAGGACCCCACCGTCCCTGTTGAGATCAAGGACGACCAGAACAACCTCCCTCTGTCCGTCATCAGCATTGACCACCTTCCTTCAATGCTTCCCCGTGAGGCAAGTGAGGCTTTTAGTGAGGGTCTCAAGGAGTCGTTGCTTACGCTCAAGGATCGCAAGACTTCGCGGGTGTGGGCTGATGCTGAGAAGCTCTTTAATGAGAAGGTTGCGCTGTTGCCTGAGGAGTTGAGATCTAAGAAGGTTTAAAAGTGCTATTTACGTTGTGGTTGAGCTGGCTATATAGACCGGAATAGAAGGCTGTAAGAACGGCCTGATTGACACATTTGGACATTTACTTCATGTGAGCGTTGAGTTACGGTGTTGCTCAACAGGAGTAGTTTGTTAAGCCACGACGAGCAGATACGTATAATACAGGGGTTCTTCCTTCAATAACTTAGCAATTGAGTGCAAGTTGATACACCAAACCAGCCGGTACTTGAACTCAACCATCTCATGTAAACTCCTTAAAGAACACTCTCATTCTTGAGCCACGTCTCTCATCACAACCCTTGTAGTCCAATACGACGTCCTATTTCCGAGGTACACACTTACGAAGCTGAAAAGTTGGACAATAGAAAACTGGATCCCCCCGCTTAATATGAAGACCAAGCAATGAGCTGATTGGCAGATCTCTAGATAGCATAATAGTCTAAGCACGGATACATATCATATCAGCATAATGCTACCAGGAGTGAAGTACTCATTAGGATCCTTTTTATCGCCTAACCACTAGCGTCACGCTAGGTTGACTGAGTTTGTTGGGTTTCTATCGGATCAGTGGAGCTTCGAATGGCCTCTGATAACCATCACCTTCAACTCTCTTATTATATTGAAGGTTTTCGATGGTCACGATGGCAGCCTCTGAGAATAATGATACGGTGGTTAAGTCCATTAAGGGCGATGGGGCTCCAGAGGTGACTCATTCAGAGAATGTTGAGCCTTCAAAGGCTGAACCAGGAGTTACTCAACTGGCTGAAGGGGCTGAAGTATCCAAGAAGGATGAACAACCAGCCACGACTGAAGCTTCAGAGGCAGCTCAACCTTCGAAGACTGTTCAGTCACCCCAGGTTTCACAACCACGAGTTCCGCAATCACCACAAGTGGCTCAGTCACCTCGAACGACTCAACGTCCTCTAGCTCCAGCTCAGGTTCATCCTCAGCACGCACAGTCACCTCGAGTTGCTCAATCTCCATACCCTCAGATGCCACAATCTCCTTATCACCAGATGCCACAGTCTCCTCATCATATGCCGCAATCTCCACACATGGCTCAGCATCCTCATATGGTGTATCCTCATCCGCATCAGGCTCCTCATTCACCTTACATGGCTCAATCGCCTCATCAGATGCCGCAATCTCCGTATCAAATGCCCCAGAGTCCTCATCCTCATATGCCTCAATCTCCCCATCCTCATATGCCACAAAGTCCTCATCCTCGGATGCCGCAATCGCCATACATGGCACATCCTCACTATGCTCCTCAACCAGGGCATGCGCAACCTCAAAGTCCTCTCTTCACACCCCAGGGAACTCCTGTAATGACACCTCAGCAACCTCCTCTCTTTACACCACTAGCCACCCCACGATTCACACCGACTCCAACACCAGGACCTCAATCCACTGCTCCCACGCCAGCACCCTCGGCTACTCCAGCTCCCTCATCAGTTGCTTCAACACCAGCACCTCACTCCGTCGCCTCAACACCCGCGCCATCTTCCGTAGCATCAACACCAGCACCTGAATCTTCCTCCAGAGGCCAAGTAACATATGACATGGGACCTCCGCCGAAGAAGAAGAGAGGACCGAAGCCAAAGCCGTTATCGGAGCGTAAAATGCTACGGACTACACCGATTGTTCGTAAAGAGGCTAGTTACTCGAAGAGGAAGAAGGAGGAGGTTATCATGTGGATGGTTCATCATCGTGTTGACCGGAGGGGAGAGATGGTGCCGCCTTCTACGACGGATGCGGAGAATCACTTTCAGATTCCGAGGAGTACTATTGCTGGGTGGAAGAAAGCTATGTACGTGATGCTGTGGGTTGTGATGTGATGAAGCTGACTGTTTTACAGGTTGGGTTTAGGGCCAATTCCGAAGTAAGGATGGGCTCATTGCAGCTCTGAGACTTGCTGAGTTTTATCTACGATACCGACTCATCCCCTATCCAACCCCATGGCATTCGAGCAGCCCTCGACTGAAAGAATGTACTGGGAAGGGTCTGGTCATTACTCTGATGCACATTCGGTAGCTTGATCGTGCGAGAGTGTATCTCTGACGCCATCAGATCCTTAAACTACACATAGCCAATCATCAGTTTTCAAGCAAGACGGGAGAGAATACGCAGGGCGTATTTTTGAGTGAATGCGATATCGCTGTTGGGGTTGAGAACGTTGAAACCATAGAGGTTCTTTGACCGCAGAGCATGGCTTTGACCAACCCAACAGATGAACACGTAACGACCCCGGCCTGGAGATAAAAATTCGAATAGACAATTAATAATTTCATCTTGATTACCTCAGATTTAAGCCAATTTTTGGCTTTAGACCTTGTCCATAGTCATGTACGCTTACACAATCTGCTCAAAGTTCAACTGAAGTCTGTAGTGTTTACGTCACCTATATCCGATAACCCCGCCAAAACCTCCCTTGGAACAAGCCGTCAGCATCGGATACTCACAATCAGTTCAATTCACCCAACTCGCTCAATTCATCAGTAGAAATGTCTTCTCTCGCAAAGACAATCGTAGCAACTGGCGTTTCATCCGGAATCGTAAGCACCAACTCCCAACGCTGCGTAACACAAACACTGACATAAACAGGGCTTCGAAGCAATCAAACAGCTCCTCAGCCAGAACCAACCATACAGAGTCATCCTCGGTGCACGCAACACGCAAAATGCGCAAAAAGCCTACGATGAGCTTAAATTCGATCGTGAATCTCACGGGGTCACTGTTCTTCCGTTGGAGTTAAATGATTTGAAGGGTGTCAAGTCGTTTGCGGAACAGACGCTTGATAAGATTGGGAGAGAGAAGATTGATTACTTGTTGCTTAATGCGGGATTGGGAGGTGTTGGTGCTGAGGGGCCGGGACCGCATGGGTCGAAGTGGTGTGAATCCCATGTTGTGAACCATCTTTGTAAGTTTGCCAAGTGAGGTTGGAGTAGGAGAGTACTGATGGAGCGTAGCGCAGCATTATCTTGTGCATCTTCTGAGGGACAAGTTGGTTGAGTCCAAGTCAAGAATCGTGTTTGTCTCGTCCGGTGCTATCCGACGAGTCTCTGATCCCAGTAAGTCAAACAATTCAGCTCGAGTCTCAGCTTCTGACCTCGCACAGGTGTACTCGACACTGAACTCAAAGCCGGATCCGGTGCCTCCGCAAGCACGACATACTGTAATACCAAATTCACCGGCCTCCTGGGCGCACAGTGGTGGCGTCGTCAGCTCGCCGATACCAACGACGTGGTCGCTGTTTCACCTGGTCTCATCCCCGGTACCGGTCTTGCGGGACGCATGGGTATCACAGCTGATATGGCTGACGCAAAGTCGATTCCCGAGGGTAAGTTGTGTACCGTTGTATTGGGACGTGTAACTGATTGTGTGACAGGCGCACAAAGCGTGCTTGCGGCTTTGACGCGAAGTGACTTCCCCGAAGACCGTGATCGCATCTTCTTGACGAGCTGGGGTGAGTGGTGGGAGAAGAGCGTCATTGAGAAGTCGACGGATAAGGAGTTGCAGGATAAGTGGTGTCCTAGTAAGGAGGAGATTGAGCGTGAGGCTGGTATCTCATCGTAAGGCCTTGGGGTGTCAAGACTCCGAATCAAGGGGCGAAAATAAGCTTGTCAAAGAGTATACTAAGTTTATCCTAAAGCACCCTAAACTTATCTAAATGTTTTTACAATTTAACATAATACGTCTCAGCCCTTTGCTACCCAGTTAAGGATGGGTGCAGGAGGTCAGCTCTCATGAGAAGAGCCAATAGACCACAGGGAACGAGCACTTACCCCGTAAGCAATGAAAATTGGAATGGGAAGCGAATCATATCAGAAATAAGGACTGCCATTGCCTTTCCTCCAAGGTTCATTGATAGAAGAGAACAGCCAGCCCACCAAGAAGGTGTCTCTCTTGTGCCTGGAGAGATAGGTGCTGAATACCGGGAGTCCTTTCGGGAGCAGCTTTTGCACGGCTAGAGGTGAAGGATTCAAGAGCATTGCAATTAATTTTCTGTTGGTGTCGTTGTTCACGCAAGAAGGGGGACTTTACCAAAGCTGAGGTACCACGAGAAGAGTTCCAGCCTCATAGAGGACCCTGAGAGACAATCACCCCCTTCAGAAAATGAACTCACCAATATGATCAGCCCGTATGTAAGTGTTCGAAAGATGCTACTAGGATTTGCGCACCATTACTTGAGTCCACATTGTGCTTGGCATTGTCCTTGACCCCATTTCATCCCTTCCTCATGCCGGGACCATGAACAATGCTTCTTTTCATCCCCAAAATTGATCATAAACTCACACGCTCTCTCTCAAGAGACCAATGGCAATGTTCTCTCCCATCTTATGCCACTGGCAGCTATGAATCACACTGCTCGGCACAGTGGCAGCCGAACCACCGCGCATGCATGACCAATCAGTGGATCCGTTCGGTGAACCAAGGTGAAAATCGATGCTATTCACAGTGAATCATTGCTGAACAGCTGCAACTGTTATGATGAATTTCAGGCGCAGTGACCATTTCTCCCATCTATAAAGCTACGAGCTTCTCTCTTCATCCTCACCCTTCGACCTTCTCACACTTGACATCGCATCACAGCAACTTCTTTCAACCACAACAACACTCAACCACAAACACTACCCAACACAGTCATCTCTACCTCAAGAGACATCTATCATCATGAAGCTCATCGCTTTCAGTAAGTCCACCACCACCCCCATCACCATGACTTCTCTGACCATCGCAGTCCTCTTCCTTCTTGGCCTCGTCAACGCCAGCGTCATCCGCACTCCCGCTGAGGCTGCCACCCCTGCCGCTACCCCCGACGCCTTCGTCGCCAAGGATGAGAAGATGGCATCCTGCAACATCCAGTGCGCCTTCTGGTACCAGAAGTGCTACTACCGCCCTTGGGGCTACACCTGCGATGACAACGGTCTGTTCCGTCGCCGCGGATGGAACCCTGACTGTGAGAAGAACTGCTGGTGCAACTGCGATTCTAAGTAATCGTGACAAGATCAGTGGGGAGGGATCCGGATAGGATCAGAATGGAGATGAATGGAAAGGAAATGGTGATTGAGTCGATGTCCCCCTGTCTGTGGGCTCGAGGATGATGATTTGTTTCGGTACTGAGTCGCTCTGTTGAGCTGGACTTTTGATCAGCGGTGGCTTAGGCCCGCTAGCTTAGTAAATGCAAACTCCTTTCGCCTCAAAAACGGATAATGAACTGTAAGACGTGACTTGTGAATGTACTTGTTGTGATGATATGAATGGCCCAGTCTTTAGAAGCGAGCACTGGCGTTGAGCCTCCACTCTTCCCAACCAAGACATAGCCCCCGATAAACAGCGCTGAAGTACGGGAGATGCCGAAACCCGGAATATACATGGTAAAGGCAAAATTCACTGAGAACTCTATGGTGTGTTTATAAACCGGTATTATTCGAATTGGCTAGTGTTTACCATAGGCTTTTGTTCTTGGCCATTCAACAGAACGGGAGGATGACGAGTGACTTGTTCAGCATACGTAGGCTGGATCGGAAGGATTGTATTCTTCCATGTTTCTATCCATATGACCTGTCTAATCTAATCCTTCACAAAGAAATCCCGGTATTGACATTACTCAAAGGCCAAGTACTTTTCGTTCGACCTCACTTCTCGGCATCGGCATCGCTCTGCGAGGTACCCGGCACCGTTGTCATAGCATCATTGAACACAGGACCTGGGTGACTAATGCACAAGAAGAACACCGCAATGACAATAAGCCTGAACACAGTTAGTAAACATCATCAACAGGAACACTTGTGACTTACACTCCCTCAAGACCAATGAACAACCCCTCATCCGTAATAAGATCCGAGTTCCTATACCCCTTACTCAACTCATAACATCGAAACGCACATCGCGCAAGGATGAGAATAACCGCAGCGCTCAAGAACCCAAAGAATATCCTCATACGGTTTCCCATTGCACTAGCGTTTCCGCTTCGAAAGTATCGCCAGAGATAGTCCCCGAGAAGAATACAGAAGAAGACGAGGATGACGACTTGGAGGGATAGACCAGCTAAGGCGATGTCGATACCAGTTTGGCTGGAACCTTGGCTGACGGTTGACAATGCGCCGCCTGCGGCTTGGAGGACGAGACAGACTACATCGGCGGGGATGAAGATCCACCATACGAGTTCGGGTCTGAAGCGGGAGACTTCGGGGGCAAAGTATTTGATCCTGAGCCATCAGTAGAGCTCGAAACATCGAAGAAGGGGACTTACGTCTTGGAAAGTGTCACGTAAATAGCAGCTGTGTAAAACACAGGACCGCTCGTGATAAAAACAATCTGGACCATGAACCCTCCAAAGTTGAAGGGATTGTTATACATAATAATCCTTCCAATGTATCCAATAATCTCAAACAGACATCCAATCATCATGAAACTCATGTAGAACCACTGCTTCCACTTGATACCCAGAACGAGATGTGTCCCCATAGCGATGGCGTAGAGAACGATGAAGGTGATGTTGGCGGCGAGTGATGGACGGTATTGGTAGACGCTCCATTCTACGGGACATAGAGCAAGAGTACAATTTGCGTCTGGGCCAAAGATGACCAAGTTGTCTGGTGGTACTTGCGACATGATGAATCTTTTGTTTTGTTTTGTTGATAGTGGTAGGTAGAGAGAGGTGAGGGGGAAGAGATAATAAGGTTGATGGATGACGGCCAGGAGTGGAATAGCCTTTCGAGTCGGAAGATTGTTTGCTTTATACATCTCACCTCATCCGTCAACCCTTGTAAACCAGTGGGACCCCTCAAACGTCAAACCAACTCAAATTATCTCAATACAACCCTCGAATGACTATCTAAATCCATCTCCCATTACGCACCACGCCAAGACAAGACAAGAGTCGCTTCAGCCCTGCGACAAGCGAATCCGAAGTCTGAACCAATCAGGGCCCCCGCGCGCTATCAGATCCAGTAAATTGAGTCCCGGAAGCTAGGATGATACCCCTGTAACACTAAACCTTTTGGGGAAACGCTTTCGAGCTGTCCAAGTCGTTTTTGGGAAGGCCTTTCGAGGTGGGATGGTGGAACGTCATTTTAATGACGGCTTGATGTTGTTTTGTATCTGAAGGAATGCGAGTGCGAAGGGCCTTTAGGCTTGATAACGGTTGATGTTATTTGTTTGGCTTGGATGAATCATCGGGTTGTATGAGAATGATAATGGTAAATAGCCTCTTCGAAGTTGAAGTTGGTGATGCGTGCGTGTATGACCTTGCTGGCTACCAAAGAAGCCTCTGATGCCTCGTGCAACGGTGAGCAAGTTTCATTGCGCGTAAGACGGCAGTGCTTTGTCTATCATCACATCTACCGTAGTCATGTGCATTTCCTCAGTGGATGCTATCCACAATCACAACTCCCATTACTCGTACATCAAACAACCCTCATTGGTCTCGGTCCCGAAAACAACGCTCCCCAGCCGACCATCAACAATTTACGGTTTCATAAATGTAGTATTAGCCAAGATCTATCTTACTTTTTCCCCATATGGGGCCGTCGTCATCTGTAAACGAATTTCCATATTTTAAGCATAATCCTTTGAAGGATCAACTCGGTTCGAAGTTATCCCGATTGACACTTTTTGGTACGACGTTGACAACGAGGCGTGGCGCAAGTCAGGAACTAGGGATTGTAGGCCAGGGCGCATGGTCCTGGGATTGTTGGACAATTGTGTATTCGAACGGGCTTGGCTGATGGACTTTTCGACCGTTGGACCGTTTGGCATTTACTTTCTGTTGCTTGTTCACTTGCCAGTTTTCTTGATCAGCCGCCACTGCAATAAACAATAGGAGGGAATGGTAACTGATGGGGTACATAAGGTACCAAGCTAAAGATATTCCATGACCTTCCAAGAAGCCAGGTAGTCATCTTGTAACCTTGTTGACTCTCAATTGGACTCAACGAGCATTCAGACTTGGGAAAATGTTCCACCTCAGACACTGAGGACTCGGTTACCAGTTCCTGCGACGTGGATCCTGTATCCGTCGTTCAATATCGGGACTGCACAGGAATGGCTTGGACATTGGGAATTGTTTCACCTAACTAGATTAGATGCGAGTAGCCTGATAGGGGCCTCCCTTAGTAAAGAGACCTTCTCTTAGAGTTTATTAGCAATTTATTTATTAATTTTTTAGGATTTTAACCTCTTAATCCATAAATAGCCTTGCTTTTAAGAAATATCCTTACTTACTATAGGCGCATGATTGAAGAGCGTTCTTACAGGCGTATTCATGACCAGACTGATATTAAAAAGCAAAATCAGGGGGTGTGTTTTTCACGTCATTCTCAAACCACTCTTCTGTACCTGGCTTTGACTAGAAATTGAGATCTACAATTCGACGCCTGGTTTGTTGTTAGGCAGCTTCTTCTGGCTCTACCATACAAGTCCGACAGACCTGCTAACCAGTTTGTTTGAAACCTCGAGGTTCTAAACATGTGTGATTTTAGTTCAAGGTTATCAATTGAAATAAATGTGCTTGGTGAAATGAATCACTTTATTTAGTTTTCTATCTGGTGATCTCTATCCTATGTCAGACGCAGGACAAGAACACAAAACTAGACTGTCCAAGTGTCTGCCAGCGTGGAATCTCATCAACACGCACACCCAAAGATCTTTCAAGATCCTTTACCCATGATTCTTTGTCCGCCAAACATTCGCTCTCTCAACTGTCAATTTCCTCCGGCTCACGTACAGGAATGAGAGTAGGTCCATCTAGTCCGTAATTCCAAATCTTTGCATTGACGATGTGGAATTTGTTAGAGGAGACAACATCAAACTCAAACTTGCGCTCATACGATCCCAACTCCTGGATACTGTTGGCAATCTTGGCAATCCAGAAAGAAGAGTCGCTCTTGGGATGAGGATGTCCAGGGTTATAGGACTTGAGGAAGACGCCTGGCTCGGTGGTTTTCTTTTTGTTCTTGCGTGACTTTCGCTCCCCAACGAGGTCATCCTCAAATTTCTTCAGTTCAGGTTTTTGCGTTGGGATGGTGGAGCACGTAGAGTTCGCCAGGCTTGCCTTTCGGGCTGAGTCGAACAACCACTGCAAATCCGCTCGGCTTCCATCGTCCACGTTTGTCATCATTAGGATGACCCTGGCGAGCTTTCTCCCAGTCCCCAGTAAAGGACCAGAGCAATCCCAGCTGAACGAAGACAAAGGTGTGGGGAGCAAGCCCGCTATTCGCGGTGATGTGTGGGTGCATTTGTTCCATTGCAAAGGGGATTGTTGTGATGAGGCGGCTTCTCTTTCTATGAATAGTGTTGAACACAGATGAGGGGCTATTGTTGAAGCCCAAGCCTACGCCTCGAAGTGTTTGAAAGTCGCCATTGGACGTAGCAGAGTCAAGCGTGTTTTCTCGGGTGATATCACTGCTCTCTACCTAGACAGGAGAATGTGGCTGACTGGTGGTGGAACCCGAAAACGAGTGCGAAAGTTCCGTGCCTGCAGATGAGTTTGAATCGCTGTCGGTGTCGAATGAGTGAACAGAGGATCCAGGAGACAAAGGATGGGAGTGCGGAACATGAATGTTCATGGCGAGTATCATGTTCCCTAAGACATCGGAATCATAGTCAGGGAAGTTGACACCCAGGACAAACATAGAAAGTGGATGGCAGGAAACTCTGGACGATGCTGGTCAGTATAACCTGGAAGTTCTGTCTCTGGCTCCCCAATTCACAGTTTTAACTATTCTGGCAATGGATCCCGAGGTCACCGTCTGTAACAAGCTTGCAGTTGTTCAGCGTCCTCAGCTGAGCATTCGACGCGCGCGATCTGTCGGCCTAATGAGTTCAGACGGACACCTGCACACAAGGTTCAGTACCAGAGAATATAACTCAATGTGGTTGGGTCACGCGGGTATATCCAAACTTTATAACTCAAACACTACACTACAACAAATTATCAACGTTACGCAGTCTCAGCATGAGTCGCCTCCCTCTCCTCAAGCTCCCCCTTTAGACCACCAGTGCGCTTTGCCTCCTGAACCTTCTCGTCAAACCCACCACTAGCCTTTGCACTTCGCCAAGCCGGTACGTTACTCTCAAACAGAACATCAACTTCCTCAAGGGTCTTGCGTGCTGTCTCGGGATAAGTGAAGAAAGCGTGGAACGTCATGGCGATACAGAATGTTCCGAAGATCATGTATGTCTGCCACTGGATGTTGGTGAACGATGGGGGGACAAAGAAGGCGAGTGCCAAGTTGAAGCTGTGAGGATTTATGTCAGTGCATGTAATTGGTCTGGTAGTTGGGGGAGTGACTTACATCCAGTTACCAGAGGCAGCGAGACCAACACCCTTGGCTCGGTACTTTAAGGGGAAGACTTCACTGGCGTAGATCCAAGCAACGGGTGCCCAGGTGAGACCGTAGACGCCAACGAAGATGTATGCCAGAGCGATGACGGCCTTGGCGGGAGCTCCTGAAATGGCCCAAGTCAAGATGTCGTTGCCTTCGATACCGTCAACGGGGTAGCCGTGAACAGCCATGACTGCACCACTGGTGAAATGGAGTACACCGCAGATCAAAGCTCCGCTGATGAGGAGAGGTCGACGGCCGAGACGATCGATGTATGGAAGAACCACGCCGGTTGTTACGAGGAAGATGACGTATTGGATGATGGAGGATGTAAGAGCGGTGTTTCCAGTCATGCCGGCCATGTTGAAGATGTATACGAGATAGTAGAGCATGACGTTTCCGCCCCTGATCATATTAGCAGCTGTTTCCACAGGTTTCAGGGGCACACTTACAGAAGTTGCTGCCAGATCTGTACGCTCACACCAACGACGGTGCGTTTCCAGACTCCAGGCGCAAAGAGACCAAGATAGCCGATATCCTTGGACTCGCGGGCAATGCGCACAGCTTCGCGAACCTCTTCCATCTCGGCGATCACAACAGGGCTATCGAGATCACCGCCTGCGTGAAGGTGGGCGAGGTTGTAATGCGCTTCTTCCCAATGATCATGCTGAGCAAGCCATCGAGGCGACTCCGGAAAGAAAAACAGTCCAGCGAGGAGGACGAAGCCTGGAACGGCTTGGACTCCCCATGCGATGCGGAAGGCAGCTGGTCCATCGATTCCAACGGAGCATCCGTAAGAGATGAGGTACATGATCAAGATACCTGGTAAACATTAGCACGACTCTTCATCGGGGGGTGTTGTCAAACGCACCCCACTCAATAGACCACTGCTGAATCCCAACAATCCTCCCTCTAATATCCGAAGGCGCAAGTTCAGCAAGATACACAAGGACCTGCGAACTAGTAATACCAACAGCCACACCACTAACAATACGACCAACAATGAGGTGTGCCACGTTCTGCGCAGAACACTGAAGAACAGCACCCGCGATCCAGAACAGACAAGCGATCATGAGAGCCTTTCGTCGACCGAGTTTATCGGCAATACCTCCTGCGGCGAGGGCGCCGACGAACGATCCTGCTGACATGGAGGCTGTGATGCCACCTTGCTCGGTTGAGCCTGGACTGTTGAAGTAGTCGAGATATTGGTCGGAGCCGATCCAGGCGCTCATGGAGCTGATGTCGAAACCGAAGAGCATGCCGCCGATTGTGCCTATGGCGGCGAGCGCTGTGTATGTCAGTTACGATCATCCATCCAAAGAGAAGGGTTCGTACCGTAGATGTTCCAGATCCGATACATGATGGATGTTGTGAATGAAACTCAAAGAACTGCTGTCTCTTGAACAGTAAAGTTCTCAGTCGGGCTGGAGTTGTTCTTTATATAAGAACACCCTCGAGAGCATCGTCAAGGATAACGTGGAGAAGGTTAGAAGCGCGCGAGTGAGGTTCTGCGATGTGAAGGGGGCCCGCTTAACGTCATGCATGCACTCGTGGAGTTTGCCCACGGGGTGATCGTCGCTTGTGGGAGACAGCGTTGGTGGGCTTGGCTTGTGAGCTTGGCCTTGCTTCGATGCAAAGTGGCAGAACTCGCTTTACATAATACGAAATCCTAAATTTTGACTATTCATCCCAAAAATTAGGATGATGATGCATTCAGGCTTCGCATCGTGAACTCACATATAGCAATAACTTCATTCTCCCTTCTCCACGGTGATGCGGTATACATTACAAACAGTGTTTCATTCACTTACAATACCACGTGAGTCCAAGATACAATATCTCAGCGGAAATATGAGCGGCTCCGCGAACAGACGTTCCAAGAAATGATATCATCGAAAATCAACATGGGAACCCTGTCGCAATGTCACATTGGGGTACTCCAACAGCGCCATAACTGTGCAGAGTTGACATTCGAAATACGATTTCTCGAAAGACTCTAGAAGTCTTGGATAAACATGATTGGAGCGCATATTATTCTGCTGTAGGTGTAGAGAAGAAATGATCATCGCTGCGTTTGTGTGTGCCTGATTTCGAGGCCATGTTGCGGCTCCACTGTCTCACTGATCCTGGTTTCATTCTTGGGGATTGCAATGACTGATCGAATCATGTTTATGTCTCTTTTGCCTAAATTCTCTTAATGCGTTCCATCTTCCGGGGCTTTGGGCGGGAAATTGTCGTTGAAAGTGATAACTTGGAAACCGTTTGGCTATGTCATCAGCGGCGTCGTGTGGGGAAAGGGCCGAAAGTTTCTCTCCATTCCCCGAATTCTTCCCCAAATTCCCCAAATTTGTTCGGGGTAATTGATGACCAGGGGATACGATAATCATGGAGACGGTGAGTTAACGTTGCGATTTTACGGGTGCGGTTAGGAACAGTTTATTACGGAGATAAAGCTTTAATTGATCATCGAAGTCTACTTGGTGCTGATTCGTAATCTGTTCTGGTGATGGTGAGGGAAGATGGTATACCGTTGGCTCGGATATGAGAGTACCAAGACGCTTGGCTCGTTACTAAGACATGTTTTCAGCATGATCTCAATCATCAAAGACTTGTCTCGGTGAACTTTAGTTTCAGGAGTGTCGTGAGCCTTGGCTGAGACCCTCAGATCATTACCGTTTTGGTCTGCACTATCAATTTACCCGTCTTGGGTTGAACACCCGACTTGGCAAATGGGCTTGTTCAAATGCCAGTTCCATTGTCTTCGCGTAAAACCTGCTTCGGCCTAAAGGTTAGCATCGGATCATCGTTTCTTTTCTCCGATATGGACCTGGGATAAGACATCCCGTCTCGGATCGAGGCTGCTCCAACGTCCTTTAAGAAGACCATTTGAGAAGCGAACTGTTGAAAGACTAACATGTAGGAAGCCGGCAGAACGAGGTAAGTTGCAGTGGTCTTCGAACACTGTCGTGAGAATCACGTGGGATCGTGAACGTTGAATCTGCCACAATACGATGGAGACATTAGCTACTTATTCGAGCTTCAAGACATATCGACCGCAGAAGAGTCCATGTGCTTGGGAAGCACTGAACAGGTGCCACCAAAGAGTTTCTTAAGGCTCCTATGCACTCCATTGTTGCGATCAAAGTTTTGGTAGGCTGGAATTCCGAAGCCAACCGTCAATGCCATTTCGAACACGCAGGTTGTCATTCATAGGCCTGCTATCCAACATGTTCACCTAGCGTTAGCCCTGAACGTCTCAAGTACAAGGAGGCCAGCGAACGATGAACAGGATGGTCTTTGCCTGGATCTGCACTTTGCAGTTGCCAAAAGCACGCAGCCCACGTCGGTCCATCCTCTAGTCAGGGCCTGACGACACAGCTTCTTCATTACAGCCTAAAGACAATTTAGAGATACGGGACACCCATCCTCCTGTTCAATTGGTGTTCCCGCGATCGTCTTCTGTGAAACCCAGATGAAGGGTTTGGGAGAGCCGGGCCTGTCTTACTGGGAGCGACGGAAACAGTCACCTCGATGTTTCCCGGGAGTTCCAGCACGTCACGCACCATAGACAAGGAGTATTGGTATGAACTTTGGAGGGAATCCCTCCTGTCTAATATGTACTCGAAGAAGAAACTATACTCCCATCTCTCATCATCATCCAGTGACATGGCCCTTCAGTGCTCAAGTATCTCCTCGACAAGCTTCAGTGAAAGCAGCCAGCTGCCCAACATGTGCTTCCTGTAGGATACTTCAAAGCATGAACACCGTCACATACACCTGATAAACAACTCTCATCAAACCAAGACTCTAAGAGTTGCCCAATATTTCAAAACTTAGACTTGAGCAGCTTAAAAGTTAGAGCTGGCCTTGTACTGAGCCCCGGCAGTAACGCCAACGTTCTTAACAACAACACTCTTTCCAGTACTGCTAGTAACCTTGACGTCAACAGAAGTCTTTCCAAAACCAGCAGGGTTCTCAAAGAAGTTGTAGTCCTTGCGCTCAGTGCTCTTCCAGGTGTTGCCGCCGTCAGTGGAAACCTGAACACTCTTGACGGGCTCGTTGGCGTTGACGACTTGGATGGAGAACCAGTTGGCGGAAGTACCCTCCTTGTTGTGAAGCACGAGAGGAGTGGTGATGCCGCACTCGACGAATTTGTAGGACGTCTTGACGATGCCGTCTGTGCCGCCGACGGCTTTGAAGGCGTCGGGGAAGAGATCGAGATGGCCGGCGTCACATTCGGGGCACTTGTCGACGATCTAACGGAATCAGCTAAGTACTTATATTTGATTTGTGGGGGTTCTTACCATGGCCTTGATGGTGCCTGAAGGACCGGTGACTTCGATACAGGCACCGCAGTTGGCGCTGTTATCCCACTTCTGGCCAGAGAAAGCAGTTCCGAGGATACCAGAGGGGAGAGTGTAGGTTGAGAACATGCAGTTTCCACCGGCGAGGTTACCACCGTAGAAGGTGGAAGATCCAGAGACAGAGGCACCGTTTCCGAGAGGTGTGGACTTGGAGGTGGAGCCAGACTTGGGCGTAGAGGTCTTGGAAGTGCTGGGCTTGGTAGTCTTAGTCGTGGTAGACTTAGGCTTAGTAGCCTTCGGTTTAGAGGCCTTAGGCTTAGAGACCTTCTTCGGCTTGGAGGTCTTGGACTTGGTGGTCTTGGGCTTGGAAGCAGCTGTCTTGACCTCCTCGGCGGGAGAAGGCTTCTGGCCTACAAGCTGGGGGGCCTGAGAGATCACAGGCTCGGGAACAGGGTACTGAGTTTGGACGGGCTCAACCGCAGAAGAGTGTGAGTGTCGGACCTTGCAGGCACGGCCCATGACAGCGGGAGCTGCAAGGAGGATAGGGAGGAAGAACTTCATCGTGATCGACAGAAACAAGTTTCAGATGTTAAAATTGGATGACAAGTTATCGTCTTGGGACTTGCCAAGAACTTAGATTTGATACAAAAAGAGTGAATTTAGTTGAAATGAATGAATGAACTGTTCGAGATCGTCTAGATTCTCGATACGAAAATGAGTGACTAAATGAGAGAAAGTGTCAAGATAACAACTCAAATCGAAGAGGGAGAATGAGCTTATTATTTAACATCCTACGAGCAAACTAATCGGATCCCCGGCACATCATCCAATCTCATTCCTGCAGCATGAAATGAACGCCTCTGGTGACAAACTGGTCTAGAAGCCATTCGGTAGGGCTGATACATGCTTCACGATCCCTCTAATTTCGCAACTGGGGTGTCGTGCAGGGATGACCACGCCAATGACCAGGGGTGGACATGATGGAAAACGGTCGAGCCAAACTCGATTGGTACTCAAGCCCGTTTGGAATGGCCTGATCGAACCGAGAGGATCGAGTGTTGGTCAGATTGTAGTGTTGTTGTGGTGGTAGTGGTGGTGGTGATTTTGCAGGTATATCGACAGATTAGAGTTTCATGCACAGATGCGGTGGTGGGAGTCGGAGAAATTTAACGGAAGAATTGTTGGAGAGTTGGTATGAGCTGTTATTGGACGATGGTGAGATAGTTTTCGTGTTTGAGATGGGAGATGGTAGAGTTGCATCGTGATCGGGAACCGATTGATTGACGCGGGCCAATTATTCTGAAACTTATCGGCACTTGTTTCTACTTCAGTGACAAAAAAACTCAAGACTTCAATCCAAGTGATAGAAGAGATACCTACATAAGTTTGGGATATTGCAGGATAGACTTAGCAGTCTCTTTGAATGGTTTATGTTCCTGATTTAGAGATTTAAGTCGCCTGGCACTTTGAGGAGTTGTAACGCTCAGCAAATGGACAGGTGAAACGTGGTGAAACGCCAAGACTGAAACTGTTTCTGCGTGGGATACGTCAGCTTGTTGACGCATGCGCTAAGAATACGGCTGTGACGCGAGACAAATTCGCATCTTCATGTTATATCTATCACATATCCCACCAAGTTATAATGCTTTGGTTTCGTTGATATACCGCACGAGATTGACTTGCATGACAGTCACGCAGCTGGGATATTACCCTGGGGATGAAGTTACCTACCCGGGACCAGAGTACCGCTGCAATTTTGGCATATTGATTGGCATATCGAGAAGCCTTTGACCGATGTCACAAGAGAATTTGACTATCAAAATCCGCCCAATGAGTATTTAATTAATCAGGTTTTGAGAGTGGGCCAGCACGGTTCTTCGTTGAGATGCATGAAGTAAGTTCAAGTAGCTCAAGTTGGTCTGGTCTTTGCTAAAGATCAACTGATCCCACCAGATGAAATACTGTCTTCGTCGCCTGCTATATTGAATCACCACTAGGGCTGAGGGCTACTCAACAGTTGACAATGGCATTTCGGGTGATGGAGGCAAAATTCAGTCTCACTCTTGATAATTAGAGTCGTTTCACAGATGGAATAGGTGGTGACTCAAGGCCTTCAGGGAAGTGACAGATCCGGGTATCAGAATCACCTTACGGTATGACAATGATGCGCCACAGCATGACGCAGTCTATCATCTTGAAAGCTGTGGGAGTGCAAGTGAAGTGGATTTAAGAGATGAGAGTGCCCATAGAAGGCGGTAAACACTATTCGAGTATTGGAATACTTGGTCACGATTGGGGGATGAGGGTGATGTGCTCCAAAACGAAAGAAGGTGTGATCGCTCGAGGTCTCATCTTGTTCCGTACACTGCTTTGTTCGCTGAGGCATTGTTCATGCTCCAATGTCCATATTTGGAGCCCTTTCTCGACTACTCCATCGACATATGAACGCCAAGTCTAATCAACCCATTGACTCTGGTATCAAACCTTGAAATAAGCCCCGGATTGAGATTGTAGGGATGTGCAAGACACGCTGGCGGAGTAGTATCTAGCTAGCCCGCAGACGCCGGTCTCATCATGATAAACAGAACTTGTGAGTTTTTTTCATGACCGCCTCAACGCCCCGACAATGGTTACATGTCCGGTCACATTTTAGAGTTCTGCAGAGGTATTTAAAAGGTGATCGGGAGTTTGAGGGGGCAACAGTGGGCTTAAGGCGTCGGTCTCGGTTGATGAGCGGACGCAATGCAACATCAGACGCCGTGTGGCCATAAACGGCAATTAGAGCCTGAGACTTCAATGCTGAAACGGACTTTGACATTTCAAATCCGTTTCCTATGTCTACTTCAATTGCGTATGTTCAAAGGCAACGTGCAATTGCGTCAAGCCTCAGTTCTTACCATTGATCGTTGGAAGAACACATGGGGCAGTGAAAACATTTGAAGCAATACTCATGATGAACAGAATGACATCATGCATGAATGTGCGCTTCTCGCCTAATGCAGATCAGATCGGAGAATAACTTGACATTGAACTATGGCCCGAATGTTACAAGACGAAGCAAGGCCACGTCGACTCTTGAGATGATCAAGAAGGAGGAAAAGAGTGCTCACAACCACCCACCACGGACACAGTAATCGACTTGGCCATGATATTACCTGCATTATAGTTGGCTCAACAGCCGAGTCCGCCCATTGATTGGCGACAACAAACCATGTCACCTCGGCCGAGAGATCGGGCCCGGATGCGAAGCGAAGCGTTAATGTGACCGCCTCAAAGATCTTCAATCTCCATTAGAACTTCCGGTCAAACGTCCAGCGGGTCCCGAGGCTCGCGTCTTAAACAAACGTCATCTCTATATTCGAATACTAATCACATGAGGTACACGTCCAGTCTTACGAATCCTCCGGACGCAGTGTCAAATACGGCACCGACGGATACCCAGGTTTCTTTGTCTGTCCGTCGGAGAGATTACCAAGATAGATAAAAATATGAGACGGAATTCGAAAGAAACTGAAATGCCATGCACCATGGACAAAGCTGAGTCAAAATCAAGGCCCCAATTACCCCCTAAGGCGAAGCGACCGAACCTCGGCACTGCACTGCTTACGACCGGACACGTTTTCTCAGTATGGACAAATTGCTCCCAAGAGCTGAATCACCTCCCCAGCTTTTCGACCGTCGTTCCCCACCGCCGGTCGATCCCCGAAGGCGCCGGTGCCGAATACTTACGGGGATATGTCCTCATGGGAATAGCGCCCCGGGCGCGGGACACGTCCTAGCGGCTGGGTCTGACCAAACACCGGTCTAAAACTCACGGAGATAACAACCCCAGATAGACAAGACATGCCGCACTAGAAAGCATGCTAAGGTTTATTTAAAGGAACGTGAGTGATAAAAATTTGGTACTAAAGGGCGTGAGTCCCAGCTGTCTTGTTGAGATTGATTGGAATTACTAGATCTTTTATTTACATACATATTCAGAGGACGAAAGAAGTGTGATACGCTTTGTGTTTATCATCGTGAAAAAAGTACACACACGCCACTGGGTATAATACTGGAAGGATCGACTGTCTTAGAACTTACCTTAGATCGAGAGACACAAACCTGTTGCTCAACATTCCACAACACAACACCACCTTACACCAACTAAACAAAAAACAACTGTTGCACAATGGCCCGTGAGAACCTCTCCATCGTGCTCGCTGAGCGTCCTACCACCGACATCATCCCCGGCAAGACCTTTACCCAAAAGACCTCTCCAGCTCCTACACCAGCTGATCTCCAAGATGGTCAAATCCTCGTCGAGACCCTCTACCTATCCCTCGACCCCGCCATGCGAGGCTGGCTCCGAGGTACGTCCCCCCTTCCTTCGTATCACATATTTACTAAAACCATCAGACATGAGATCTTATCTCCCTCCCGTTCAAATCGGCCAAACCATGCGTGGATCATGCGCATGCCGCGTCCTCGCCTCAAAGAGCAAGCAAGCTAAAGAAGGCGACATTGTCTCCGCCCTAACAGGCTGGACTGAATTCGCCATCCTTCCCGAAGGTCGTTTCGAGCCTGCGTCTTTGTACCCCGGTCTCAAAGACCCCAAGGACATGCTCTCTGCTCTTGGAATGACCAGCTTGACTGCTTGGGTCGGTATGTCCAAGATTGCTGACCCTAAGCCTGGTGAGCTTGTCGTTGTGTCGGGCGCTGCTGGTGCTACGGGAAGTGTCGCGGGCCAGATCGCTAAGCTTAAGGGTGCGAGGGTCGTGGGTATTGCGGGTGGTGAGGATAAGTGCAAGTGGCTTACTGAGGAGTTGGGTTTCGACGTTGCATTGAACTACAAGGCGGACGACTTTAAAGAAAAGTTCGCCGAGGCGACAAAGGACTTTATCGATGTCTACTACGACAATGGTAAGCCACTTACAACCCCCCTGCTACGTCATCACTAACATATCCAGTCGGTGGCGATATCCTCGACATGTGTCTCATGCGAGCAAAGGAACACGCCCGCTTCATCGAATGCGGTCTCGTCAGCCAATACAACGCCGCCAAGCCCCAAGGACCCCGTGCATTCTCCCAGATCGTCACCATGCGTATCAAGATGCAGGGTTTCATCGTCCTCGACCACGTCAAGGACTTCCCCGCTGCTCGCGCTGAGCTGGCTCAGTGGATTGCGGAGGGTAAGCTCAAGAAGACGGAGACTGTTGTTCGTGGTGGCCTCAAGGTTGCTGAGCAGGCTCTTGTGGATCTGTACAAGGGTATCAACACTGGAAAGTTGATCGTTGAGATCAAGAACCACAATGAGACCCCCTCGAAGCTGTAGGGGAGGGATATGAGATTGCTTATGAGATACCTTGTCGATAGTTAATGACATACCATGATTTATGGACACACTGTTCACTGCTGCATGTTGTTGGTGGGGTTCTCTTGTTCTGAATTGCCTGTGTGACCAACTTCTATCGTGTATTGTGATCCGTCTGAGTCCCCTGCAACTTTTCTCTATCCGCGTCTATCAATGCCATAGCTACTCAGTAAACATATCGAAAGTAAGGGTTCTCCATATCTGTCAAGTCCTGGAACGCCAACTTGGCCCTCTCGCTCTCATCTCCCAGCCCAAGAGCATCTCTCCTCTTGTTCTCATTCCTCAGAACAAAGTACAACGCAGTCGACGCACAAATACAAATGATGTAACTAAAAAGTCAGTCACTATTCATGAACAACGCATGCAAGACTTACCAGATAATCAGGCCCAGCCAAAGAGCCGGATAATGATCCTTCTTCGTCTGACTCCAAACAAGCTGCGGTCCAACAATATTACCCACACAATACGCCACAAATATCGTAGCAGCCATAAAACTCTTCTTCGTATGGCCAGCAACATTCGACATTCCAATAGTGATTATCAAACTCACTGTCCCCCCAAAGAATCCTGTAATCGAATACCCCACCACCGGTGCAGCAGCGCGGTAACTCCACTCGCTCTTCCAGATGATGGCACAGCCTGCTATGACGGGGAGGCATGTGAAGATGAGCATGAAGATACGGATGTTGGTGAATTTGGATCCTAGCCAGCCTGTGAGGAGGATCACGATGAAGCACAGTCCGCCGAGGGGGAATTGGAAGAGGATTGAGTGGAGGGTGCTCCAGCCGAATGTTGAGACGATGAGGGGTCCGAAACCGCTTACGGCGCCGTTGACGGTGTATGCTGATGCCATCATAAGTGCAACGAGCCAGATCTTGACGTCGAGGATAGCTTCTTTCAGTTGGGAGCTTTTGAACTTGGTGCAGCGAACACCAGTTTGTCCGTGTCTCAAACGCTCAACTGCAGCGAATCGTTCTTCAGAGGTGAGGAACCAAGCTGATACAGGCGAGTTCGGCATGACGAAGCAGAACAATCCAAACAAAAAGGTCAGTGATCCTGCGAGGAGGTAGATATACTGCCACCTCTTCAAACCACCACCCGTGATCTGTGCAAAACCATAGTTCATCGCTCCACCGATAATGGTGAAAAGTCCAGTCGATGAGAACCACCAACTCTGTCGCAGCGACTGTTCAGCTTGTGTATAGTATCCCGAGACAATACACATGAACCCAGTGGGGATTATGCTCTCAACGAAACCAAGGAAGAAGCGCTGTACGTATAAACCCTGGTAGGACGTCACTGCAGCAGTGAGCATACAGATAGCAGCCCACACAACAACCACACCACCGAGAACACGACCGATGTTGAATCTCTGAAGAGCGAATGTCATGGGATATAAACCCGCCAACATTCCAAAGTAGAACAGTGAAGTCGCCCAACTTAAACGACGGGTATCAACAGTTGGTGGAGTTGTCGAGGGATCAACAATGGTAAGGTGTAAATCAGTCGTCATGCCGAAAAGAACAGCCGAACCAAGAATAGCTTTATCGTAGTATACAAGTCCATCTATACATGTTAGAGAGCTTGAGCGAGGAGGTGGTGAAACGTACAGCCTATGATCATAGCGGGAATGAGAAACAAGTCAATCTTTCGAACTGCGCGCGCTGCGACGATGGGATCAATTGAGTGCTGCTCCTCGCCTACGATGGCGATGGCTTCATCTCTTGTTCCTATCGGCGCCTGCGCGGCATTTATTTGACTTTCTGCTCCCATTGTGATTCAATAATACTTCAAACAAACAATGTGGCGAGTATATCATGAGGTTGCAACGAGCAGTTCTAAAAAAAATAAATAAAAAGAATAGCTGAGAGCTCAAAAATTGGCACCTCTGTGTCTTTTAGCCGCAGCCAAGCAAATCAATGTCATATGATAGCATCATTTCAATGAGGCAATTTTTCATCACCATTGATAGCCGTTTTAAGCCTCAGCTGCATTCGAGCACCCTTGTAACTTCTTGAGCTAAAGTGAACTACAGAGTTTTTTTAGTTGGTGTTCTGGACCTTTCTCGCTACGGATGTGAGCCGGGATTAAATTAATTAATAGTTCGTGGGGGTTTGTCGATCGATGAATGGTGAGATTTCACTCTACGGCCCGTTTAATGATGCTTCGCTCGGAGATGCTGTATTCATGATATGATGACAAGTATACCTAGCAAAGAGTCTCGCTTAGAAGATACCATCGCTAAGCTAGGAATGCATAATCTATAACCTGCAATGCCTTTACCCCCCCAACGCCTGGCTAACAGTATATTCAACGATCCTGGTATCAAATCAGAAGATTCTCTTAGTACTGGGTCCAACCCATTGCACTTCTGAACAATTCCTGTTCGACCTCCACTGCTCAATTCTCTCAGTCAGCCATCCTGACTTGAAATCCACCCATCGATCTTGGCGATCTGGTGGTGGTGGTATAACATTGCCCTTGTCGTCTTTGACTTCAGGCTCGATGATCTTTTCGGGTTGTCGTGGCTCGCCGACGCGGAAAGACTTGGAGAGAACACACTTTTTCTCGTCGCGGCCTCGCCAATTGTACTGTAGACAATCGCTGCTGTCCTTGCAGTACTTGCCGCATTCTTCAAATGAGTCGATTTTCGCTTCGGGTGGTGCAACTGTAAAATCCCATTTGCCATTATCCCAGTTCTCTGCAACTTCATGATCGCCGGGATGGTGAAACTTCCATACGTCAGAGTAAAGTAACGGGCGCTATGACAGTTAGAAGATGAAACAAAGTTTACCGGTATTCAACTTACCCCGAGCTGTCGTTGTGCAAACTCCCATCGCCAAACGTCAACCATGTCTTTTGGCGACGACTTGTGTAGCGTCATAACAGGCTGACACCAATACCTATCGCTGAACGGAATACTGTGCAAAGGATGTGGGTTGAACAGCGGCCAGTATCCCCTCAGCGGAACACTAACGTTCCACAACGCCCATCCCGTAACGCTATCACCGCAGCAATCGTCCCGAAGCATGGGAAGCCACTTTTCCGTAGCTGGCGGTTCGACGTACTGGCCGTAGGGCGTTGTCTTGCGGACGAGGAGTGCCTTGATCGCACCACGGCTGAGAACAAAGCCTGGTCCGCCGTTTGCGAACCATGTCTTTATGTCTTGTTTAACGTCGTGCGTACCCGGCGAGGGAGAACCCATGTATAACGGCGCATCGGGATCGAAGGTTTGGAGGAAGCGGAAAGCGTTGTCCCAGAAGACATAACTGTAACCGTTAGTGGCGTGGTAAAGTGTACGGGATCGGAAACTTACGTATCTGTCTCGAAGAAGAAGTAAAAGTCTTTGCTTGGCTTCATTTTCCATGCGCGCTCGATCATTGGGAGGAATTTGAACTTGTCCATCCTCCAACCTTGGATGCGCGCTGTCGCTTCCATGTCCACATCGAGGGTGCCATTCGCCCGCATTTCCTTCTGCCAAAGGTAGTTCACGAAATCGGGATTGTCGTGATAGTAAATGGCCGGTAGGTCGGCGAGGACATCGATCGCTTGATGACCGTGTACCGGCTCGTCGAGATCCGAGAAGACCAGCAGCTCATCCTTTCCAAAGCATGCGCTCACACTGTCGAATTGAGCGTCGAGTCTTTCCTTTGTATCGGCATGGCCCATCTTCAGAACAGGCTGTATCGTCTGTAGCAAATGCTTTGGGAACGTCGCGCATAGGTCTTGTGTCGTCTTGCCCTCGGGATCGACGGATACGGGGCGAAAAGAGCTCGTCGTGGAAAAAGAATAGTATTGAGATACGCCATAGCTACCATGGATAGCACCCCAGAAAACGAGGATGAGAAAGACGATGGTACAAAGGCCAGCAATGGCCATGCGACTGAAGCGTTTGTTCAGCATCAGTCGCCGGCTGGAGGAAGACCAGCTTGAAGGCATTGCAGCTGGAGCTCGAACATGGCACTAGGGCCTTGTGTTGCTAAGAAATGACGATGTAAAGATTGTTTTGGGTTGTCGCGGGAAGAGACATGATGGAATGGATGGAAGTGGAAAGCCGGGATAGTCTTAGGGTGACGTTTTCAAGGGGCTAGATCCACTAAAAAGCAAGCCCCTGTCGCGGGAGCAAGACGCTCTAGAATGAGTCTGGAATCGAGTCTTGGGAACACCAGTCCATTGAGTTGATAGTGAGAAATACGAGAGACAATTCAATGGTTGTAAGCTTATGGTTAAGGTTGTAATAGCTTGATGATAGGCGCAAGACATTCAACTTTGATCAACACTAGCCAGCCTAACACAGGGCGCTAGACATCTCTTTGTCTTATGACGAGTTTATGCAATTCGATCCACTTGATGATGATAGTCTTGATATTTGTTCTCATATTCTATTTAGATACTCGAGATCTCCTTATCTGTGGGCAGATTGATGGTTGGGGGACATTGCATCGTCTTCTCGCATCATGCTCACTCAACATCTTCAGATCCACGATGCGCATTCCTCGCCCTCATGCCCTCTTCATTCCCACTCACCGTCCTAAAAACCGAGCTCGAAGACACATTCTCATTCATCGTTACCCCATCACCTGCGCTCTCTTCACCTTCAGCCCTCTTACTCTCCTTCCCAAGCCTCTTCCTGACCCAAGGCAAAAGGTTGTAATACCCACCACAAGCAAACACACCACACCACAGAACAAACTCTGTCGCGTAGATGACAATTCCAAGAACGTCAAGCTCAGGTTGGAAGAACACGGACACAAGTGAGAACACATCACCTGCTGCGTCAATGGCGACGAAGAGAAATGATATGCCACGGACGGTCCGATGCGTCCAAATGTCCCAGTAGTGAGTGAGTACGCCCGCTGCGAGCAAAGCCGCGGACAAAGATGCCATGAGGATGAGAGGCCATTCTAAGGAGTGTGATTTGGCGATGCGGAGGGCGATGATGAGACTGGCTTGGATACCGCCCATGACGGCTGCGATGGGAGCGACAACGAGTAGAGAGCGGTATACACTCCATTTCTGACTTTCATTAGCTTCATTACGTGTGAATAGCATTGGATTCATACTCGTTCGTAATAATAACATTGAATCCATGTTACGAGACTCAAAAGCGTCAAGATCTGAGGCTGTATCCGTAAGGCGATGTTGAACTCTTTGACGATGTTGTACACGCCTAGCGGAACACCTGCCCATGCCCAGAGCATCATCATTGATGGCTGGAGACCTGTCGCATTATGGCGACGATAATTGACGATGATTTGAGGTATCAGCTACAGAGTATTAGTGATGGCCTTGGATGTGGATGAGAGAGAACGAACCTGAATTGACCAACAGACCTAGCAAACATCAGCACTCAAATTCAGCTGGGTAGTGAAGAGACTTACAGCTCCGAGTGTGCCTAGAATATTGGCAGCGACAGGGGCGTCCATTTTTGTATCGAATGGAACCCAGTGGTTGTGTCGAGAAGATGAGTGAGGATGGTCGCATTGGATGAGCACGTCGAAATTGACGCGGCAAGAATGTTAGTGTATGCTACCGAATTTGGTGGAGATGCTTAACAGCTACCACCAACACAACCGGCAAAGCCATCATTGCGGGATTGAAGCCCAAACCTTGCAATAATAATAAAAATAAGCTGAGGTAAGTTGCATGCCCTGTAGCTCTCCCAAGCACGTCAAAATACAAGATCTCTCCCATTACGCAGCTAAGTCACTAAAAACCTCTTGCTCATCAACTACCTCCTATATGCATTATACAACCCAAGAAAACTTCTGACCCAGAGGCAAGATGCTAAAAATAACTAGTCTAAGGTCCACTAAAACTACACTAAACTTACCTAAATCGTTTTGTCACTTAGGATAGACATCTTAAGTTTTCTTGCCTCCACTAGCCTTTTTACCTTGCCAACATTGGATGTGAGAGCATTCAAAAGGCAGACGATACGAGAAAGTGGCTGAAGGAACTGACATATCTCGGTGAACGTCTCTATCACGACTATCCGTTTTGGCAAATTGCGATGTATTAGACACTAACTGAGTTGTACATGGTACAGTAGCGAGATGTCAGGACCTCAGCGTAAGAGTGAGCACTCTGTCGAACGAGTCGACTGTCTGACATAAGTTTGACAGCCTTTACAATTTTTTTGTAGGTAGACACGCCAAATTAGTCTTCGGAGTATCAGATACTGGCTTTACAGCCATAGCAGCAACCAATACTTCTGATCTTTCTACCATCGTTCACAAGGAATAAGCTCGACCAATGTGCTGGCGGACGCGTCGAAGAGGGTCTTTGATCTGAGGCCATTCTAGAAGGCTGGTGATACTGGGAGGAGGTGTAATGTTTTCGAGGGCGTCCTGAGCTACATGAGCTCTGAATGTCTCCTTAATAGACCTTTAGATTAATTATTTTTGGCACTTCAGCTTAAGGTTAGAACTTTTCTTGCTCTCTGGCGCAAGGTAAAAAGAATTGAGAATAAAAGTGAATTAAGTTTATATCAATGGCTTCTAATTCACGAGCGAGTTGCCGTTGCAGTGGGCGTAGTCATGACGTTTAGACCTCTCGTATTCCAGAAGCGCCAACATGTGATAGCAATCTGTATACACATATAAACAAACAACCCCAAGAGACCAAGTAACCACTATTTATATCTATTAAATGGTCAGTTAACAAGGCAAAATGCATTCCAGCCCAGACTCGGACTCAGAGCTCCCCTACATCGAGCCCCCTTCCAGCGAAGCTCTCAAACCCATCCGCAAACCCCCTCCCTACACTGGAACTCCCCTCGTTCTCTTCCTCTCCGACATAAAGCTCTTCTTCCAAAACTTCTTCTATCTTCCCTATCTCTTTATCCCTCTGTATCCCTGGAAATCCGGTCCGTTCTGTGAGCTTTATCCATCTCGGGAGAACCTTATCGACATTGCGTTCCACTGTGTTCTTTCCGTGACGCAGCTAGCTTTTCTGGTTTCGTTGTTTACACTTGCATTTCTACCGACTTTTGTGTATATTGGTTATGTTGTCGTATTCTTTGCGGTTAATGAACTTGTTTGTTGGCATTTTAATAGGGGGATTCCCGGCGGTGGGCTGAAGTCGACGGAAGATGGGTTTACGAGGAGTTGGCCTCGTCATGACGATGAGGCTTGGATATTTCTCAACGGTATTTGCGTTGGGTGGGTTCTGCTCCCTTGTTCTGTCAACATTACTGACTGTGGTCTTAGCAAGAATTGGTTCCAGAAGAACATCGACCGCATCTCACGAACATTCCATCGGCCAGTCGTCGGTATTCACAATAGAACGTAAGTCCCATTTCAGTACATTGAACATCATTGACACTTACAATTTCAGTGCCGGCGTCATCTTTGACCTCATCCAATGTCTTATCCAACGCGCCCTCCTCTACGCAACCCAGGACGTACGAGAATGCTACATCCTCGTCAAAAACGCCCTTCTCGACGACCACAAGAAGAAAGTAATCTTCATCCTCCACTCTCAAGGTGGAATAGAAGGCGGTATGATAATCGACTGGCTCCTCGACGAAATGCCCCTCGACAAGCTTCAAAAACTTGAAGTCTACACTTTCGGCAACCTCGCCAATCACTTTAGCAACCCTTATCGCGGCAACGATACAAGATCCCCTGTTATTCCTCACATCGAGCACTATGTTAATGAGAAAGATTTTGCGTGTCGTTTTGGTGTTCTTAATTTTACGAGACATTATACGCAGAATGAAAATCGGTTTGCGGGGAAAGTGTTTATTAATAGAGGGGGAGGACATCAGCTGAATCAACATTATCTTGATGATATGTTTCCGTTAGATAAGACGCTTCAGAGGGCTAGAGACGGGAGGGAGGGGGACTTTATGCATCGAAAAGTTCGTGTTAGAAAGGATGGTACCATCAAAGTGACCACGAAGGCGGAACTTCCCCCGGGGTTTATTGTGACGGGTGATGAGGGGTCGAAAAATGGGAACATGAAGCCGGATGAAGTTCCTAGAATGGGAGACTTGAGTAGATTGTGGAAGTATCGGAATGGACAGTTGCCAGACTCGTTCAAGAGTGTCTTGACTGACGGTTTGTAAAGGGTACGACGGGTGGGTGTCCTAGGCTGAGAAGAGATTGACAGGATGGATACTTAGCTTAGATATATTCTTTTGTCTTGTTTCAGTCTCGACAGTGGGAAAAGATCGTCTCATGTGAATAACATCGCTACGCAATGGTGTCTTTCAGGGCCTCCACATCCTAAGTCTATTCTCAATTGCTATAAATATGAGGAGAAGTTGGTCTCAGCTCTGTCCCAAGACTACCACCAAGTTATGATCTCTGTCCCTAAACTTGAAGACCGGGTTTCTTTGGACTCTCTTTTGTGTGTCTGATGTTGATGGCCATCCGTTGCCCACGCCAGCATAGCATCCTGCCCGCACCGAATCTCAGCACAAATATATGACGCAGTAGTATCACAAAGATCTTAATCTTGGTCATTGTAATAGCCTTTAATAATTCATCTCTTCATAGATGGGCACAGTTCACGCCACCCTTTTCCGATGTACATGGCCATACCCATGTTCCCATTCCTCAGCCCCAGCCTTCCTCCATCAGAAGGTTGTCTGCATCTTCGGATAATCCTTAGCCTGCACATGCAAGTCCGCATAGATAGCTGCAGACTGATCATCAGCAAGATGCTTCATGCGCTTCACATCATCATCCTCGAGATTCTCAAGCACCGTCTCGGGCTCCTCCTTTCCGTCCTTCTGATCCTTCTTCTGAAGCTCAACAGCCTTCTCAATACCAGATGATTCACCAATGAGAAGGATCTGGGCGTTAGGGTAGTCAAAGTGAGATGGCTTGGAGGGAAGCCAGCGAAGAGAGCGGAACTCATCGATGATTCTATTCATGTTAGCAATTGATTCGCAGAAAAAGATGAGATGACATACTCCTTGGGGAAGTCAGGTCCCTTAGGCAACTGAGCATTCTGAGGTCCAGGATACTGCGGGTTCTTGGTGCTGATGATGAAGCTTCCCTTCTCCTTCAATCCCAATTCCTTCTGAACCTCCTCAAGCTTCTCAGGCAGCGTCGTCAAATAAGCCAAATGACTCTCGCGGCCAGTCGATGTGATAGCATACACGCCCTCGCCAACAGGCTTGGCCGGGGGTGTACGCCGTGTACCAGCTGTCTTGGTTTCGTACTCGTCTGCAGACAAGAACTCCTTCTTGATCTCATCATATGAAGCGCCAGACTTTTCTACGAACACCATGTAGCGCTCTTTGCCACTCTCAGGAAGAGTCTTCTTGGGAAGGGCGAGGATGCGGGTGTTTCCAGAGTCAGCGATGGGACCGTCACCGAGACGGGCGTCTTTTGCGATGGGACGGAGCATGATGAAGGAACGGGCTATGTCATCAACGCTCTTGGGGTCTTCGAGATTGACACGACCGCGGATGAAGAAGTAGATGATGCCCTTTTCGAGGATGCTTGAAGGGACATCAAGTTCTTCAGAAGGCTGAACGGCGTCTTTGCCATGAGTCTCCTGCTTGTCCTCAGACTTGGAGCCTTTGCCATTGGTTTCCTGCTTCTCATCGGACTTGGACTCGTCCTCTTCCTTTTCCGCAGCGCCGTCATTGTCCTTTGAATCATCCGATATGACCACCACATCATCAAGAGTCGTCTGGCCATCCTCTTTCTTAGTGCGCTTCGCATCAGGAGAGTCATGCTGAATCTGGTGCTTCTCACCAGTTGAAGCTTGTTCCTCCCCATTACTGGTCTTCTCGACGTCGTCGTGCTTTAAATCAGACATTTTCGGTAGTCAATGTTGTTTTAGACGACACAATTGACGAATTGAGATATTGCTGATGTCGGGGATAAAGACGTTGAGAAATGGAAAGGTTGACGGAAAGTGGTGGACGCGTCGCGTTAAGTGTCGCACAGGTGATGTCATAGACATCTTGTCTCACCAACTTTCGTGTTTGCTTCGTGTTTAGATTGAGCCACACAAATGATAGCGTCATTATTGACTCAGATAACATTGTGGCTTGGTCCTTTTGTAAGTCGACTCATTCTTCATGAGATGCTGTCATTGGCAGTTTTGACCATACCAAGACCACCAATATCACGCTCAAGTAGCCTCAATGCCTCTCTAGCAAAAGGAGCCGCCGCACCACGGACTCTTAATGCCCATCTAAGTTCGTCGACTCGAGATGCACACCATGCCATCTCATCAAATGAGTCTGCGGTGGCCCAGAGTAGACCGGCCAGAGATCCTATCTCGGCTGCTTGATACGCTGCGGCGCTTCCCCAGAATGCAGCAGTATGCTCAGGACGTAGAGATCCGAGCAGTTCAATGGCGGATTGTAGCTTGGCTCGAGCTGTTGATCGTAGAACTTCGTAAAGAGATGCGGGTGTGTCTGGTGATGTAATTCGGACTAAAGCACGATGGAGTGCGATTTCGACAGCTGCATGGGCGAGATGAAGAGCTCCGTTGGCACAGAGTTCTCTGAGCTGGGTGTTTTGCAATTGCAGTCGAGCTGGGAGATTGGCGTGCCACTCGCGAAGTCGAAAGACGAGAGGCTTCGCCAGCTCAACAGCAGCGACAACGCCCATCTGATCCAATGTTCCTCCAACTCGAGTAGCTGCGGCACTGTAGAATGTACGGATGACGTCGCTCAGAATCTGCGTCAACTCGATGTGACGAATGAACAAGTCCCATCCGACAATGATAGGTGAAGTATGATCTGGGTTGGCTTCCGGATCCATCTGGCCAAGCTCGGGGTAATCTGGTGCAGTGCAAGGCCGAACATCCCAGTCGTTGTCTTGGATGAGAAAGGGTCGTCCGTGAACACATGCTCCCCAGCGATCTTGCATGTACAAGGCCCAAGCAAGTCTCCTTCGAAGGCCGACTTCCCATGCAGGTATTGACCAAGAGCTACAGTCGATGTGAATACCTAGATCTTGAGCCATGGCGACAATCTGAGCTGTAAACATTCGATTCGACATTGGGTGTGTATGAGATCCAGATTCAACAATCTTTCGGTTCCTTTGCAGGAGAAGTAATCCAGCCTCCAGCGTACTAAGCTTGGGCCGTCGCATATCCTGATTGATGGTTCGCTCAGCCAATTCTTCGAGAGCTGCTGGATCCGGGATAGATTCGACTTCTCGTCCTGCAAGTTGACTGTCGTAGAGTTGCCAATCGAGAGCCACCAGATATACTGCAGCAAGTAAAGATGGTGCAAAATGTCGGTGAGATAAACGGTGCTTGCTGATAAATACATCTTTATGCAAGATGGGAAAGCTGGGGTGAACAATTCGAAAGTAGAGATCGACCAGCGTGCGGCCGAGGGGATGAACGGTCGCTTCGATGGCATCCAAGTCTGCAATGCGCATCTTCTCAGAAGCAGTAGATTCATCAGGATGAACGAGGAAGACAGTCTGATAGTCCAATCGTCTAGCAAACGTGGAGTTTGTAGATAGAGGCGGGACTTCCTGGTTCAACAGATTCGGGCGATGGAGGTCGAGAAGAACAGGATCACGATAGTCGGTTGGTCCGATATACTCAGCATGCGTCTTCAAGTCTAGGCCTAGAGTATTGCTGAGAATACTGGGTCGAGACGGTTCGGGCATATTCTCCTCAAAGGGAATCGCTTGCTGCATTTGAGTGAACTGCTGGTTGCTTTCCACACTCGCGGGAGTAGACGCAGCATCACCATGGCGACTCGACGGAGACGCTCCCGTCTCAAAGCCCGCGACAGGCGATGTCGTTGAGTTTCCCTGATTCTCATCCCCATCTCGAGCGTCATTTTGTTTCTCACGTTCCTTCTCCCGGTTTTGTCTTCTCTGACGAGGTGTAGGTCCACGGAGGAACGTACAAGGCTGGTTATGAAAAGTACATAAAACACATCTCGTCTGACCCTCTTCCTTTACACACCGCGTCTTACGAACACGGCACGTGTCACATGGTCTCGCACGGGTGTTAGTATTACCGACAGACGGGCCGGCTGCCATCAAGGGACGGCCAGATCCGGAGCTGGACCGGGAAAGATCAGACGGGCCGGCGCCGTGAAGCGGGTGTGAGTACATGACCCCACAAGACGCGGCGTCTAGGTCTGAGTCTGGCTTATGATAAGAGACAAGGGGCCCATCTTCTGGCTGTGGGCCGACCTGTTGACGAAGCGGGAGACGAGATCGTGTCGTGGGCGTACGGCGTGATAGTGAGCATGTTGATGATCCGCCATCGGGGGTCGAGCCTTATCAGTTCGTCCTGCTACGGTAAGGTCGTAATACGATAAGGACTCATCGGAGATGGAATGCCCCACGGGGTCGGAAATACGGGGAAACGGAAATACCGATCTGTGGTGACATATGGGACGTTCATTGTGAGACTTGAGCTGATCTGCTTGAAGAGAGAAATTAGCGGTGTCTGAATAACTTCAACTTGAGTATATCTTCCGTGACACACGCAAAAAGTCGAAGCAACATGTCGATCTGTCGCAACACAGCAGAAGTCCCTCCACTTTAAACCCGCAAGCCGAGGGTCCAATGGCGTTGAACCATGTCTCAATCACGAGCTTGCATCTGCATTGTTCCTTGCTTCCATTGCCTCAGACATGCATCAACTCTTGGAAACGATATATCCCTTTCGAGTAAATTGACTTGTAATATACGATCTCGCCGCCGGCCAAAACAGATAGTCCATCGTGGACCAGGTTCACAACCACTTTAGCCGCCGGCGAGTTCCATGATTGGTCGATTGAATTCTGGGTCTTCTTATCGTGGACTATGAGCTGACGATCTATGAAACAAACAATTAGTAAAGAATTGAACTTCAATTGACTCGGAGAATATGCTGCTCAATTGCTTCGAAAGCCATTGACTTGTCTGTTATTCCCGTACCTGAAGACGGGGTAAATACCCGGAGACAACACGGCCGAAGGGCGGACTTGTAAACGGCTTAGACTCGGCGATAGCGTAATTTTCCACATAATCTCAACCCCAGACTCACCTTGACGTCTCTTCATACTCATCCACGTGCATATCCAGCACTCAATTCGTATAATACCGTACAGCCAGACTTCAGTGTTGGCCGCCGGGCCTTCGGCAAGTTCTCCCTCTTGATCAAAGGGGTGTTGTTGTGTTATCAGTGAACATGAAATCGTTCGGCTTCTTGATCCTCGAGGCTATGCAAGTTTACGAATCAAGGAAATTCGAACCCGTTGAAACGATTCCGCAGTGTTACCTCCAGGCTCATCCGACTTGATCTGTGTCGAGAAATTAGTATAAATATTGTCATTCGGTTGTGCAAGAAACTGCTTCGATAAACAGCAGTCTCGTTCTTGCCTTACGTCTACAACCTCACCTGGCTCCTTTCAGGATCTTGTTCCTTCATTCTCCTGACACCATGACTGGACTTGATACTGCCACCAACGGCTTGGAAGATCTTCCGAACGGCAGTACGAATTCATCCCCCTTGACGATTTCCCAGTGGAAATCTGCCCAGATTGCCGGAAATGGCCTCGAACGACTCCTCTCTCTCATTTCGACCGAGAGAGCAGCCAATCCTACATCCAAAGCCTGGATCTCGTTAGCTTCTCCTGAACAGATCAGAGCCCAATGGACAAAGCTTCAGACCTTAAGCGCTGACTCCACATCCCTCCCCCTGTATGGAGTCCCCTTCGCTGCAAAAGATAACATCGATGTCGAAGGTTTCATCACCACTGCTGCATGTCCAACATTCAGCTCCTCCCCAGCTGTATCTGATGCCACAGTGATTGCGAAGCTCAAAGCCGCTGGGGCAATCCTTATCGGAAAGACGAATCTCGATCAATTCGCTACTGGCCTGGTGGGTACGAGATCGCCATATGGTGCTGTCCCGAACTCCTTCGATCCCAGTCGTGTCAGCGGTGGCTCCAGTTCTGGAAGTGCTGTCGTTGCTGCTCGTGGCATTGTGCCCTTCTCTCTTGGTACGGATACAGCTGGCTCTGGTCGAGTCCCAGCAGGGTTCAACAATATTGTGGGATTGAAGCCGACTCGTGGTGCATTGAGCACTCATGGAGTGCTTCCTGCATGCAAGACTCTCGATTGTGTGTCCATATTCAGCCTTACGGTTGATGATGCAGAGACCGTCTTGTCTGTCGCCGAAGGATACGATATCCAAGATTCATATTCGAGAGCGCGACCTGACCCTGACATTGCTCCTTATAATGAGTTCGGAGGCTCGGCAAGTCTCACTAAGCCTTCTCTTGCAATTTGTGCTTCTCCAGACTGGTTTGGCAGAGACGATCATTACCCAGCATATGAAAAGGCTCTTGCCAAAGCTTCTGCTTTGGGGTGGAGTCTCGTTCCCGTGGATTTCTCCCTCCTCTTTCGTCTTGCGCGACTCTTGTATAACGGTCCGTGGGTTGCTGAGCGATACGAAGCCATCCGAGGCTTTATCGAGAGTGCCGCTCCCGAAGAAATGGATCCTGTTGTGCGAAAGATCATTGTCAGAGCGCAATCCCTTTCAGCAGCAGATGTTTTTGAGGGTGAATACCTTCGTCAAGAACTTACACGTCAAATTGAGCAGGAATTCGCTCGGTTCAATGGTCTCTTGGTACCCACGTCTCCGACATTCCCTACGCTGGATGAGCTTGTCAAGAACCCGATCGAGGAGAATTCGATTCTGGGCACTTATACCAATTTCGTGAACTTTTTAGACTGGTCGGCGCTCTCTATCCCTGCAGGTTTTCGACCTGATGGACTTCCATTTGGTTTGACGCTCATTTCGACTTGTTGGCAAGAGCCGGTTCTTCTGTCATGGGCTCGGGAGTGGTTTGGTGACGAAGAAAGGTGGTTGGGTGCGACTGGTGTAAAAGCTCGGGAGTCTCGCGTTTCAAAATCGTCGGTCCCCTCGAATTATATCCCCATTGCTGTCGTTGGTGCGCATCTCACCGGGTTCCCTCTCAACAAAGATGTAGTCACTCGTGGCGGAAGATTCCTGAGTGCCACGAAGACATCATCATCTTATCGGCTGTACTCGCTGAACACAGCAGTCGGTCCCAAAAAGCCAGGTCTGAAGCGAGTGTCCGCCGACGAAGGAGCAGAAATCGAGATCGAAGTCTGGAGCCTGCCCAAGATTTCCCTCGCGAGCTTCATGCTAACAATTCCTCCTCCTCTTGCAATCGGTTCAATCGAACTCAAAGATGGGTCCTGGGTAAAGGGGTTCGTATGCGAGCCTTGCGCCTTCGATGAAGCTGTTGACATCACCAGCCACGGCGGTTGGCGAGCATATCATGCATCTCTCGAGAAGGAGGCCAAATCTTTGGTAAACGGGGTTCGTAAGCGTACTATCTCGACAGTTCTTGTAGCAAATCGTGGCGAAATCGCGGTTCGCATAATCGAGACGATACACAAAATGGGTCTTCGAGCTGTTGCCATCTACTCCGAGATAGACGCAGATGCCGCACACGTTAGCAAAGCTGATATTGCTCTCAAGCTTGAGGGTTCTTCGGTGTCTGAGACTTATCTGGATATCGAACAGATACTGGGCTTAGCTGCTCAATCCTCAGCTGATGCCATCATCCCTGGCTATGGATTCCTCTCTGAGAATGCCGAGTTTGCTACTGCCGTTGAAGAGAGAGGCATGATATGGATTGGACCAACTCCACAGCAAATGGCTGATCTCGGATTGAAGCATCGTGCCCGTGCTATTGCGGTCGAAGCAAGAGTTCCCACTGTCCCTGGATGCGATACCCTTCTTACATCACTGGAAGAAGCCCTCAACGAAGGGGAGCGAATTGGGTTCCCGTTGATGCTGAAGAGTACTGCTGGTGGCGGCGGTATCGGTCTAAGCTACTGTAAGGATAGACAGAGCTTGGCCGCAACGTTCGAGAGCGTTCAACGGCAAGCGGAAGCTAATTTTGGTAACGGGGGCGTTTTTATCGAAAGGTTCATACAACGGGCTCGCCACGTTGAAGTCCAAATCCTCGGAGACGGCACAGGTCGTGTAATGGCGGCTGGCGAACGAGACTGCTCTTTACAACGGCGCCACCAGAAGATTGTTGAAGAAAGCCCCGCGATATTGGTCCCTGAGTCCGTTCGGGCGGAAATGCGAGCGGCTGCAATTCGCCTCGCTTCATCGGTCAAGTACCGCAATGTCGGCACAGTCGAGTTCATCTATGATATCGATTCGAGGGAGTTCTACTTCCTTGAAGTGAATACTCGGTTACAAGTTGAGCATCCTGTGACTGAGTCAGTAACTGGTCTTGACCTTGTGGAGTGTATGATCAATATTTCCGATGGAAATACAACCCACCTGTTCGATACAGAGCTCCAAGTGTCTGGTGCTTCAATTGAGGTCCGTGTATATGCTGAGAGCCCCCTTCAGTCTTTCCGCCCCTGCGCTGGTCGTATCACTGCTCTTGAGTTCCCTTCCTCTCTTCGAGTTGATACATGGATCCAACTCGGCACTGAGGTCACGACTGCTTTCGATCCCCTGGTGGCCAAACTCATTGCTTTGGGGGCTGATCGTGAAGAAGCTATCGAGGCGTTAGCTAAAGGCCTTGCAGCCACTCGCATCGAAGGCGTACAAACTAACCTTGGATATCTGCGCCAGATTGTAGCCTCTCCCATTTTCAAATCCGGTGATTATACGACAAAGTCGCTAGACGCCTTCCAGTTTCAATCCTCCTCTTTTGAAGTCCTTCAGCCTGGGGCTTTGACCACGGTTCAAGACTACCCCGGCCGTACTGGATACTGGAACATCGGTATCCCTCCCGGCGGCCCAATGGATTCTTCCTCCTTTCGACTAGCTAATCGTATTGTGGGCAATCCCTCAGACGCCGCTGGGCTCGAATGTACTCTGAGAGGCCCATCTTTGAAGTTCCATTGTGATGCTGTGATTGCCGCCGTTGGTGGTGTTGCACAAGTCACCATCGACGATGTGGCGATTTCCATGAACCAAGCCATTGGTATCAAAGCAGGCCAGACCCTGATTATTGGTGTCGTTGAGCATGGCCACCGTGTGTATCTCGCTATTCGTGGAGGAATCGAAGTCCCGGTCGTGATGGGCAGTCGCGCGACTTTCGAACTTGGAAAGCTCGGAGGCTTCGGCGGTCGTAAGCTTCAAGCTCGTGATATCCTAGCCGTCAGTCCTACAGATGCCTCTATCAGTGAGGTACAAGCAATATCACCAGTGCCTGTGCCAACTCACTCCAAGGCCTCATGGACCATCAGAGTCATCCCCGGGCCCCACGGCGCTCCAGACTACTTCACCCCTGAAAGCGTCAAGTCGTTATACCTCAGCGACTGGAAGGTTCATCACAACAGTAACCGCCTTGGTGTTCGTCTCACTGGCCCTCAGCCAGAATGGTCTCGCAAAAGCGGCGGCGAAGCTGGCTTGCATCCTTCCAATATCCATGACGCTCCGTACTCGATAGGTAGCGTAAGCTTCACTGGGGATGAGGCTGTCGTTCTGGGCTGTGATGGTCCGAGTCTTGGTGGATTCGTGGTGATGTGTGTGGTGTGCTCTGCGGATCTGTGGAAGATGGGACAGGTTCGGCCGGGGGATACGATTCGTTTCGATCCTATCGATGTTGCGACTGCAGTTGGGTTAGAGAAGAGGCTCAATGAAGTTATTGAGACGCTCGCACCTCTTGAAGTCTTGGACAGCATTCCGTCTGATGAAGTGGTTCTGGCACAGAAGTTGGGAAGCATTCCCGCTGTCGCGGGTACCATCGAACATGACGGCCAAAGGGTCACCGCCCGTCAAGCAGGTGATCGAGCGTTTCTTCTGGAGTTCGGTGATGCCTCTGCCTTCGATCTTCGCCACAACTTCGAGATATCAGCATTCTGCGAAAACCATGAGAAGAAGCCCATCGCCGGGGTCGAAGAACTCACCCCAGGCGTCTTCAGCCTCCACGTCACTTACACGCACGGTCTGTCCCCAGAAGTGATGCTATCACGTTTGACAGACCATATCCGCTCGTACAAAGTCTCCTCAAAAGTCCCCTCAAGAAGTGTTCGTCTCCCCATCACGTTCGACGATAGTGTCAGCCGCGCCGCCATCGATAGATACTCAGCAACAATTCGTCCAAACGCGCCCTGGCTTCCCAGCAACATCGACTTCCTTCAAAAGCTCAACGGTATCTCTGATCTGACCGAAGTTTTGAGCGCCGCTGAATTCGTGGTCCTTGGTCTAGGGGACGTGTTCATGGGTTCACCTTGTGCAATCCCCTTGGATCCGCGCCATCGCTTGTTCGGAACAAAGTACAACCCTTCGCGTTCTTTCACGCCTCGTGGCGCTGTTGGTATCGGGGGGCAGTATATGTGCATCTACGCGACGGGTTCGCCTGGCGGGTATCAGCTTGTCGGAAGAACTGTTGAGATCTGGGATCCGGACCGTGTCGACACTGAAGCTTGGTTCTTTCGGCGTTTTGACAGGATTTCTTTTTATTCTGTCACGGAAGTGGTGCTGGATGGAACAGCGAGGTCTGAGCTTGTGCAGATCAGTGATGGGGTTCTGGATCTCGAACAGTACGAGACGTGGCTTACTACAAACAAAGAGGACATTGCCGCGGCCGCGGATCAGCAAGCAAAGGCCATTTCCAACGCGCCCTTTTTCGATGAATTGGTTCTTCCGTATCAAGTCGAGTCTGTCGTCAATAGACATGGCCCGAGTCTGGATAGTTCGAGTCTTGATGGTGAACGAGTCAAGGCGACGATGCCGGGTCGATGCTACAAGGTCCAGGTGAAAGAAGGGAGTGTTGTGGACAAGGGTGATGTTCTAGTCTGTGTTGAGTCAAGTAAGATGGAAGTCGAGATTCGCAGTCCTGTCAGTGGGAAATGCGTGGCTGTTTTGGTGCAGGCGGGGGACTTGATTGACGTGGAAGATGACCTGGTAGTCATTGAATGAGCAAGAGTCATCTTCGAGTGGAAGCACAGTCAGAAGAGGCGATTAACAGAGAGGCTACAGTCAAGAAATTACTGAGATGAGTGTCAAGTGTTTGATCGAGCTGTGTACGGGAGGCAAGAAACCTAAACTTGTGACCTCTATCCTAAGTGACAACAAGACTTTGGTGAGTTCAGTGCAAATTTACAAGGCCTTTAGACTAGCTTTACTAAGCGCCTGAGTTTATGAGTGTCAAAATAAGTGTCAAGATGAGTTTCAAGTGTTTGATTGAGTTGTGTATTGTATCCAAGTATTCTGTCCAAGTCCAATCCAATCCAATCCAATCCTCCCAGGCATTTTGGCGAGTGTGATGATGAGAGAGTGAGTCTGTGTGTGTAGGCCATCAAAGTCCCGGTCACGTTGGTGTCACAGCTCGAACGAGTGTGCAAGATCGACACTGGATGCAATAATGTGAACCCGAGGTTCATACCAAGACATACAGTGCAGATCTTGCACAATCGAACGAGCTGTGACTCCAACGCAACCAGGGCCCGAGGCAAGCATGCCTGGTCAATAAGGTACACTGTGCAAGAGTCAGAAAACGAAAAGTGTGTTGAGAGGGAATGAACTTACGGAGGAGGTGCAAGGTGGCCGTGGAGTGTTTCGACGCATACTCGGCAGCTTGCATTGTAGCGATCCTACGGAGAACAGAGATTACTCTGTACGTATACTCAGGTGTGAGTGAAAATCTGTCCATAGTCAGAACTGGGTTGACACTGCAAAGCGAAGAGCAACATACCTTGCACGCTCGTTCGAGACTGGCAAATCGAGTCGCTCGACTCGGCGCTTGCGAGGGGTCGCATCTTGCGCCACTTCTGGCGCAGGCCTCCGAGGAAAGGCATAGTTGAGTAGAGGTTGGGTGGCAGGTGGCGGCTGAGGGAAAATGTGAGATACCGAAAGGTGAGATAAAGGGAAGCGAAAAGATGAAGAGAAGAAACACAAAGAGAAAGGCGATATACCTTGGGCAGGGTGAATGTAGATACGACGGCAAAGGAACTTGAGGTCAAAGTCAAAGAAATGTTTGTGCTTTGAATGAGGTGCGAGCGTCGTTGCGATCGTGTGTGAGCAAGCGATGTTGACGTAGTCCCTCCCGAAGTCTGAGCTCCTGGGGAAGGTGTGAAAAGATGAAATGAAATGACCAAAGGAAAAGTGAAACTTACCACGCATCACCGAGCCAGGGTACTCCCAGCTACGGTGGGAGTGAGCCGCCTACAACCACCCACCAAAGACAACACAATATGTCCAAGGCAACACGCTGTGCAGAACTTCGGCGGCTTGGTTCTTGAAGCTCACTCCAAGAGCCAAGCCGCCGAGGTTGCGGACAGAGTGCTGCATTGAACACGTTGAATGTCGACAAACGGACATTTGTCGTATTGCGTGGCGACAGGATCCTTGTAGATCGAAGAGTTGCCGTGAGTCCAAGTGATGGGGACAGATGATGTATATATAAGAGAGGGGCCCAAAAGCATGAGGAAGGATAAAGATGATGATGCTGGTGGAGGGGATGGAGGAGGATAAAGATGTTGGTGTTGGAACTGAGGAGGAAAGGAATAAGAAGAGAGAGAGATGAAGAGGACGGGAGATGGATTAAATATCAGCAATAGTGGAGCCCAGCTGGTCCTGTGTGTGCGTGCAGAGCTCAGGTTGCCTGGGACAATAGCAGAGGCGAGGGCCAGAGCCCAGAGCCCCGAGCTCAAGAGGGGACCTTGATTCAGGGTCCGCTCTGATGGACGGAGGTTCAGAGAATTCGAGAGCCTCTCAAGCCAATCAGAGAATTTACACTGCAGTCGATTTAATTCCCTTTTGTCATTCGTCGTTGTGGAGCTGCGCAGAGGGAATCTGCCTCGACGAGATTGCTCCAGGGAGCAAGTACACTTGGGACTTTGAGGTGCCAAATGTAACTTAGGTATAGGTAGGTAAGGCTGTCTAAAGATCTCCTAGTCTTCACTAAATTTACCTAAGTCTTGTCGTCGTCTAGGATAAAAACGTCCCAAGTTTAGGCTTCTTGCCTCCCCGAGCCTGGTTCTCCTAAGGTGACCGAGCCACTCTGCGAGTGCCCAACCGCCTTGAGTCCATGCATCTTCTAATTATTGTACGCTCTTCTTTTATGGGCCTGAATGCTTCGATGTGTGTTCTGAGCATTAATCACAATTGTGCGTAATGTAATTCCATATCGTAGATTCGTAGTCAATACCATCTATGGTGCATGCACACTACAATCACTCATTCCATTTTGCATCACTGTTGTTGACAATATCTCACAATGAAGTGCCAGTGGCCTTCTCGCTATTCCATTTCTGTGTTGTAACTACCGCCCGATGACGCATCACCACTCCCCAAAACCCCCCATGGACGCAGATGAGGCTCAAGATGCACCCTCGAAAATACTCAGGGCAACCACAACAACAATTAAAAATACCTTCAAATATATCTCTCGGAAGCTAAAAATTGCTCCATCTTCACAAAAATGGTGCACCATTTTTCCTATTGTACGTGGTCGCAAGATCACAGCTGAGTGTCCTGCCTCGTCGTTGATATAACGTCCAACCGCCCCACGCCACTACCCAACGGTCCCCTGCTCCCGCTTTGGGCGGAGCACTTGGCTGCACGTCACCAGCTGTCAGATCGCTGGTCTCCACTATCCTGGAGGATCTGCTGCTGGGATACTGCCGTCTCCCAGATCACTCGCCCCTCACCGCCCGGGCTCCCATGGTATATAAGCCCCCTCTTCTCCCACTGACTGACCTTTTTCTTCTCTCTTCTTCCCATGCTCATGGTAGCCAAACGCCAGTGGCTCTCAGGGATCAAGAAGCCTGAGAGCCGGGAGACCCATCGGGTCTTATGGCCTTGGTGACTCCTGCCTTGGACGATGGCCTGGAACAATTTTTGATTTCGCCCTTCGGGGCACCCTTTTTTTTTTCATTGGGTTCATGGCCTTGTGCTGTGGCTTGAAGAAGAAAACTTGTTTGATTGTGATTGATCTGTTATGTGATGTGATGGCTTGTTGTTGTTGTTAAACTTAGTAGTTTGTCTTAATAGGATGTTTTGATATGCGCGTAGAAGGGGAGCATTGCGTCCGAGGTGTGAATGCACGACACGATGGAGGGGTTGGCTGAATTCTTGGGAAGCTTGGGAGGTAACGCGATGTGTTGTTTTGGCGGTTGGGCTCGACGTCTCGCGCAGTTGCTCGAGTGACGCCGACATGCCTCGCCAGAAGATCATGTCACTCGTCAATATCTTGACATTTGATACAGACTGCTTGGCCACATTATCAGGGCATTTGCGTCATGGTTTCTAGTGAGTTATTTCGTGTTTTCCTTGGTGGCTCGCCCGCATCGTGGTTCGCCAGTGGCATCGTAGCAAAACCACCACATGGACGGCACGGGATGAGACGCAAGGTATTTATTAGGAGGGCGATGATCTTATGGATGTTGCACGCTACATGAGGACGAAATCGCCTTGCTTCATCTTTTGTTGGGCTTGGAGATCGTGTTGAAGACAACACTCGGATGCGGGATCGTTGCAGCTCGACAGTCACATCACGGCCAAACCACCACACTGGGGATGCAAGATGGGATAAGAAGGATACATTATATTGAGGGCTGTCTTATGCAGATTTCACGCCATTCGAGGGTAAAATCGTCTTGCTTCATCCAGCATTGGTACTGGGGATCGTATCGAAGGATGCACTCGAGTGCAGTATCGTCGTAGCTCGTCCGTGATGTCGAAAAACACATTATACTCGTGGTCGAATCGTCTCGCCAAGTCGTAAAACCCATCTGTCGTCTTTCTTCGCACTTCAAGGTCTTCTGTCTCGTAGGTCTTGTGCCGCTATCTCTCCCGCTGGTACTTCAGAGGGCGCCCGCCTTCGCACTCCCGCTCCTCCCACTAAGGCCAAGGTAACACTCCCATTTCTTCCCCTCCTGCTCTTTTCTACCTTCAACACAACCACCGCATAACACTTTCACGTTGTTCATTTCCGTGTTCCGACCACAATTTTTCAACAACGGCTTTCATTTGAACATTTGTTCTGGTATGTGCTTTTATGTTCTTCATCCCCTGAACAAGTGAACAGTAAACATTGACCTCGCCGTTCCTGCTCAGTTCTTCCAAGCTTTCCCCTCTTCACTCTGCACTTCAAGCACTTCTTCTTCGTCTACAGCAAGACGCTGTTCAAGCCTCCGTTGATTCCACGGACTGCCCATCATGGTCATCGTCATTAACATTCCCCTGCCTAATGGCGGCACCCTCCGAATCAACCTCCAGGAATGGGTCGCTATCCTCATCATCATTCTGATCTTCAGAGCCTACGGATGGCCTATGGTCGTCCGCCGCTGGCCCCTGGCGTTCGCTTGGCCTCGTCACGAAGACGTTTGGGACTTCTAAGCACCACTACCCAAGTCGGGATCTCGAGTACGATCTCTACGAGCCATTTTTGAAATGTTTACGGTAAGTCACATCGAAGCTTGGAGTGCCTCGTCTCAAGTTATCATCATTTACTGACCATTTCAAGAATCTGAATCACAGGAGTGTCACCCTGTAAAAAAAGGTATTATCATCATCATCATCGGCGGCGGCGGCGGATTTATGGAACCGGACTGGTGGATTATTAGGCTCTAGCAATGAATCGAATCTCGTTCTAAATCTTTTGATGTACTCGTGATCGTGCTTCCTTCGTGCCGCTTTGCCCCAGTCTATCCATCTGCCACTCGTCGGTATTGGCATCTTTTCCCTATTCCAAGTCCTATAGATAACAACCGCTGATGTTTATCTTGCTCTAGACTCTACCAATTCTTCCAAAAGCTCCGAAGCTCGCTCCGCGCCCCCAAGTTCATTGAGTTCGTCGCCCAGACGCCCCGCCCTCTCTACGAATCCTGGGTCATCCAGTATTGTCCTCGCCGCACTTCGAACCTGTTCCATTGAAGGGTTATCCGTCTTCAAGTCGATGCCCGCTCTAGCCCAACTAACCCGCGCCGCCGTGTCCTTCTTATCTTCGGTTTGCCCGGCGCAGATCAGAGGCACTTTATGTGACAGCGCCTGTGTTATACTGCCATACCCGCCGTTGGTGATGAGAAGACAGAGTTGTGGGAGGAAAAGATGGTAGGGGATCCATCTGATGAATCGCACGTTTGGGGGCTCCCCTATCCTCGATGTGATCTCTTCTACATGTGGTGAAGCTACTACAAGAAGAAGATCTGGATTATCAGAGAGCGCCTCGATGGCCGGTATGATCAACGATGTTGGGTCCATGGCGAGTGTGCCTTGGGTAATGCCAACAACACGGGGATGCGCAACGATCTCATCCCACTCAGGGGGTAGCTGGGCAAGACTGGTCGGTACTTGCGTAACAACCGGTCCAACGAACTTGGTATGTTCTCGCTGTTGCGGTGGCTTTGGTAGTAACTTGAACTCCAGCGACGGCGACGACGCCTGAATGTGAAGATAGGGGCTGTAAGTAAAAGACTCAATCGGCTCCCCGTACGGTAAGTTCTTCAAGCCCAATTCCCTCCTCTGGGCATTTATGATTGGCCTCAAAAGCAAAGGCAGAAGAATCCACTGGCTAACAAGATGAAGAATATGATTCCAGATCAATCCAATCCACGATATCGCCGGACCCTCCCCCGAAACAGCCTGCGGCGCTCCCCAACTCGCCATGTACATCGGAATAACCCCCAGAGTCGCATAAACCGGAACTTCACCAAGTTCACACAAAGCCCTCGCTCCATACGGCATGACATCGACGAGCAGAGCATCTGCTTTAAAGTCCCTCAACACCCGACGGTAATCAGTTACCTGCGCAAGAAGCCTAATCTGAAGCCGCGAATACTCCTTGTCGAGAATCCCGGTTTCATTAGCGGCGATTAGGGGTTCGTCGATGATGGCTATGGCACTGGTTGGGACGAATGTTGCGCCTACGGCGAGGACGCGGGCTTCGTTTGAGGCGCTGGTGAGCCATGTGACTTGGTGGCCGCGGCGGATGAGGGCTTGGGCTACGGCTTGCATTGGGTAGGCATGGCCGGCTGGAAAGTGAGAGTGGAGGAGGACCTTCATGTTGGGTTCGTGAGGGTGATAATGGGTTGGGTGTGAGGTGAGGTGTTCTTTATGTGAGGTTGCATGGATGATCTAAGTGGGCTGCATATAAAATCCGCACACTACTGTGTACAGGCAGATTGAGGGCTTGGCGGCGCTTGAAGAAGATGAAGGCAATGGTAGAAACTGAATATTCCACTTATGCCGCCTTCAGCCATATAGCCCATTCATCATAAGTAATGTGAGAGCGAGGTGTCATGGCTATGGTCAAGCTTATGTCTCATCGGCTGGTGTCGATCCCTGTGTTCGAGTTCTAATGTCCACCGCTTCCTTGTGAGGGGTCAATCACTACATTGCAGATTGATGAGTTCCATTCACCCGGTTTTAATATTCCGGGAGGTGCTCTTCTATTTCAGTGGTACTAGTAGCAATTCAATGGCACGGCTTGGTTCTACTTTTGCAATTTTACCAGTTTTGCGATCATGTGCGACGTTGCTCAGATGCGAAGTTCAAAGTTCCAAGAGGTGGAATGAGGGCTACCCTGCACCATCTGCGAATTATCTTAGTAACTACGATATAACCGGATGAGGGCCTCAGAAGACGGCGAAAATAAGTTCTCACTTTATTCCATGCCTTGTAAATGTCATTTCAGTACTGTAATGTGTGTTTTTGAATCTGAATAATTACCCTTGTTCAGAATTTTGGCTTTGAGAACGAAAGTTGCGCACTTGAACATGGGCCAAAGATCAATTTTATGTCCAGCGTCACAGACCAACTCCAACAACAATCAATATCTTCAATGAAAGTCACCGAAAGCTATCATAATACGTCTCATATGGAATCCGACCTTCCCTGGTTTGTTGCCTGTTCTTTTAATCATCATCCGAATCTCAGGAATCACCTCGCTATCCTCCTCCAGCCTCGGCTGCTCGTGTTTTCCAGTATTCAGCTTCGCTGTCTCCTCGGATACCAAGCGCTATCCTAGATCGTCACAGAAATGGATTAACCGAATGAGAATACGCCTCAATGTGGGATCATTTTCGAGCCAAAGATCTACGAGCCACTGGGGAGCGGTACGCAATGCGGCGCCTTGGTCATTGACTTGCTCTGGGCCGTGTCAAGGTACGACCTTCGTCACAATCACCCGAAGACTTTGAGAGCTTCTTTGACTGACCCTTGAGTATAAACCGATGAACTGCCATCAGAAGGACGTCAAGCGCGGCGACGGTGTCTCCCCCTGAGACACAGAAGAGGTCAAAAGATGCCACCGACCCAGAGGTTAGTAGCTTACGCTTGCTCAGCACACACACACGCAGCCAATACTACGAACAGTTCCTAATACACTCGCTGGAATGGTGATTGAAGCCTCGTCCTTATCCGTGAAGTTCTGCCGCAAGGAATAGCATGCTGACTGGTATCACGTCGAGAACAGCATATCCATTGAAGCCCCCATCACCACGAGAAGAAGCAAGCTACAACGGCGCTACCAGAGATTTGACACCCAAGGCATTCGACATCTCTCTGCAACCCAATTCTGAACAACCCTTCCTTATGCCACACATTGCGTTCCGCTGAGACACGCTACGGAAGATCACTCGACAGACGGCCGTCAGTCAAAAGAGCGCCGCCTCCACCTGCCCGCCAGCTCGCCATGGTTTAAGTTAGGAGGCAAATCTGACACCTGGAGCTGAGTGCCTCCCACGGGATGTGAAGGTCGAGTTCCTGTTGCCCGTCCTCAACTCGAGGGGGGGCCGATTCCTGGTCTCTATTAGGGGCGTAGTGTTAAAATAACACACTGGGAAGTCGAGCACGGCTCAATAACGATAGTTTCATGGTGAGTGCCACTCTCCTGTCTCAAAGTAGGACTAACACCTGTAGCGCTACCCCCTGACCAAGATCCCATTTCCGAAGTGGTGGCTCAGTGACGGCTGACCCTCAGGAGGAAGACCGCTGGCCTATTCGGTCCACGACACAGTATGTTTACACCCGAGCCAACAGCCCATGAGCCGAATTGGGTCGAAAATGGGCCCCGGACATAGCACTGATTCAATCTCAGGTCAAGGCGAAGACTTGGCTCGAGCTCGAACGAACCCGGGCATCACGAGACTACTCTAGAAGTGGTTTATCCTAAGGTTGGTCTATGGGCCTTTTGGAAACCCCCTCAGTCTATACCTGGCATGCAAGCGGAGTGGAACGAGACCCGGCCTTTACTTTAGCCAGCGACTCAGTATAAGGCGCACGGAACTGTCCCAGCTGATGTTGCGAATACAAATGGGGTCAAACTGACGCCAACACTACGGCGGAAAGATAACGAAACGATCTCCTGTGAGTGCCCGAAGGCCACATAGTGCGATTGTCACTAATAGTTATCCACATATAGGATGAGTCGCGAACGTTATACTGCAAAGGTATCTACAGCAAGAACCCATTATGCTTCCCCGTACGTCGAGCCCCTAGGGAGGCAAGAGCACTTACGACCTTTATCCTAAACGGCAAAGAGACTTAGGTAAATTTAGTATAACCATATGGGCCTTGAGACAACTTTTTTTTGGCACCTGAGTTCAAGGTCAGAGGTTTTCTTGCTCCCTAGGGAGCCACTTTTCTCGACTAAGAACGAGGGCCAATATTCATGTCGTCTCGACCACTCGCCGGCGACTCCTGTCAAATAAGTCTTGCCAGGGACCTAGCTGGGGGGTCACAACAATATAATGGGGAACGGCGAGGCGATCACAGGCGTTCTAAGCTCTCCCACCACTGGCTCATATCGGAATATCGTCACGACTCTAGCAGCGCAAAGGCCGACCAGAGACAACACATCTGGTTTCGACAAAACGGCTTCATAATCTACAGGCTCAGCTCAAGAATTGGATATTGCAATTCGGGTGGGCCATGGATGAAGTGATCAACCGCAGGAAAGCAGGGCTGTAAGTGAATCACCTATCGGATGCGCTTCGTCGATGGGTATCTTGTGGCAAAGATAATGAATTTTGGCGCAGTTGAAGGCATTTACATCGTTGAGTCGTACCGCGTAACCTCTGCCGGACCCCAGGACTGTTGTGTCTTCCATTGGACCTTTTCTAGACGCTTGTCGAAGCTTCAGGGAGTCTCCTCTATCCACCCGAAGCCGATCTATTCCGACAAGTTGAATTCGATCAGCCATGTACGGTACATGAGGCTAAGGTTTATATGTCCAATATCCCTAGAGCACTTCAATGGGGCGAGCAAGTGTCGCTTCCGCCAACCTGCCCCCGGACATGTCTTGACCTTGTCGTGTTCCGATACTCGGTGATGGTTGGCATTCAGTTACGAACAAACAAAAGCACCATACAATACGAATGATACGCTCATGGGATCGAGTCTGGGAAGGTGTTGACATCTCAGTGCGCAGCTTCAATGTGAAACCCTCAGATCCAAGGAGCACCTGGGTTATTACAATCGTCGGTGTTGCTTTTACTGGCCACAAGCTTGCATTTCAGCTTCACGGGAGTTTACTTGAATGTGTCGATCCATTTGCTTTGGTAAGTCAAGCCCCATCATCACGATGTCGTGCACGCAGGTAATGCTGACGAAGAGATAGTCATGAAATCGGGACTACTTCCACGACGAAACTGCACCCCCCCTTCCACCCGATATACCAAGTTAACGATCCTTTCCAACGACTCATGTTGAGCATGGCAGGACATTGGCTCACCGCCAGGTGCATTGTACAGCAATTAATGCTGAGGCTTTGCGTAAACGATCGCGCGCAGACTACAGACTTCCAGTGACCAACACTCAAACATAGCCGATGGCCACTCTGTCCGACCTTTTTGGTTAGTAAGCCCCTTTCTGAGCAGAAGAAAGCTTGAACTACGATACCTGGCTCATATCTTTTGAGCGAGTAGCTTTGCCCTCTTCCGGTCCATTGTAATACATGCGCCCCTGCGAAACTTGGCAGCAATGATCCTCTGCTTGTCTCAACACACTTGGGTTACTTTATATCCTGACGTAAAACCCCGTGGCCGTTTCTGAGTTAACTTGTATCTTAACAGCACGTCTAAATGTCATCGATACGAACGCCGAAAAAGCCACTACAAGCCCGACCAATGCTCCTCCGTTCCCTAATCGATCAAGTCCAGGAAGTCAAAACGAACTTACGGGCGAGAGATACCACACCTGCGAGGCCCAGTAAAAATGTATCAAAGAATCCCGTCCCCGCGGTACGGACATTGTTTTACTGCAAAATCGTCTCCGGAAGAATTGGTACCAAAGTATTGTCTCCCAACAGGCTGGGATTTTATTGACAAGTGGTCTTATTCCTCTTCAAGGTCCAATAGGACCGGCCACGGCTTACCTCAAACTCGAATTTGGTCAACGAACGGACAGAAGAGACGAAGGCCGGCGGCATTGCTTCCAGAAGGACTTGGTCCTCGTCTTCGTTGCTATCCACGAGGCCCAGGCCTACGGCGCTCGCGTAGTGGCCTGGGGAGGGTTGAACGAGGACAGTGTGGGACATATACTGAGCGGTCCGAAGTCTAGTAGTCTTGGTTGGCTTAAAGGAGGTCTCCAACAGCCAGGCGAGACGGGTGAAGGATGGGACAAGCTCGAGCTTGGGTGTGACCCTTCTTGGCCCGCTCATCGACGAGCTTACGCTGAGCGCCGGAACCACTCTCGACATGGGCGTCGCCCAAGGTGATTTCTTCAAGGCGGCGGTCAAGTTGGTTATACTTCAAGAGTACCCTACCCGCCACCAATGCAGTCGGCAACTACTCATCATCGCATGCCCAAGTCCGACAGAGCATATCCCTCTCAGTCGATCATATCATTTACATCAAGTCAGTGGTTCTTTGCGATAAGTTTGAGCTGTATTCATTTTACACCTTGTCAGCAGCTGATCAAGGCGTGTGCCTTCTAGAGGCGTCATATGTTTAGTTCTTCTTCTGACCATTGTTCTCCTCCTCGGCCTCGTCCTTTTCATTTCCATCCTCCTGGAATCTTGTCTCCTGGGCTGCGACATTGTTAGCAAACGAATTTCACTCGAATCATTCAACTTACCACTCCACAATTCGGCGTAGACGCCATCCCGATCGATCAATTCCCGATGGGTGCCCATCTCCGCCACTTGTCCCTCCTTGAGGACAATGATAAGATCCGAGTCAAAGATAGTTCGCAGACGATGAGCCACGAAAACACTTGTTCGACCCTTTTCTCTAAGGATGCCGTTGATGTTCATCATGAGAGCCTGCTCAGTATGGGTATCCAGGGCACTTGTTGCCTCGTCGAAGAAGAGCAGAGGAGGGTCCTTGAGGAGAAGACGACTGACAGCAAGGCGCTGCTTCTCCCCGCCAGAGATCATAAGACCTCGCTCACCAACTTTGGTGTCGTATCCTTCAGGGAAAGACTGGATGGTGTTGTGAACGTGAGCGCGCTTGGCGACCGCAACAACCTCATCATGTGTCGCGTTGATGGAGCCATAGCGGATGTTGTGCTCGACAGTGTCGTTGAACAAGGGGGTATCCTGAGGAACAACACCAATGGAGCGGCGAAGAGACTCGAGGTTCACATCTCGAACATCCTGGTCATCAATCAATATTCGTCCACCCTGAACATCATAAGATCGGAACAAAAGACGTAGAAGAGTGGACTTTCCGCAGCCGCTGGGGCCGACAACCGCGACCTTCTTTCCAGCGGGGATAGTCAACGACAAGTTTCGCAGGATAGGGCGGTTAGGGTGGTACGCAAAGTCGACATTCTCGAACTTGATCTCACCACCCTTTGAAAGGACCAGGGGCTTCGCATCAGGCTTCTCCTTGATGTTGGCATTGACCTTTTGGAGGTTGAATAGAGTCTCCATATCCAAGAGAGACTGTCGGAGCTCACGGTAGACGGATCCAAGGAAGTTGAGAGGAACGGAAAGCTGGAAGACAAGCTGGTTCACCATGACCAAGTCACCAACGGTCAAAGTACCCTCAGCCACACCGTTAGCGGCAAGGTACATCATGCCTGTAAGTGCCGAAGAGAAGATGATGTTCTGTCCACTGTTCAGGAAAGCCAGAGATGTCGCAACCTTGATAGAGTTCTTCTCATACTGCTGAAGAGCCTTATCATACCGCGCAACCTCAAATTTCTCGTTGTTGAAGTACTTGACAGCCTCATAGTTGATGAGTGAGTCCACTGCCACAGTGGAAGCCTTGTTATCAGCAGCATTCGCCTGTCTTCGGAATTTTGTCCGCCAGGCTGTCGTCCAGATGGTGAAGGCCGTGTAGCTGACCATTGTCAAAACAGTGAGAGCTGCGAACTTTGCGCCATAGTTGTAAGTGAGAATTCCACAAACCATGCTGATCTCAAGAGCGGTCGGCATGATATGAAAGACCATACTGGACAGAATGAAGCTGATTCCCTTGGTACCGCGATCTAGAGCTCTTGTTAAACCACCAGTCTGTTTAGACAGATGGAACGTCAGGTCGAGACGCAGCAGATGATCGAATACATTACATGCCACCCTTCGGATAGCATTCTGCGCAACAGATGCAAACACGGCGTTTCGCAATTCCTGGAATACCGTTGCGCCTATACGAGATGCGCCGTATGCAAGGATCATGGCCCCAGCAACTGTCGTCGCAGTACCTCCCACAGCAGCAATATCGATATTCATTGAATCGACAATGCTTTTAAAGTAAAAGGGCACTTGCACGTTGAGAACCTTTGCGCCAATCAATAACGACACAGCAAGACCGACTCGCAGCTTTGTACCCCAGTCATCCTTGGGCCACAGGTACCGAGTCATCTCTTTCATGATAGCCCAATCCGCCTTACGCTGCTCAGTCGCAGATTTGTCAACCGTCGCAAGAGGATCATTTTGTTTCGTCGGTTGTTTCTGCGCAGGAAACACGGCCGTAGGTTTCGTCGTGGTTTTGGTTTTCGAATCTGTGGGTGCTCGTTCGCGACGCGGGGCACATGTCCAGAAAGTCTGCGTCAAACCCGGTCGTGGAGACACTGAAGACAGTCGATAAAGTGCCAGACTTCCCCGAGGACATGTCCTCGACGACCGGAGGAGTAATTGAGGTATCATAGTGACTATTCGGCTCAATTCGAGCTCATCATGGGATGTGTCTGGTGGTTTATGGCGGGGGTAGCGTGATAGCGCGTCGATAAGAGGCACGAGACAACAAGGTACCGGAGCTGCCAGGAACCTTGGCTGCGATCCGGTAGCTAGTTTACCTTGGCCAAAGAGGTGTCCGTTCTATTTATCAAAGGGAGAGAGGTTTTTTTTTGTTATAAGCACTTGATGGAGCTCACATAAGAGTAAGTTGCCAGATTCAGACGGATGATGCAACCGGTTGGGGCCTGAGGCAGCCGATCATCGGAGCGCCAACCCAATGATGTCCAGGAATGGAAATGGACTTGTAGGACAGAGAATTATATGCAATTGTTTAGTAGAGGTCTTTTAAATATAGTTCGGATTTGTAAGTTCGTTTCTCAGTGGAATTGGATTGTTTTTCTGTACAAACGATCAAGTACAAACGGTCGACACTTGACTTACACTTCAGCTTCCGAAATCATGTAATTGATAGAACATGGCGCAATATCCAGGAGAAACGTCGCCAACCCCTTCAGGTCAAGCATGAATTACCCGATATTACTGCTAGAAAGGGTTTGGATTTGTGCCTCTCTTTGGCGTAACTCTGTAAGTCAAGCCAGCAGCGCTTCTTGCTCAGGCATGTCAGGAGCATCATCATAGGGCTGAGACTCCGATTTCATGACCTTAGCATGAATGGCAAAAAGGGATTTCGTCTTTTCCTGTCGCACGCCCATGTCGTGTAGAGTGTCATTAGGACCCTTGGAAAAAGCCGTCGTCTCCTACCAGATCAAGCGGACAGCTCAATTGCATCTTTTACCCAGGACTAAGGTACTGAAACACTCGCAGCCCTACCCCCAACCACACATCGGAGGAAGTACGTACTTCATCATTCTTGAGTTATAAGATATCACTTACACCAACGACAAAAAATATTGATTCAAGACAACAAAAGAGCAAAAGGAAGGTCTCGGAGGGAGTCGAACCCTCGCTGGCGGAATCAGAATCCGCAGTCATAACCGTTAGACCACGAAACCAGATCTAATTGTTGGAGAACATGTACCAGTATAGCGTATTATGGTGCTGAATTTTTGAAGTTGTGACACATTGATACCCACTTGGTTGACCACAGTCGTGACAGACTGGCACATGGAATAGTCTCACAAATATGTCAATTATTTGCTAGTGTGTTTAGCTATGTTCTCTGCTTGTCTGCCTATCTGTTCTTCTGCGTTGGCTTATATGCGAGATGATCCCTGGCCCTCTGCTTATATGCCTGGTGTGACAGTACAAGTTCAGTCAATAGCACTGAGGTCATGACAGAAGCGTCCGGACGAGGAAGGAGATTGGTAACAATGATAGAACCTCAGTAGGTATTTCTAAGGTTAATATAAAGTCACTAACTAAATTTATTGCATTCAAGAGTCATGGGATTTCTACTCAATGATGTTGACTGAGATGCGGTACACCTACCACTGTAACACTCTGACTACAGTGCACAGCCCCCCCTACAACTCACGGCTGAGCAACGCCAGTCAGCACGGGCGGGTCTGATCCATCCAGGAGCTCTCAAGTTTGCATCTTCAGCAGCAAAAAACAGATCGCCTCAGCTTCACCAAATTATCTATTCCTTCATCATCCATGTTGAAACACTTCAGTATTTACTGATCTCATCTCAACATGGACAGTCTCGAGGCTCTTCGGGACCGCCTCAATGAGACCATCATCCCACACGCCCAACGATATCCCCTACAAGCTATCCTCTTCACAACCATAATCCTCTTCATCACAACAAGACTCTTTACAGGCAGTTCATCTTCTTCTCGAAAAGATAGATCAAAAACACCTCCTCTTGCACCCTTCTGGGTGCCTTTGTTCGGTCATGCTCCGCGTATTTTCCTTAGTCCTTCCGCAGCTTTGACGCGCTTCAGAAATCGATACGTCCAGGGTGTCTTTTCAATCCGGTTATTCCAGAGTATTCACTCTTTTGTTTTTCGACCCTCGCTAGCTTCTCGTCTTCTTGAGCAACCGCAATCTATTGCTGATAAGGAGTATGTTGCGAGACGGATTATGATGACCAATTTTGGCCTCTCGAAGAAGGATCTTGCTGCTTATGATGAAGCTGCTCCTGAGGTCTATCAAGTTACCAAGGAGTATCTGAGCGGTTCCCATCTCGATGCCCTCGCCAAGTCTACCCTTCGGGATCTTGACGATAATGCTGCTGATGCAATCTCCTTCAACAGCTATCCCACTGATCAGATGGACTGGGAACGTCTCGCCAATGCAGAACTTTTGGAGGATACAGGAGACGAGAAGATCATGGCTGTGGATTTCTTCGAACTAATGAAGACTTTCATCGCGAGAACTGCCACTATCTCGGTCTTTGGCACGGACTTCGTCGAGATCTATCCCGATATCTGGCCTCATCTGTGGATCTTCAATGATGCTTTCCACTCACTCGCAATGGGTGTTCCCGTCTGGGCGCCTTTCCCAAGTTCTCAACGCGCCAGAATCGCTCTTGGAAGGCTACTCACATTCATGCGGGAGTATCACACCGAGTTAGACAAGTTTCTTAGTGATGAAGAACCGGCAACGAAATGGCAGGACTTTCACACTATAAGTCCTCTTGTACGTGCCAGGACGGAAGTCTACCGAAAGCATGGTCTATCTATTGATGTTCGCGCTGCGTTTGATGTTGCTCTTCTTTGGGCGACTACTGTCAACTCTACATCGCTCATCTCGTGGTCTCTGTTCGAATTATACCAAGACCCTGTTCTTCTATCTCAAATCCGCGAACAAATCATACCATACGTTAAGATCGTCCAACCTAAGAACGATTTCGGAGGCGCTGTCTGGATTCCTCCTCAGGTTGAGAAACTCGACTTGGAGGGTCTTCTTACTAAATGTCCCTTGCTTCAGGGAGTGTACCTCGAGACATTGCGATTATACGGTGGAGGGTGGTCGGCGAGGTATCTGAAGGAGGATGTAATACTCAAAGACAAGGAAGACAGTTTTGTTCTGAAGAAGGGAACCTTCGCACATATTGTGAATGACCTTCATCATTCTGATCCCAGAAGCTTCACAGATGCCAAGGTCTGGCAAGTTGGACGATATCTTGAAGATACAGTGGATAAGAAGGGTGTCAAGACACAGAAGGTTGACCCATATACAGTCCGAGCATCAGGTATGTTTGTCGTCTCACATGGCAATCGAGGACTAACTAACATCTCTAGATGGAACATTGACGATGTGCGATGATTCGGAGTTCACGTTGAGAAAAGTACTCATGTACATCTCAGTATTTATCACCCTTTACGAGCTCGAACCCGCGGGAAGTGAAAGATGGCCGTCGCCTTCGATAGTCAAGGGAGTTGCTTCGGCACAGCCATGGAGGTCTGTTAGATTATGGGTGAGGCGAAGATCGCCGCAACCTCAATGAGTGGCATGTTGTCCACTCCCCGAGCTGCACCGTCATGTTGGCAACACAGGGACAGAGAGGAATTTATGATAATAGATTGTTCGGCATACACCAAAATTCGGCAGGTTGCTGCTAGTTATGTGAAGAGTTCCCATGACTGAACATGCATTCCCAAAATGATCAGCACATCTTCCATTCCTCCATTGCAACCAAGTCGTCTCAGGTTATTGAAACTTACCACTTCAGCTAACCATTCTTGACTCGACAATATACATGCACGATCGTTTTTATCTTCACGGAGCCTCATCACTCATCGATGCCATTACAACCTGTTTCAGATCCCAGCTCATATGTGAGCCCTAGTGGGGCGCAGTGTCTTCTCCAGCGCAAAAATTACCCACAACACCAAAAAGATGATCTCAGGAGCGTATCTCCCCCGGGAAGGCTCGAACTTCCGATCTCCCGATTGTCTGCAAGTAACAGTCGGACGCTTTAGCCAACTAAGCCACAGGGGATGAGCTGATTTGATGATGGCCGCCACGGAATCGGGTGCTATGTTGGCGATGGTTGCAGTTTCACGACAGTTGAGACGGAAGATGTCAGAGATCGAGAGTTTGAGAGGATAGTTAGCTACAGTATGAGTTGAGTTGAGTTTGTGGAGAAACGGTGGTGAAGCGAACAGAGGCAGATGCAACATCATCCAGTCCGGTTTTGGTTATGTTAGCTCAGAGGGAACTCTACAGTCCATGGATTAGACAATGCCAGACGAAAGAAGCAAAAAAGTGTCCAGTAGACATTTTGTACGGTTGAAGACGCAAAGAGGCAAGTCAAAGTATTCCAACATGTCATTCAACAGTGGTCTCAGGTCTGTGAGCGAGAACAGTTGAGTAGTTCAAAAGAAAGACAGGATCCTCCCCCAAGATCCTTAGTGACACAAGCCAAAAGTCAATCGACCTCGAACATCAACTCAACGGCAACTCAAGCTCCACAGACTTAAAAATACATCGATCTTGACAATATTGAACATCAAAAATGATAGAATTGGCAAAAGATAACTCCCCCGGGAAGGCTCGAACTTCCGATCTCCCGATTGTCTATTCAATAACAGTCGGACGCTTTAGCCAACTAAGCCACAGGGGACAGGTTGTGCTGTTGTTGAAGGACATGGCTGTAATGGTGTTCCTCAATCCTTGCCCAGCTCTTTCGCAAGTCTGTGAAGCGGAATTCCGGTCACCAGTTTAGTCAAAGGAATAGTAGATGTGGCTAAGTTTTGAATCGCTTTGGATGTTGGGCTTATATTTGTATAATGAATTGCTAGCGTCAGATTGTTCATGGCTGTGAGTGAGTTTGTTAGCCTTGTTGTTTGTCATATTAGTTCAGCGGACGTGTGCAGTTCACCCTGCGATGAGAATTAGTACAACGACATTATCTATAAATCAAGAAAAAGGAGGTTCCCTTCTCCTAAATGTCTTATTTTATCACCAATTGGTTCAATACCAAAGCCAATGACCCAGTCTCCATGTATAAACACATCTGGCTGGAGGTTGGAGAAGATTACCCTGTATCATGGCCCCCAAGTTCTGGGGGCAAACTCATATCATCATATCGGTCATTGCCGAAACCAGCATCGTCAATGGCTATGAAGACTGAGCCTTGCTATCCAATATCAATTTGAAACTTCTACTGCTGACATGATTCCTTCCTCGAAACCAACAACCATCCTTCACAGTCTAGAAGTGGCTATGCAAAGAGAAAGGGGCAATCTCAAAAAATTGGCAGTTTTCTACAAAATTAACAGTGGATCTTTTCATTCCTGCATGTTGTTTATCTGGGGAAACTTCAAGACAATATCGTCATGCGGCGATCCTACCTACGGCCGGGGTTGAGTACGTGATCGGCCAGGCATCAAAAACGGGGCCGAGATCTTCGGAGCCGGACCCGGTAAAGGATCAAACTAAGCAATTACATTCCCGGGCTGTGTTGAGGCTCAGCAATTAACTTAACAGTTGTTGTACTAACAGTTATCCATGTTTATCAGGTGGTGAGATGGAGACAGAGATTAGCGGTCTGCCTTGTGGAGTTGAGCTTGTTCTGAGGCTCAGTTGTTTAGGACCAACAGTTGAAGGCCAACAATTGAAGACCTGGGTCTTACCCAAGCGCCAGGTAGACGGTGCACGACAAGAGGCACAGCCAGCTAGGTGCCGTGTCCTTGGTAACATATGAGCATATTATCATAACCTTTGGGGGCATCATCATATGGCATGGAGCTAAGAAGACCAGCTCAAACATGGAATGCATAAACTCGTCATGAAAGTATCCATACCTAGCTCCCAGGCTTGCCCGACTTACACGAGGGATATCTTAAGTGGCGAGTGATCAAGTCACCGCTGGGCGACACCTGGAGATATTGGATGTCGACAACACGAGATGTTAGCGCCGGGAATCATTCTAGAATTCTATCCCCATCCAACAGCTTAAGCTACGGCTTCTCGCTTCCGGCCATTTCCAGATACAGCAAATGTCATTCCGGCATCGCCAAGCCGAAGAGTAACCAACAATGACAGACAAGTGGACATGGACATTGACTTAACAATTCCAAGAGGCAGTGCAACTGATCACACGTCCCTCATCCAATGACATTACACGTCCAACACCGCTCGAGTTATCCTCTTCTGGCCTTGCGATCATGATATGATTGGCCAGAGTCGGCCAGTAGCTCTGCCGAGTCTCCGTGGGTGAAAAAGTCCAGCGGTCATGGAAACCAACAACAGCCGGGCGTAATGACAACTGTTAGCCAAACTATCGTGGCCGTTATCCTTAAAGAGGCGGAGTAGATTCAGGGATCTGCACTATTTGCCTCTGGCCCTGGGGTTAGTCTCTCGTCTTGTTGAAGCTATCTCCGAGAATGGACTGCGGTTCAACAACATTGATGTGAGAACACATCGCCCTGTGAGGCAGAAACAAAAGATATTACCATATATGTCATTCGAGTAATGCTTGGCCAACGCACATCGTTACCGGGTTCACCAAAGCCGAGAGCTTACCAAAAGTCTTGGCCATATCATGGATTTGAGCAAACGTGTCTTATTCCCATCGTTCAATTGAGTAAGCAAATATCGACACTGACGAACCCTCAATGGTTAGAGTTCAGGTTAAACGCTCAAATGGCTTGTGATTGTCATTTCCTGATTTGATAATGCCTCGTCCCATATCGCATCGCGTTTGTCGTATTCCCGCGACGAAATCAAGAGCCCTTTCTCATGCAGGAGCCTAGCGGCACCTCCAAGCCTTGCGCCCCACAAGTCCCTTTCGGTAAGATCACGTAAACGAATCATAAATCACCGCCAAGGGGATGCATGCCACGCGGGCTCCACATTGTGGAAAGTAGATCGCTCTTTCCCCGTGTCACCTGTGCTGCAGCACCTGTCTGGTGCAGCTCAGGGTTCCAGGCTCCGTGCACCTGCACTGCACGAAGCTTGGGTTGTGTCGGGTGCGACTTCCAATGGGGTCGACGTCACCTCATGGACTTGGCGTTAGGTCGTAGCTCTTTGAAGGATGTATGAGCTGAGCTGAGGGTGGGTTGGACCTGCCCGACGACATTAAATAACACCCTCTCCCCACCTCAAACGTGAAACATTTGCATCTTGTCACTGACACTCCATCACTTAATAACATTGATCATCGAGTATCTCGCAACTACTTTGATCAACATCAAAGAGCCTCCAAGCAAACCACTTCTCGAATCATCACAACACAAAAACACTTCACAATGTCGTCCACTGAGGGCATGATCAACGGCGGCGGAAGCTCTTCCGCAAACCCCAAGGCTCCTGCGATGGAGGGCAACGGGGGCTTCATGGCACAGCACAAGATGGCAGTTGAGCCTCCCAAGAAGGAGGATCTCCAGCGCAGTTATGCGACCGTTGTTGAGAACGATGCCAACCCCAAGGGCTGGTATGGCTCGATGAGTAAGTAACAAGAAATGCATGATATTAGCGTCTTAATTAACACTCTCAGTGAACGCTCTTGGAACCATCGTGGGAACCATGGGTGCCATTCCCTGCTGCATCATCTGCCCTAACCCCTTCAAGGAGGTCAACCAGGGCAACGTCGGTCTCGTTACAAAGTTCGGAAAGTTCTACAAGGCCGTCGATCCTGGTCTGGTCAACATCAACCCTCTCAGCGAGAGACTCATCCAGATCGATGTCAAGATTCAGACCACAGAGGTTCCTGAGCAGATTTGCATGACCAAGGACAACGTCACTCTTCGCTTGACCTCAGTCATCTACTACCACATTGTCTCCCCTCACAAGGCTGCTTTCGGTATCAACAACGTCAAGCAGGCTCTCATGGAGCGCACCCAGACCACTCTCCGACACGTCGTCGGCGCTCGCGTTCTTCAGGATGTCATCGAGCGTCGTGAGGAGATTGCTCAGTCCATTGGAGAGATCATTGAAGATGTTGCCGCTGGATGGGGTGTTCAGGTTGAGAGCATGCTCATCAAGGATATTGTCTTCAGTCAGGAGCTGCAGGAGTCTCTCTCCATGGCTGCCCAGAGCAAGCGTATCGGTGAGAGCAAAATCATTGCCGCTAAGGCTGAGGTAACATTCTACATCATATTCACTTTGTCACACAGCACTAACATACTCCTAGGTCGAATCCGCCAAGCTTATGCGACAAGCTGCCGATATTCTGAGCTCGGCTCCTGCCATGCAGATCCGATACCTCGAGGCTATGCAAGCCATGGCCAAGTCTGCCAACAGCAAGGTCATCTTCTTGCCTGCTGCCAATCAGACCATGGGTAACGCTCTCAACGCGGCCATGGCCAACCAGACTGGCGAATCCAGCGGTCGTGCCCTGGATATCGAAAATGACTTTGGAGGTCAGGACCCAGGTTTCCAACAGGCCATGAACGCCCGCGTCGTGGAGAACATCTAATCAAGGCGTTCTTCCCTCGTGCGTATCACATTGAGGCAATGCGCTAACGCTTGAGGGTTCCCGTTTCGGGTTCTAGCCTGGTCTACTTGATTTCGGAAGCATTGCCTCGACTGCTCTCTTCTCGTCTTCATCAGAGCTACACCCCAGCTTTGCTCGCCCAACTCAACTGAATGACCTACTACGTTTTTGCTTTCAACACTGCACTTTGATACCCATCACAACAACAACAGCCATCGCTCATTGCGCTTCTTAATTTTAGTGTATGTATTCTACTTTCTTCTTCTATCGAGGGAGTGGTGGTGGACAGGGGTGGTGTAGCTTGTGCTTTTTCTTTTGGTGATGGATACCCTTGGTTTGCTTAGATGAGCATTTAATGAGGATGGTTTCTGGATGATTCCTTAACGTCATGGAAAATACCCAATCGCTATGAATATACCCTTTTTCTTCTGATATTGCTGTGTTGGTGAAAGTGCTTCGTATGATTATGTACCCGAAAGAGTCTGCCAGCTGTGACAATACTGGTCTGAGAAACTTGGGGTGGCCTCAGCGACATAAAAACAACTAAGAGCTTCAAATTTCATCCTAAAATTGCCCAAGTTTATGCTAAATTTACCTAAGACTTTTTGTCACTTAGGATGGCTGTCAACAGAACCAAGACTCTCACTTATAAGTGTGGAAAATTAACTAGACGTCACATTGCTCCAGTTTCAGATGATCACGACTTCAACTCATTTAGCAATCACAATGTCCAGAGCAGGCCAAACTTGAGGATTAACTTTTAAACTTGACAATTTTCTCTTCTATAACCCTCTGTTCACCCTCCTTTAATGATACATCAAAGCATATTGAATTCCTCTCCAGAAGTCACCACGCATCCACCCAGGGGACGGGGAGGGGACAGAGGGTCAAGTTGAAAATACGAAAAAGGGATAAAACCAAATCACGCCAATATGCCCTCCACCCAAACGCCAGCCAGCCAGGAAACAAGGTGCGGGCAGAAGATGCCATGCCAGGAGTCTCTCAGGTATCATATATCTACACATCGGGAACCGTCCAATTGTCTGTTGTTGTGTTGACACGAAATGTGATCTTTCGTATTGGAGCGGGTTCGTCGTCAGTGTTTAGACGAGTACGAGTAAAGCAGGTAGGATGAGACTGATTAATCTCGAAGTCCTACAATTGTGTCTGATTCAGCATCGTCACGACTTGCGCCGCGGACGTTTACTTGAGGGTCTCTAAGCCTCAGAGTGACGCTTCTTCTTCTTCTGCTTCTTCTCCTTCTTGGGCTCGGCCTCGTCTTCTGAGTCGTCGTGCTTGCGCTTTTTCTTGCCATCAGTCTCCTCAGCGGGTTGCGACTTGGAAGGTGTGGACTTCTCCTCGGCCTTTCGCAGCTTCTTGAGTTCCTTCTTGCTGATAACCTTGGGTGTACCATCGGCGTTAAGCTCAACGTCACCTCGCTCGTACTTGCGCTTGAACTTCTTGACTGAGATACCGGCCTCCTCAGCAAGGCGCTCGTATTCGGCCTCGGAGAGCTTCTTGGGCTTGCCAGGAGTGGCAACCTCGTCGTCGCTGTCATCCTCGGCATCCTTCATCTCCTCGTCGACCTCCTCGATGAGCTTCTTGGCCTTCTTGAGCTTCTTAGCGGGGGTAGCTTCGTTGGTCTCCTCATCATCGGCAACACCATCGGCGTCACCGTTGTATCGGCGGGTCTCCTTGAGAGTGAACTGACCAGCACCAACGATCTCACCAGAGGGAGTGACGTTGGCGCCCTTGGGCAGAAGAGGCTTGCCCTCAAGCTTGCGGAGGTGGTTCTCAAGCTTGATACGGTTGCTGAGACCAAGGATAGCGCGCTCCTCCTCGTCATCGTCGTCTTCGGCATCACCAAGGGCATCGACGCGGAGGCCGAGAGCAGCCTTGGCGGACAGCATACGGGCGATCTTACCCTTGTTTCGGCCGGTGGCCTGACCGATGAGTGAAGAGTGGTAGATGAGACCGTACTTGGGTGTGTCGTGCTTGGTCTTGAGAGCGCGGAAGAGGGCCTTCTCGGCACCGAGAATCTGGATGGTGGAACCAGGAGACTTGGCCAAGCTGATGAGAGAGCCAGCGTGCGCAATGAGACGGGCACCGACGAGGTAGCCGACGAGAGCAGTCAGGTTGGGAGCGATAGCGCGCATACGGCTCTCGAGGTAAGAGGACAGCTGTGTTCGGTAGTTGGAGTAGACAATGACCTGGTCAGCCAGGAGCTTAATGTTGTCAAGATCCTCGTCGGTGATCTCAGTACCCATGCTGATCTCGGCAGCAGCCTTGATGGAAGTCTCAATCTCCTCGGGAAGGATCTCAGAGAGATCACTATCGGAAATGTTGGTGCGCATGCCAACAGCGAGGATAACGCGGGCGTAAGCCAAGTTGTCGTTGAGAATCTTGGCCATCTCGGGGAAGTGCCATCCGTACCACTCCTTGGTTCGCATAGCGTAGACGTTGAGCTCCTTATCGAGATCGTCAAGAAGCTTGATAGCCTGGATGATCATGGAGTCGACCTTGTCGGCAGAGAACTTGAGCTTGTGACGCGACATGGAGTGAGAAAGACCAAGAGCCATGCGGTCAAAGTTCTCCTCAAGTAGACCAGGGATGAGGTTGGGCAATCCACCTCGAATGCCACGGAAGAGGTCCATGGTGTTGGAACCAGAAACAGGAGAAATGTTGAGCGAGGGCATGTTAGAGATGGCAGTGCCCAGCTTCATGTCGGCAACGGCGAGCGAAGCCTTCTTCTCGGACTTGAGGTCGTCGAGGAGTTGAGTGAGAAGCTCCGGGACCTTGCCCTCCTTGAGGGAGGCAGCTTCTTCGAGAGCGGTAGCGGCGCTGTCGAACTTAACAAACTTCTTGAGCTTGAGCCTATTAAGGGGGAAGATATTAGTTAAGTTCTTTATGGTCTTTTTCCAATTGGCAACCGTCCAGTTTGTCACTGAAGACATTTTAACGTGCTCAATGGGAGACGTTTCGCGAATGAAAAATGTTCAAAAAACTTACATCTCAACAACCTTCTCAGGTCGTCCAAGCTCAGCAGCGAGTTCCTCGTTCTTGAGCATCTTCTTATCAGTAGCCTTAAACAGGCCGTAGCTGTCAATTGTTAGCTCATGCCTTCCTAGACCTGCACCGGCCTCGCCATCATGAATTGATGGTCGAGGTCAAGGTCGAGGGTCGCGACTTACCCTGCCGGCGTTTCGGCAAGCACAAAGAGCGACATTGTAAATTAGTTTTGGTTCCTTCCTTCTGTTCTCGCTCTAATCGATTGGCGTCGTGGCTTCCTCGCGAGGCACAGTCCGGTTCGTTGTGCGCGGCTGCGAAAGGAAAGATCGAGGGTGGGCTGGCGATGGAAAAATTTCAGATGAAGCTTGAGAAGGCTCCACTCAATTTTTTTGGTCTTGGTCCTGGCGCGGAAAGTGTGATGCAGGTTCTTCGGCTGCCGGAGCCACTTAATTCCGGCCTCTGCATCAGGTACGTACCCCCAGCCACTGACTCCTGGCCACTCACGTGTCGACGCTCGCGACAAGATGTCTGGGCAAGCTTGCGTCGCAGGCTGAGGTTTGTTAGGCGGCCAACTTAAACAATCCAGTTAATTCATCGCCTCGGCCACGAAGACGCCCTATTATTCTCAAGACCTCAAATACGATAGATCAAGGCCGAACGAATTACTACGAACGAGAATCAAGATGGAGGGTCTTCTCTACAACGTCAACGGCGGGTGCGTATTAGCTTGAACATGGAGCTTCATACGGGTGGTTCTGGAGACTAACCATAAGGAACAGCTACGTCGAAGGTATTGTCCGAGGCTACCGCAACGGTCTTCTCACAGGCGCTGCCTACAATAACTTGACTCAATGCGAGACGATCGATGGTACGCGACGATGACTTCATCACCAGCTTCATTATACTAACGACTACAAGATCTCAAGCTTCAGCTTGGTCCTTCCTACGGTGACTTCCTCGCTTCCCTACCACCTAACCCCTCGACTTCAGCCCTCGCAGCCAAGACGACCGACAAGCTCATCTCAGAATTCCGATATGTGCGCGCTCAAGCTGTCGGCTCCCTTGCTACCTTTATGGACTACGTCACCTACGGCTACATGATCGACAACGTCGCCCTTCTCATCACAGGGACCCTTCATGAGCGGGATACTCGTGAGCTTCTTGAGCGATGCCATCCTCTGGGATGGTTCGAGACCATGCCTGTTCTCTGCGTTGCTACAAACATCGAGGAACTTTACAACAGTGTGCTTATCGAAACCCCTCTCGCCCCATACTTCAAGGGCAGCCTTAGCCACCAGGATCTCGACGAGTTGAATATCGAGATTGTCCGAAACACACTCTACAAGAACTACCTTGAGGACTTTTACAACTTTGTCAATACCCACCCTGAGATGGCTGGAACACCTACTGCTGAGGTCATGTCTGAGATTCTCGAGTTCGAGGCTGACCGCCGAGCCATCAACATCACACTCAACTCTTTCGGCACAGATCTTTCCAAGCAAGACCGTAACAAGCTCTACCCCAACTTCGGCAAGTTGTACCCTGAAGGAACTCTCATGCTCTCTCGAGCTGAGGACCCTGAAGGTGTTCGCCTGGCTGTTGATGGTGTTCATGACTACAAGTCTTTCTTTGATGCCATCTCAGTTGGCGGCGGTCCCTCAGGGCCTGGAAACATGGGCGGAGGCGCTGGCGAGACCAAGACCCTGGAGGATATGTTCTACCAGAAGGAGATGGAGATTTCCAAGAACGCTTTCACCAGGCAGTTCACTCACGCCATTGTCTACGCTTGGGTGAAGCTCCGAGAACAGGTTAGTAAATCCTACACGAGTATCTCTCATTAAATTAACAAATCATAGGAAATCCGCAACATTACCTGGATTGCCGAATGCATAGCTCAGAACCAGAAAGAGCGCATCGGCAACTACATCAGCGTCTTTTAAATCGAGTATGAGTATTGGCATCGTTTTCATTTTTAGCAGGATTTTGTGTAGTATAGCAGCAACTGAGCTCGTAATGGCACGGATTAGTTCCCACACTGGCGCAAAGGACAGATAGGTAGATGCAAAAGGCGGCATCGTCGCTCCATCATTCAGGTGGCTTGTATTGTACATAGAGAGAAACAAGTTATTCTACAAAATCGTCTCAGCTCCCGCCTTGTCTTACAACGAGATCTGGTCTTTCCATGTCGCAGGTGTAAGACCCAGCTTCTCAATCATGTGAGTCCATCGCTCACTTCCCCTCTCCTTGCGATCCATGTACTTCATCAGCTTCTGTCGGCGGTGCAGCAATAATCTCAAGTTTCGCTTGTTGTGCTTATCCTTGTATCCTCTGTTGATCTGCAGAGCCTGAGAGAGGTTGTTGATCTTGGTTGTTAAGATAGCGATCTGAACCTCAGAGCTGCCTGTATCAGGACCACATCGGGGTGGCATGGGTACTGTGCTGGGGTGAATCGACTTTGGCTTGGGACGCAGAACCTTGTCTGTGTTGTGACGGCCAAATTCCTCAACGATTCGTCTCACGTTGGCGTGGAAGCGGTCCTTTGCGCTACTGTTGCTGAGCGATGTGATACGGCGCAGAGCCTCAAGAGCCTTCTGGTGACGCTGCGCGTGTTGCTTCATTTTATCCTCTCCACTTCCGGGTTCCATCTGTGACTCGACCACGCCGATCATGGGCTTGGTAAGGGTATATGCATGCTTGACAGCCTCATTGAGTTCCGAGTCGGTAAGGAAGTAATTTCGTAGTTCCGGGGAAGTCGGTAGCTCATGTGCTTCGGCGAGCGGGTTTCCACTTCCATCCACAGCAACACGGGATGTAGCCTCTTGACCGGCCGATTCAAGAGATTCTATAAAGGGAGTTGTCTTTCCCTTGACGGGATCACCCCACGCCTCATCCCTCTCCCGGGCGAGCTCCTCACGCCGTTGCACATTGGCAGCCTTTCGCTGTTGAGCCTGAGCCCATCGGTACGGATCCTGCTTCGCCTTGCGCTTCTTCTCACGCTGGGACAAGTTGGCTGTCTGAACGATGGGGAGAAAGTTCGGGGTAGCGGGCTTTACGGCGGGTCGGAGGCAGACTGAGCAATTGATTAGCATTGAAGAAGCTAATGGCTATGATAGATACATACGGTTCAATGAGCCGAAGCGCGGCAGCGCCGGTATTCTAGGGGGCATGATTGAAGCATCAACCTGCTTTGATATCAGAAACTGATGGATTGTCGTCCAAAGCCCGCCCCAAATTTTCCTTAGCCCACCCTGCCAATGCCGTACCAGGAGCCCGTTGAGTACCAAAACGGATTAGCTTTGGTATCACGTGGAGATACTGCACCTCCATCTCTTATCTCCCGGCTAGCCTATGTTTGGCCTAGCGCATCCAGGGCCATCAGGGCTTCCCACCACACACATTTTGGTGGTCTCAAAATTCCGTCGCGAACTTTCCGATTTGCGACTCTTTGTACGCAACACCACAATCCTCTTCGCCGTCACCTTCCAAGCCATCCTTCCTTTTCGTCACCCAAGACAAGAGAAGATAATCCGTCAAGATGGCTCCCTCCAACCTGCCCGCCCTCTTCAACGCTACCAGCCAGGACATTGAGACCCTCCTGGCTGCTCAGTGCCACCTCGGCTCCAAGAACCTTCAGGTTCACATGGAGAACTACCTCTGGAAGACCCGTGCCGATGGTGTCAACGTTATCAACGTCGGCAAGACCTGGTATGTTTGAATTGGAATTTTTGGGTGGAATTTTGGGCTTCAAGATAGTCTGGGAGGGGGTTGAATGCGCATATTCGAATATCGTAAAAATGAAGCTATTCGGAGGAGGGGCAGAGAACCTTGAACCAAAACACCGCACTCTCGCGCACAATCGCTAACAGCGCATCTCACAGGGAGAAGATCGTTCTGGCTGCCCGTATCATCGCTGCCGTCGACAACCCCGCCGATATCTGTGTCATCTCTGCCCGTCCCTACGGTCAGCGTGCCGTCCTCAAGTTCGCCGCCCACACTGGTGCCACCGCCATCGCTGGTCGCTTCACCCCCGGTTCCTTCACCAACTACATCACCCGATCTTTCAAGGAGCCCCGTCTGATCATCGTCACCGACCCCCGCACCGACGCCCAGGCCATCAAGGAGGCTTCCTACGTCAACATCCCCGTCATTGCCCTTGCCGACACTGACTCTCCCACCGAGTACGTTGACGTTGCCATCCCCACCAACAACAAGGGTCGCCACGCCATCGGTGCCGTCTGGTGGATGCTCGCCCGTGAGGTCCTCCGTCTCCGTGGTACCATCTACAACCGCGAGACCCCCTGGGACGTCATGGTCGATCTTTACTTCTGTATGTCTCCCCTCGAACTAACCCCAGCAACATGTACTGACAACTCTCAGACCGCGACCCCGAGGCTGAGGCTGAGGACAAGGTTGAGGAGGAGAAGCTCCCCGGCGCTGACGAGGAGGGCCCCGCTGCCATCGAGTCCGGCTTCCAGGCCTCCGCTGGTGCTGACTGGGAGGCTCCCGCCGCTGGCTTCGCTGGTGCCACCGGTGCCGCTGCCCCCGGCTGGGACGGTGCTGCCGGTGAGGAGTGGGGTGCTGCCCCTGCCAACACCGAGTGGGCTGCTTCCGCCGAAGCCCCCAAGGAGTCTCAGTGGTAGGGTACTGAGGCCCAGGAGGGTGATGGCCAGGGACAGCAAGAGCCTGCCATTGACTGGTAAAACAAAAATTCAAAAAAGAGGATACCAAAGCAAATTCAAAACAGAAATTGAATTTGAAACACTTTTGGAACGGTTTTGCGACGAGAGAGAGCAGAAAAGCGTATGGATGTGTGTTGTGGTTCAATCAAACTATTCGACAACGTTAACCTTTTCCTTCCCCCCTTTCGATAACACAAATCTTCTTGCTGACTATCTTACGAATAACATCCGTGGGAATTGAGGTTTTCAACTCGGCGGTGCTAATGAGGGAAAGATACTCTCCTCCTTGTTTTGGGATGGAGAGGGAAAGCCCTGCGCTGCTGAGGGGATGGACTTAACAGTTATCCCGCCTTGTTTCTATGGAATTTGTATTGATGCGAGAAAAGTCAAAATATGAGTCGTCTGACCTGGGTTTACCCACGACATGATTGAGTGCCGTAAATTATGCCTGTGATGTCTTGTGCCTATTAGCAAAACTTTTGTAGAGTAATGACGCTCAGAGCTTGCACCAGTGTCATCGAGGTAGTGATGCATCTTCACGTAGTCAACAGCACAAGACCTCACAAAAGACGGAACCAACTCATCGTAAACATGGTATCAATTGTCAATCCTCACTACATCTACTCATCCTAATCCCCATGATATATCAACAACTCCCCTTATTCCCACCTATCGTTAACACTAATTAAAGTGAATCCAAAACTTGCCGTTCTATGAATTAAGAAACCAAAAAAAGGAACCAGACGCAACATGACGCTTGCGCAGTGCGGGTATGATCAAAACCAGGATAAGAAACCCCCATAGACGAATCGTGTGAAATACACAAAATAGCTTGCCCAACTCCTTGCTTTGTGTCCCAGATGCTGTTGATTGTAATGATGATTATGTTGTATGTCTTGGAGAAAAGAGAAACTCCCGGTGTGGTGGCATTGAACGAGTTATGAGATGGGTATAATGTGAAGGCATGCTGGGTATGCTCTTCTTGTGGTGTTGAAACATAGGAAATGAAACGCCGTTGGGGTCGGTGAGTCATAAATCGTTATTATCGTTCCCGTATGTGTATGAATTGTGAAAATGTGGTAAACCACATGGTTGTAGAGCTTATTCGAGCATTTCTGAGTGACGTCGGATATCCTCGTCGCTCAAGGCGCTCATCCAGAGACAGCGCTCAGTAATGCCTTCAATGGGCTGGAACTTGTATCGGGTGCTGGCCTCCAGTAGCCTAAGCAGTGTCTTGACAACAGAGGCCGCGATGCGACATCGTTCAAAGTTGATCAGTGGAGGGGTTGTGGGTGAGCCAGCCATCTCAGATGGTCGCTGAGCGTTGTAAAGCAGGTCGTGGGTATAGATGCCGACGAAAGGAATGCAGCCTTGGTCAGAACCAATCTCCATCTCTGCGCGGAGATTGTAGAAGTTGCGCATAGGAGTGACCAACTTCTCAAGGTCCTGCAGTGTCTTCAAGTCTTGAGGAGCGACATGCTGCCAGGTCTTGGTAAGTCTAGCGACTTCGTTGCTCGACAGAGCGATGGTAAGTTGAGCGAGGGTAGCAAAGTTGCGGTAACGGCGGCAGTGAGTGGCGATATGAATGTACTTGGTGATACATCGCACTCTCTCCTCCAGGCCTTGCGTCAAGACAATCTCAGAGATGGCCCATTTGACCATGATGTTGAAGCGAGCAATAACCACCTCAACACCATGGGCGTCAGAGTTACGGAGGAAGTCAACCCACGAGCGCGAGTCGCTATGAGCAGCATCCTTCCAGTTCATGTCAATGAGCTCCTTCCAGTCAATCTCGTTCAGCGCGTCCTTTTCGATGAGTGTGAACTGTTGTGCGAGGATCTCCGAGTCGAAAGCCAGGATGAACGGCAAGTGAGCAGAATACTTGTTGCTCTCGAAGGAGTCCACCTTGGCAACTTGACGAAGTGCATCGGTTGATGTTTGGTCATCTGTCTGAACGTAGGCAGCGGTAGGCGTAGTCTCAGGAGTTGGAGGAAGCGGCTTCTGGCCCCAGACTTGATCCTCGTGTAACTCAGGGACTGTGAAGCAGTGAGGGGAGACATCTCCAGCGCTTGCACCAAAGTCATAGGAGGCGAGGGAGGTTTGCGGTTGGGAGGTGGAGCCGGTGAGCCGAGAGGATGAGCAGGAAGCTTCACTCGAGGCAAAATACCATGGCCGTATTCAGAGTCGTCGTATTCGAGAGCGTCTGCAGACATCTCTGATGAAAGATCGCTGTCGTCGTCAAGGAATGATTGATCTTCCTCCACTGAGGGAGCAGTGTCACCAGGCTTGATACCTTCGATGCTTCGAGTCTTCTCAATAAAGTCGTAAGAGGCATGCTGCGAGTCACCATCTTCGGTATACAAGACGGTCTTGTGTGGACGAGGCGTTGTTTC